TAGAGAGAGTAGAGTTGGCTCACAGCCGGGCTAAGATCAGACTCAACGAAATCTTTCGTGTATCTATGTCACAGCTACTAATGGTTACAGTCATTGTATCATCAACTAAATCGTGGTTTGTACCAACTAAGTTCTGTACTGTACCAACTAAATCCTGGACTGTACCAACTAAATCCTGGACTGTACCAACTAAATCCTGGACTGTACCAACTAAATTCTGGACTGTACCAACTAAATCCTGGACTGTACCAACTAAATCCTGGACTGTACCAACTAAATCCTGGACTGTACCAACTAAATCCTGGACTGTACCAACTAAATTCTGGACTGTACCAACTAAATCCTGGACTGTACCAACTAAATCCTGGACTGTACCAACTAAATTCTGGACTGTACCAACTAAATCCTGGACTGTACCAACTAAATCCTGGACTGTACCAACTAAATTCTGGACTGTACCAACTAAATCCTGGACTGTACCAACTAAATCCTGGAATGTAACAACTAAATCCTGGACTGTACCAACTAAATCCTGGAATGTAACAACTAAATCCTGGACTGTACCAACTAAATTCTGGACTGTACCAACTAAATCCTGGACTGTACCAACTAAATCCTGGAATGTAACAACTAAATCCTGGACTGTACCAACTAAATCCTGGACTGCACCAACTAAATACTGGACTGTACCAACTGAATCATGGACTGTACCAACTAAATCATGGACTGTACCGACTAAATCCCGGACCGTACCAACTAAATCCCGGACCGTACCAACTACAGAATCCTTGGCTGTACCATACGATCACCGTGAGACACTAAACGTTGCGAGATTACCCGGACAAAAGATCCGGCTAAATGCAGGTATAGAATAGCCGGCTAGCAGCAGATCAGTGACGTATCGCTTGACGGGCCAACGGAAGAAGACGCTAGGATCTCAGAAACCAAATACAAGGTGGCCTTTCTCACCCTCTCTCACTAGATAGACATTTTAAGGACATTTTCTTTCCATCAACACGTTTTGGTTCCATCATCTATAGCTACACGTCTTATGGACATTTTCTTTCCATCAACACGTTTTGGTTCCATCATCTATAGCTACACGTCTTATGTACATTTTCTTTCCACTAACTCGTTTTATTCTAGGACCGAAATGTACTTGTATTCAGGACTTTCATGAAAGTGTACGTGTTCAGGTCTAAAGGTGTACGTGTACTCAGTGCTGGGATGATATTGATATGGAGTAGTTCATCCTTACACACATCTCATTTATGCTACTAAGACAACAACATCACCATTTCGTGCTTCTAGCCACATCATCACCATACAGCATGTTTAGGGTTTTGTTTTATATCCACCTACGGTGTACTCAAGTTGTACCTTTGGTGTATCCACGTGTATCTAATGTGTATCCATGCTAGATCTTCGTGCGGATGTAGCTATGGTATATCCTCGTTTATCCAGGCGACCTTCGTGTACTTGACTTATCTATATATCCATGCTGTATCAATGGTGTATCCATACGTTATCCATGCTGTATCAATGGTGAATCCATTCAAAGACGGCAGAAGGAAATCCCCCAGCATCGAGCAGCTGTTCGTTTTTAATGCCGACCTCCACGGCCACACATAGGAAGATGATAACCGCCCTTTAAGACTCGCTTACCGCCCTTAAGACTCGCTTAGTGCCGGGATTAACGCCTATCTCTTCATCCGTCACGCCGGTTGCCGGCCACGCAAGCCGCCGTGTCGTCTGCCGGTCACGGCACGCTCTCAGACAATCAACAATCCCCTGTAGCTCTAGCCCCATCAAACATTAGAAGACTGAACCATCTCCTTAGAGACATGAATGGCAACATTGAACTCCCACTGGCGTGGTGGCGCTGGTGGGGGGTTAATGGCGCTGGTTGGGGGTTAATGGCGTGTACTAAATTAGAATCCAAGTGTAAAAACACAAGTGTCGGATAACATCACTCCTCACGTGACCTCCATTATGTCCGCCATGACGATAAAACCCGAACCTTTAGATTTGCCTGATGGTGGCTGCTGATTTCGGCAGAGCATGGAGCGAGGCTGGGATGTATTTTTCCAAACCTCAGCTGTCTCAAGCTGTCAGCGATGTAGACATGCGACTAACGACTCAATAAACTCCACACGATGGAGACATGCGACTAACGACTCAATAAACTCCACACGATGGAGACATGCGACTAACGACTCAATAAACTCCACACGATGGAGACATGCGACTAACGACTCAATAAACTCCACACGATGGAGACATGCGACTAACGACTCAATAAACTCCACACGATGGAGACATGCGACTAACGACTCAATAAACTCCACACGATGGAGCTGTGACATGAACATAACGGCCACTTATGCTGAAAGATCCGCTGAACTGTTGTCTAGTTCCAAAGTTCCTCAAACGGCCACTTAGCTGGAAGATCCGCCGAATTGTTGTCTAGTTCCATAGTTCTATGCCTTAAGGGGGCAGTATCACCCAGACTAAGGGAGGAAAACAAAAATATTCACAAAAAAAAAACTATTCGACATACACATGTCAAAATTGTACAGCAGTAGTAACGGTTCTTCTGCTATAATACAGTATATAAATTGTAGGGTATATGTATAGCAACATATTTGCAAAAAATTATTTTGTTCATATTTTATTACATTTTGAATTTTTTTGTAAACAATTTTCCGAAACCATAAGTAAAGTACTTAAAATTTGCTATAAACCTTCCTTGCGTTAATGGCTATCGTCTGAACTAAAATCATAGGATTCTAATGAGGGATAAATTTTTTAGAAAATTTCTATGTTCAATTTTTTTTTGTTTGACTTTGAAAAATTCTAAAAATTTCAAAATTTGTCACAATGGATATCTTCTAGTTCCAGCGATAGGCTATCCTGTTATGCATCTCCTAGTGTATTTTCAGCAGGAAGGGCCTAAATGTTGGAAAACCGCAGCCACAAATTACTTAGTGAAAAATTTTTGGTTATATTATTTTTAAAAAATGTTTGCATCATACGTTAACTTTCTTTTATGTGCTGTTTTATAGCTCCTTATTAATTACTATTATGGTAAAAAAATTATGTGTGTATGTGTAATAGTTTTTTTTTGGCAAATTTTTTCGTCAATTTTCAAATGTCTGGGTGATACTGCCCCCTTAAGGACGTTGCGAGAAAAGACGAGTCGTTAACAAAATGGTGGAGGGATGTTCTCACAGCTAGACATTAGCGTGGCTTTAATCCGTCAATGTAAAGTTTACATGGAAATGTTAGAAGCACATCATTTATATTTAGTTAGCGTACCCGTCACGCGTTGGTGCGATCGCAGAAGAAAGGACGCAACATTTCAGGAGGATTTCATCAACGCGTTACCAATCGTGTATTTTAGACTAGTGACCTTGTTTTCTAAACCTGAATTATTATATGTAAACAAAGACGGCGCTTCATGGCATGGATCTTAGTTGTTGGGGCATGGGGTTGTCCACAACACGCCTAAGGTGTGCTGTATAAAAAGCTTGAGAGTACGTTGGTGCTACATCTTGGTTTGATTTAGTCATTGATTGAAGTAGCCGATAGTATCCCTAGTGCGTTCTTTAAAACGAAAGTAAGCGCCATAATGATCTAGGGAGTGACCTTGGTACTTGGATCACTAGACCGCCGGCGGACACCATTGGTGCAGGTTCAATGTTTAATCGTACCAATAACTGCTGATATCTTACATTGCCGCCTCTAACTAGCTGATACCTCACATTGCCGCCTCTAACTTGCTGATATCTCACATTGCCGCCTCTAACTTGCTGATATATCACATTGCCGCCTCTAACTTGCTGATATCCCACATTGCCGCCACTAACTTGCTGATATCTCACATTGCCGCCACTAACTTGCTGATATCTCAAAATGTTGACTGACCGTCCTACTGTCAACCTTTCAAAAATTAACACCAATTTAAGTGCACTTTAAAACCTATATGCCGGTAAGATCTATTGACTGAATGTAACAACTAACCCCCCAATAAAACCAATCAGTTCTGGGACCCGTCGACCCCGGTGATGTCAAAGCTAACACCCTTATCACGTGGGTCGCCTTGTCTCGTTCACTGGCAGTCATAAAACAGATAGTGTCGGACAAATGGATTACAAAGTTGGTCGCTAACCTCAATTGCTCGGGGTTGGGGGGGGGGGGAGTTAAACTGACATACAAATCTTAGCCGAGATATTATCTATACCAGAACACCAGCTGTAACACACACACACACCGCTGGAAACATAACGCACACAGAACATCCATACACACGTACACACACACACAGTGTTTCTTCCAGACTTTTTTCTCCGGGGGGGGGGGGGGGGGGGCACTTGAAATTTTCGGGGGGGGGGGGCGGTAGACTTTCTTCGCGGGGGGGGGGGGGGGGGGAGGGGGCAGACACTGTTAAAAGTATATATTTTCTATATAAATTATATAAATTTCATTTCGTTCGGGGGGGGGGGGCGGTAAAATTTTTACGGCAAAAGCCCCCCCCCCCCCCCGAAGAGATGCCTGGAAGAAACTCTGCACACAGAAATATGTATACGTACTGGAATACACACAGCGATACCAGAATGCGTTGACACCCACATACAGATGTTGTTACTGAAAGAAATTACTAACAAACTCAAGTGCCGCACATGAACAACATTTGAAAACAAATCAACCAGCCACCGACTCAGTGTTTCCCAGCGTTTAATGTGACTGATATAGTTCATGTTCCCTCAAAATTTTTGTGTCGCTCATGTTCCCACAAAGTTTTCGTGTAGTTCATGTTCCCACAAAGTTTTCGTGTAGTTCATGTTCCCACAAAGTTTTCGTGTAGTTCATGTTCCCACAAAGTTTTCGTGTAGTTCATGTTCCCACAAAGTTTTCGTGTAGTTCATGTACCCACAAAGTTTTCGTGTAGTTCATGTACCCACAAAGTTTTCGTGTAGTTCATGTTCCCACAAAGTTCATGTACCCACAAAGTTTTCGTGTAGTTCATGTTCCCACAAAGTTTTTGTGTAGTTCATGTACCCACAAAGTTTTCGTGTAGTTCATGTTCCCACAAAGTTTTCGTGTAGTTCATGTTCCCACAAAGTTTTCGTGTAGTTCATGTACCCACAAAGTTTTCGTGTAGTTCATGTACCCACAAAGTTTTCGTGTAGTTCATGTACCCACAAAGTTTTTGTGTAGTTCATGTTCCCACAAAGTTTTCGTGTAGTTCATGTACCCACAAAGTTTTCGTGTAGTTCATGTACCCACAAAGTTTTCGTGTAGTTCATGTACCCACAAAGTTTTCGTGTAGTTCATGTTCCCACAAAGTTTTCGTGTAGTTCATCTACCCTGGATGTTTTTGTTTAACAACTGCCCCTCTTTATCTCCACGCCTCTTGTTGTGTGTTTCTTTCTATTTTTATTCCAGTCAACATTTTCTTCGTGCAGCGTAACCTTGTCCACAGCCTGACCTAACTGTACGTGTCAATCATCATCTTGATGGCCGTGACGTCAGCACCCACTACCTGCCCCAGCTTGCTGCCGTCCTTGTAGAAATGGAAGGTGGGCAGTGAATCCACCCCCGCCATCTCCGAGATCTCCATGCCCTCGTCCACATTGACCTTGACAAAGCTGACGTGGCTGTACTCCGTGGCCCACCTGTCGATGTACGGCGCCACCTTCTTGCAGGGGCCGCACCAGTTGGCGTAGAAGTCCACGACTACCAGTTGCCGGCTGGACCTGATGACGTCATCGAACTCCCCCTTGTCCTGGATCGTGTGGACTCTCAGCTTGCCCTTGTATATCGTCTTCAGCGGGGGGTTCAGCGCCTCTGTCGAGTTGACAGTCACATTGTTGACAACAGAAAAAGTCTAATTGTTAGCATTAAAGTTAACAATTCAATTGTTACCAGCAAAGCTAACAGTCTAATTGTTAACAGCAAAGCTAACAATCTCATAGTTACAACAAAAAATTAACCCACATTTCTAACATTAAAGTTAACAGTCTCATTGTTAACATTAAAGTTAACAGACAAATCGTTAACATTAAAGTTAACAGTCAAATTGTTAACATTAAAGTTAACAGACAAATTGTTAACATTAAAGTTAACAGTCAAAGTGTTAACATTAAAGTTAACAGTCAAATTGTTAACATTAAAGTTAACAGTCAAAGTGTTAACATTAAAGTGAACAGTCAAATTGTTAACATTAAAGTTGACAGTTCAGTTGTTAACAGCAATGTTAACTGTCCCATTGTTGACAGCAAAATCAACCACCCGATCATAAAGAGCAACATTGAAAGTCTTATTTTTTAACAGAACATTTACAGTCCGATTATAAATAACAAAATTAATTAAGTCCGTTTGTTAAATAAAGATTAACATTTGAATTGTTGACATCGAAGTTTACATTCTAATGTATAACATTTGTAATGGACCTACATCCATTGGGACAATAGCCTGGGTCTAAATATTCACGGAAGAGAATATTTCTAAGTCTGTTGATAGTTTATTTTTTGCTGATAAGAATGTAATTGATGTAAAGACCACAACACAAAGTTAAGCTACCCTATCTGATCTGGCAGTCAAGAGGGCAGAAGAAGTAGTTTCTGGTCTCTAGGAGTATGAATAGATAGCGTTGTCAGATTTATACCCAACAGCATGTAATGTATGCATCATGTCAGGTGCCCACTAGAGCTGAGCGGACTGAATGACGTCTTACCGACTCGAACCCTAGATCCGCGATTTTTCCAGCAAGCAGATGCTCTAACATGCCACCACGTCGAAAGATCACATACTGGCTGACAATACTTGAATCTCAAGAAAGGTCAACAAACGGTAGGTCTGGAATCACAGGTCCCTTGACGTGCGAACACCAGCTGTAGTTCAGTAGAATCCCAACCTGTGACCAACCTGTGACCAACCTGTGACCAACCTGTGACCAACCTGTGACCAACCTGTGACCAACCTGTGACCAACCTGTGACCAACCTGTGACCAACCTGTGACCAACCTGTGACCAACCTGTGACCAACCTGTGACCAACCTGTGACCAACCTGTGACCAACCTGTGACCAACCTGTGACCAACCTGTGACCAACCTGTGACCAACCTGTGACCAACCTGTGACCAACCTGTGACCAACCTGTGACCAACCTGTGACCAACCTGTGACCATCATGTGACCAACCTGTGACCAACCTGTGACCAACCTGTGACCATCATGTAACCATCATGTAACCATCATGTGACTAACCTGTGATGCCCACGCCTATGGTGAGATAACTTTTAAGATTGGGTCCTGAAGCTCTATAGCTGTTGATACAAAGTGTTTCATCAAGTTAAACCTAATACGGGATACTTTACTACGAACACTTTAGTAATCATTAAAGCTAATATCTATGCATGGGTAACAGAAAAAAAAAGATTTTTTTTAAGGCAACATATATCAAAATTAAATATCCCAGTAAAAAAAATTCAAATCAAAACATTCTTATAACAAGTAGATCTAGTAGTAATCTCAAGACAAAATAACCTAGTATGAAAAGTCTCATAACACAATATCCCGAAAAAAATATATCCCAAGACAAAATACTCCAGGACAAAATACACCTCTGCACTAAAAACTAGGGAAATGTTAATACACCCCTGCCCCACCTCCAAGGGAAATGTTAATACACCCCTGCCCCACCTCCCAGGAAAATGTTAATACACCCCTGCCCCACCTCCCAGGTAAATGTTAATACACCCCCGTCCTACCTCTCTGGAAAATGTTAATACACCCCCGTCCTACCTCTCTGGAAAATGTTAATACACCCCTGCCCCACCTCCCAGGTAAATGTTGATACACCCCTGCCCTGCCCCACCTCTTAAGAAAATGTTAATACACCCCTGCCCCACCTCCCAGGAAAATGTTAATACACCCCTGCCCCACCTCCCAGGAAAATGTTAATACACCCCTGCCCCACCTCCCAAGAAAATGTTAATACACCCCTGCCCCACCTCCCAGGTAAATGTTGATACACCCCTGCCCTGCCCCACCTCTTAAGAAAATGTTAATACACCCCTGCCCCACTTCCCAGGAAAATGTTAATACACCCCTGCCCCACCTCCCAGGTAAATGTTAATACACCCCTGCCCCACTTCCCAGGAAAATGTTAATACACCCCTGCCCTGCCCCACCTCCCAGGTAAATGTTAATACACCCCTGCCCCACCTCTCGGCGATCGCCCGTGTAACATCCCTGTCGTCACTGGCCATAACCAGACGATCGTCTTTATCCAAAAGTAGGTTGAACCTGGCCTTGACCTCTGCTGCCTTCTCCACGTGCTTCATGACCCGGTAGTAGTCCTGGTCCTGTGACATGAAGTTGCCAGGTCAGTGAACTCGCTCAACATTGATTACATTAAGTACCTTAATGAAGTACCATACAGTACCTTAATGAAGTACCATACAGTATTTTGGTTAAGTACCCTAGAGTACCTTGATTAAGTATCTTACAGTACTTAGGCTAAGTACTCTAGAGTACTTTGGTTAAGTACCCTAGAGTACCTTGGTTAAGTATGTTACAGTACTTTGGTTAAGTACTCTACAGTACTTTGGTTAAGTACCCTAGACTACATTGGTTAAGTGATTGTAGGAAAAAAAGTCACAGGAAAAAAAAACACAGGAAAAAAAAACACAGAAAAAAAGTCACAGGAAAAAAAGTCACAGGAAAAAAAGTCACAGGAAAAAAAGTCACAAATATATATTTGCATGATATTTGTTAATACTTTTATGTATTAAATATTTAGAGAGTGCAAATTAACTTAGGATTAATTAAATGTAATGTAATGTATGTAGGCTGTATACGCATAGGAATTTTTAAAATTCATCTAAAAATATTTATTATGAAGTATGTAGATTGTAATTATTTTAAACTTAAGATTAGTAGCATTTAATAGAATGCTCCTAAGTCCACGGTTTTCATCGTGTTTTTTTTTAAAATACCAATATTAAATTACCGTGAAATGGTGAATTCATCTGACTTGCTGCCCTCAACTCATGGCAACAATAGTTATGTTTAGTTCAACCACCTTTACTGCCCACATTTATCACGCTCATTACATAACAAAACTTAGGATCAAAACAGAAAGCCGACAAGGTTCAAAGGCTGTCATTGACGCGTAACGTCAACAACACAAAATATGTTCGGACAATACCTACTGAGGAGAGGCCGACCAGAGATCAATAGCCTACGGCAAAATGTGCTTAAATTTCTTTTATAATTAACTTTTCTACCGCGTATTTAAATAAATAGGCTACGTAACAAGTTAAGATTGTTGTGTAAATTATCTTAGAGTATTTTTACTTACAATTGTTATAAATCATAATGGTTTTAACGTCTATAAATAATTTATGCTATCAAAAAATAAAACCAACAACAATAAACATACAAAATTTACAATTCTTAACAAATTAATAAAAAATATTTCTAAAAAGATTTTTGTGACTTTTTTTCTGTGACTTTATTTCTGTGACTTTTTTTCCGATAAAATTTTTCCACTGTGACTTTTTTTCTGTGACTTTTTTTCCTAGCAAAAACTGTGACTTTTTTCTGTGTTTTTTTTTCCTGTGACTTTTTTTCCGTTTACCGGTTAAGTACCCTACAGAACGTTGCTAAAGTACCCTAGAGTACCTTGGTTAAGTACCCTACAGAACGTTGCTTAAGCACCCTAGAGTACCTTGGTTAAGTAACCTACAAAACGTTGCTTTAGTACCCTAGAGTACCTTGGTTAAGAACCCTACAAAACGTTGCTTAAGTACCCTAGAGTACCTTGGTTAAGTACCCTACAGAACGTTGCTTAGTACCCTAAAGTACCTTGGTTAAGTACCCTTGAGTACCTTGGTTAAGTACCCTAGAGTACCTTGGTTAAGTACCCTACAGAACGTTGCTAAAGTACCCTAGAGTACCTTGGTTAAGTACCCTATAGAACGTTGCTCAAGTACCCTAGAGTACCTTGGTTAAGTACCCTACAGAACGTTGCTCAAGTACCCTAGAGTACCTTGGTTAAGTACCCTAAAGTACCTTGGTTAAGTACCCTTGAGTACCTTGGTTAAGTACCCTACAGAACGTTGCTCAAGTACCCTAGAGTACCTTGGTTAAGTACCCTACAGAACGTTGCTCAAGTACCCTAGAGTACCTTGGTTAAGTACCCTAGAGTACCTTGGTTAAGTACCCTACAGAACGTTGCTAAAGTACCCTAGAGTACCTTGGTTAAGTACCCTACAGTACCCTAGAGTACCTTGGTTAAGTACCCTAAAGTACCTTGGTTAAGTACCCTTGAGTACCTTGGTTAAGTACCCTAGAGTACCTTGGTTAAGTACCCTACAGAACGTTGCTAAAGTACCCTAGAGTACCTTGGTTAAGTACCCTACAGAACGTTGCTTAAGCACCCTAGAGTACCTTGGTTAAGTAACCTACAAAACGTTGCTTTAGTACCCTAGAGTACCTTGGTTAAGAACCCTACAAAACGTTGCTTAAGTACCCTAGAGTACCTTGGTTAAGTACCCTACAGAACGTTGCTTAGTACCCTAAAGTACCTTGGTTAAGTACCCTTGAGTACCTTGGTTAAGTACCCTAGAGTACCTTGGTTAAGTACCCTACAGAACGTTGCTAAAGTACCCTAGAGTACCTTGGTTAAGTACCCTATAGAACGTTGCTCAAGTACCCTAGAGTACCTTGGTTAAGTACCCTACAGAACGTTGCTCAAGTACCCTAGAGTACCTTGGTTAAGTACCCTAAAGTACCTTGGTTAAGTACCCTTGAGTACCTTGGTTAAGTACCCTAGAGTACCTTGGTTAAGTACCCTACAGAACGTTGCTCAAGTACCCTAGAGTACCTTGGTTAAGTACCCTACAGAACGTTGCTCAAGTACCCTAGAGTACCTTGGTTAAGTACCCTAGAGTACCTTGGTTAAGTACCCTACAGAACGTTGCTTAAGTACCCTAGAGTACCTTGGTTAAGTACCCTACAGAACGTTGCTAAAGTACCCTAGAGTACCTGTGACGTGGGGTTCCATAGCTTTGCATACAGCCGCCCATACGGCAGACCGAGGTCAAGACAACTCCGGACAAGCCGGGCCGTCTGCACGTTTCTGAAGACAACCAAGGCTGCGTTGTTGGCCAGCTGGTACATGGCTTGTACCTGGCCAAACCTGTGGGGAGTGAGGCAAGTCAAGGCTCTAGATGGATGGTTGATGGTGGTGGATGAAGGTTGGGGATGATGTTGATGGTGAGGGATGATAGTGGTGGATGATGGTGAGGGGTGATGGTGGTGGAAGTGGATGAAGGTAGTGGATGATGGTGATGGTTAGGGATGATGGTGTTGGGAGATGGATGATGGTGATGGATGATGTTAGTGGATTTTCATATTATGGTGATGATGGTGGTAAATGATGAATGATGGTGGTGGAAATCGGTGAGAGATGATATTGGTGGATGATGGTGATGGTTGTGGATGACGGTGGTGGATGATGGTGATGGTGGTGGATGATGGTGAACCCAGTCTCATCACACACAGACTAGTCCGTCCTACCCAGCCCAACTTACCTAGACAGATATAGATAGAGAAAGTCCATTGAGAAGGCGGGCACCTCCTTACTGACCCTCCACCTGATCTGTAGTGTAGTCTCACACGGTAGTTTATCCAGCATCTTCTGTAGCTGGTCGACATATTGGCTCCTTGAGTCACTGTTAACACAAGACATGACCTAGCCATCACGTGATAGGATAGTGTTAACACAAGACATGACCTAGCCATCACGTGATGGGATAGTGTTAACACAAGACATGACCTAGCCATCACGTGATGGGATATTGTTAACACAAGACATGACCTAGCCATCACGTGATGGGATATTGTTAACACAAGACATGACCTAGCCATCACGTGATGGGATATTGTTAACACAAGACATGACCTAGCCATCACGTGATGGGATATTGTTAACACAAGACATGACCTAGCCATCACGTGATGGGATAGTGTTAACACAAGACATGACCTAGCCATCACGTGATGGGATAGTGTTAACACAAGACATGACCTAGCCATCACGTGATGGGATATTGTTAACACAAGACATGACCTAGCCATCACGTGATGGGATATTGTTAACACAAGACATGACCTAGCCATCACGTGCCGGGATATTGTTAACACAAGACATGACCTAGCCATCACGTGATAGGATAGTGTTAACACAAGACATGACCTAGCCATCACGTGATAGGATAGTGTTAACACAAGACATGACCTAGCCATCACGTGATGGGATATTGTTAACACAAGACATGACCTAGCCATCACGTGCCGGGATATTGTTAACACAAGACATGACCTAGCCATCACGTGATAGGATAGTGTTAACACAAGACATGACCTAGCCATCACGTGTTGAGATAATGTTAACACAAGACATGACCTAGCCATCACGTGATAGGATAGTGTTAACACAAGACATGACCTAGCCATCACGTGATCGGATAGTGTTAACACAAGACATGACCTAGCCATCACGTGTTGAGATAATGTTAACACAAGACATGACCTAGCCATCACGTGATAGGATAATGTTAACACAAGACATGACCTAGCCATCACGTGCTGGGATATTGTTAACACAAGACATTACCTATCCATTCCCTTTGGACCCGACAGATGAAATAGCGTTTAGATGATTCTGTGACCTTGGCACATGAAGGGCTGGTATGCTCACACTTTGCCCAGCCACCTTCACTTTCCCTAACGTGAGTCAGGTGCCCATCAGAGTGTGCTCTACAATTATTTCGTACACTCTGCCATTCCCCCCCCCCCCCCCCCGCTGTCTCTTTGAGACTGGCCATATAAGACGATGTTTCAGGGAGTCTTTCTTGATCTCACCTGGTATACACTTGGCTAGTCTTGATCTCACCTGGTATACACCTGGCTAGTCTTGATCACACCTGGTATACACCTGGCTAGTCTTGATCTCACCTGGAATACACCTGGCTAGACTTGATCTCACCTGGTATACACCTGGCTAGACTTGATCTCACCTGGTATACACCTGGCTAGTCTTGATCTCACCTGGTATACACCTGGCTAGTCTTGATCTCACCTGGTATACACCTGTCTTGATCTCACCTGGTATACACTTGTCTAGACTTGATCTCACCTGGTATACACCTGGCTAGTCTTGATCTCACCTGGTATACACCTGGCTAGACTTGATCTCACCTGGTATACACCTGGCTAGACTTGATCTCACCTGGTATACACCTGGCTAGTCTTGATCTCACCTGGTATACACCTGGCTAGACTTGATCTCACCTGGTATACACCTGGCTAGTCTTGATCTCACCTGGTATACACCTGGCTAGTCTTGATCTCACCTGGTATACACCTGTTTTGATCTCACCTGGTATACACTTGTCTAGTCTTGATCTCACCTGGTATACACCTGGCTAGTCTTGATCTCACCTGGTATACACCTGGCTAGTCTTGATCTCACCTGGTATACACCTGGCTAGTCTTGATCTCACCTGGTATACACCTGGCTAGTCTTGATCTCACCTGGTATACACCTGGCTTGTCTTGATCTCACCTGGTATACACCTGGCTAGTCTTGATCTCACCTGGTATACACCTGGCTAGACTTGATCTCACCTGGTATACACCTGGCTAGTCTTGATCTCACCTGGTATACACCTGTCTAGTTTCGATCTCATCTGGTATACACCTGTCTTGATCTCACCTGGAATACACCTGGCTAGTCTTGATCTCACCTGGAATACACCTGGCAAGTCTTGATCTCACCTGGTATACACCTGTCTTGATCTCACCTGGAATACACCTGGCTAGACTTGATCTCAACTGGTATACACCTGTCTAGTTTCGATCTCACCTGGTATACACCTGGCTAGCCTTGATCTCAACTGGTATACACCTGTCTTGATCTCACCTGGAATACACCTGGCTAGTCTTGATCTCACCTGGTATACACCTGGCTAGTCTTGATCTCACCTGGTATACACCTGTCTAGTTTCGATCTCACCTGGTATACACCTGACTAGTCTTGATCTCACCTGGTATACACCTGGCTAGTCTTGATCTCACCTGGTATACACCTGTCTTGATCTCACCTGGTAAACACCTGGCTAGTCTCTCACCTGGTATACACCTGTCTTGATCTCACCTGGTATACACCTGTCTTGATCTCACCTGGTATACACCTGGCTAGTCTCTCACCTGGTATACACCTGTCTTGATCTCACCTGGTATACACCTGTCTTGATCTCACCTGGTATACACCTGTCTTGATCTCACCTGGTATACACCTGGCTAGTCTCTCACCTGGTATACACCTGTCTTGATCTCACCTGGTATACACCTATCTTGATCTCACCTGGTATACACCTGGCTAGTCTCTCACCTGGAATACACCTGGCTAGACTTGAGCTTCTGTCTAAATGGCAGCTGGCCGTAGTTGGTGGTAAACTGGTCCCCCGTCTTAAACTTGGGGCGTATCACCCCCATGAGAGACGTCTCCCCCGTGCCCTTCTTGTTCTGCCACCCCACGTGACATGACTCCCGGGCGAAGACGTTCTCGATCCTAGGCATGGCCGCGCCACGTGCTGGGGGTCACGACCTACGAAAGACAATAGAAACTCGGTACACTTGGAGTAAAAAAAAAACGGTTACTAGTTGTCTTGTATGTGGCCACTCGGTGACCTCTATCCGGTGAGTCTGTGACGTCAGATTTTCAAGCTGCAAACAATTTTTCAAATTATTGTATAAACATGCTAATTAAAATATAAATCTTCTTATTGAACTGTGTGACACTTAACTAAAAACTGTTACGGGTCAGTGATTGGTAAAAAAACGCCACAACTTTTCAAAATGGAAAGGGGGTGGTGTGGGAGCGTTTGTTCGCCATTTGGAATAAATATATATAAAGGGCGGGGACACGAACTTCATAGTTGGCCGGGGTGCCGTTGTGGGTAGCTAGGCCTCTGGTCTGGCCAAGTAGTATTGGTAGAGTTAGCTGCAGATCTAGAAATAGAAATGTCCAAACTCGACTGCTCACTAAAACGTCTTGATAAAACCACTGTACAGTGTACATTCTCAATAAATCTTTGAAATATGTTAAACTATATATAACAATCCCATTTTACATGTACAATAAATCTGCTTTTTTTATAGTGTGTTAAACTACATAAAAGAACCAGTTGTACATTTACAATAAATCTGTTTACTGTATTAAAATAAGTTAAACTTTTCTCACCAAAGAAAAAAAACTTTGTTTATAATTTATAATCTATCAAGTTGTGTTGATTCAGAGTTCAGTAGCTTGGTTGAAACTTCCGTTCAGCACTTATGTGTTGGATGCGTACGTTCGAATGGTCAAATCTGGTACACCGTTCTATTGCTTTAAACATGTACTGTCTCATGCCTCTGACATCTAAAGAATTAATAAATATATACAAACGTTTAGAATAACATTATTTTACATATTATGTAGGACTTGCTAAAACCAATAAATGATTTTCTTAATATTTAAATACAAATGATTACATCAAAATAATTATCAAAAAAACGTGAGCTGATCTATTTTGTATCGAAATATTTTTGGAAATACTCGAAGTATGAGAGTTCAAATATTTGAAGAATTCTTTTTAGTATAAAAAAACACGTTGTCATAAAAATGTGTTTTTGTGTCACTTATCAACGCAAACTCCTCCAAAAAGCCATGATTTAAAAGTGGACAATCGAAATTTGTGTTTCAACGACTAGAATAAAATATGTAACAGTTACAGCTGAATGTCTAGAGACAATCGAGAAGGTGGCATCAAAGTAAAAATGACATTGTCCAGCTGTTTGCAAAGTTTATTACATTCATCCTTAAAACACGCCTTTGTTATAAGTCAACAATATTGATTGGATTCCCCTCAGCAAACTTGGCAGATGACCTCTAAGTAAACTTGACAGACGGCATTAAGAAAATTTCATGTCGCATAGCATTGTCATGGGAAGTTGATCTTAGCGTCCTGTTTTAATTAACCAATTTCGTAAAATATGTTTATATTTCGTCTCGGTGGGAGGGGGGGGGGGGGTGGTGGCGATAGACACACACACACAGAGATGCATGAAAGAAGCAATTAACGGAAGAACAAAGAAAGCAACATTTAAGAAAGAATCGATTAAAATAGAAGCTTGCAAAAACAGGCAGAAAATGTAACTCCATTTTACGATACACCAGTTTGAAATCATCAAAAGCTATCTAGATCTATGTGACAAATATTTTCTGGATCCTCCATTTTGTTTTTCTTTTTTTTGTTATAAATATTATAATATAGGACATGTTCTTACAATCCCTTCATATTTTCCACTGACTGCAAACTTATAACAGGAGTTGGTTACTTCTAGTGAAAGCCGCTCTAGCAGTTTACTTCAGGCAGCGCTTAGATCTACATTTTAAAATGAACGAAATTGACAGTACATAAAAGAATCACGAAAGCGGGCAGACAACTCCTGCTAATCCTTGGTATCTTCAGATTACCCTGCTTTAGAGGTTATCTTTAAACTTTTTAAAAAAATTGCTAGCTTGGAAATTTTCTTTGTATTTTATAATTTGAAAAAAATAACACCCGAATTACATATTCAACGTAAACGAACACTCTTCTTGTGCTCCATTGAGAAATATTCAAATTTCCCGCCCCTCAGTGTGAAGTCAAATGAAACTGGCACTTTGAAAAATAAGTCGGCTTTTCAAGTGCCGTCTGGCACCTGAACTTGCCAGACTTTTTGTTTCACCTTGAACACGAGCCGTCTTACGATCCGACTCGTCTGGATTTTGTCACGGTCGCGAGCGCGTTGAGTATTTGTTTTCTGTCTGATCAAACAGTGGCACGGATCCGTTGTAATAGACAGAGATGCGATCGCTCATTGCAATGGGTGAGATAAGTCTGAGATACACAGTTTCATTGATAGGGTTACCGCTCTTGGTTTGGTTGAACGTTAAACCAATCAGGTAGCAAACAAGGCGGATCACTTGGCGGCTACTACAGGCCTGGGTTAAGGTTCAAAGGTGGAGTGTGGGGGTAGGAGGGGGGGGGGGGGCTCTAGAAAGAAACATTTGGGGGCTCCCGCTACTATAAACGTTGTTTTTTTTTTTGGTATCTAAGATTGTTCAGTCTTTTATTAAAGATGTAGAATAATTCAGACCAAGACAAAGAGGCTATAGCAAGTTTTTAATTAAAATTAATTTTCTTTAGCCTTAGTACAAAAAGCGTTCTTAGCAAAAATTGAAAAGATGTTTGTCAACATTATAGGCCTACTATAAAATTCTGAAAGTTTGTGAGAAACCGAAAATAGAGAAAAGCACTATTGCCGGATACTGAAAATCGCTAAACGATATAATGAAATGTTTATATATGTAACTAGGGGAAGTTACCAAGAGACATAACGTGTTACAGTCTGACGTCACAGTGCAGGTGTTGGCTGATGCCAAGGCGTAATATCTCGGGAAGCGATACGAAAGACGGTCTGTCAACTTTGATGTGACAGGATGCAGGTGGCTTATTAAAATCGGACTGTACGACAGAAGCGGCGTAATGCAACGATTACAATTACGATTATGATAGGACCGAATATGAGTACGATTATGAAGGGGAGATAAGAAAGGCGACGGCTGAGCTCGCAGTCAGTCTCTCAGGAAGTCTCTCAGGAAGTCTCTCTCAGAAAGTCGGTCTCAGAAGGTCTGTCAGTCAGTCCGTCAGTCTCTCTCTCAGTGAGTCTGTGTGGCAGTATCAAGTTGGTTATATTGTGTTAAGAAGGACGTTAGACATGTGTATTCAGTTAGATGAAGCCTAGTGAGGACTGTTGGGGGTCCGTTGATTCAGACTATTATTGTGAAACATCTCTCTTGATTCAATATATTATTGTGAAACATTCTTTGATTCATGTAATAAAAGGATCAATAATGAACCTGCATCTTCGAGTATCTATGCTGTGGTCAATGTTGTGTGGAATGAGTGGTTAGACTCGGGAAGGTCACATTTGGCTCTGCGGGCAGGATAAGTCTCGTTACATTTGGCGTTGTCGGCAGGGTAGTCAGAGACTCGTTACATTTGGCGTTGTCGGCAGGATAGACTCGGGGACTCGTTACATTTGGCGCTGCGACCAGGATGAATTCAACGAGACTTGCCGCTTTAGGCACCCATAGTCAACCTAGTTCATAACTGTGTTTAGTGTGTGTGTGAATTCGGACATTCAGGAACAGTGAAAATTGAGGAACGAGGAAAATTTTTTCATACACACACGGTAAGAAAGAACTCTTTTTTTTACTAAAGGAATAAAATGTCTACTCTGGACGAGAAGCAGACCCATATTGTGGTCCTGCCCAGAGAGTCCCACATTAACAAATTTTACGGGGACGGTGATCCAACTTTAACCAACAGGTTCAGTGAGGAGGTCAAAGCGGCCTGGGCCTCGAGAAACATGTCACCAGAGGAAAGATTAAGACTGCTGATGGGCAGTATAGGAGAAACGGTTAGGGCAGAGGTCAAATGCCACGATAAAACCGTCCAATCAGATCCAGATAAGGTGCTGGATCTAATTATGGAGACCTTTGGGGAGAGACGGTCGGGATCGCAACTGCTATCGGGGTTCGTAGGCGTAAAGCAGAGAATGGCGGAGAGTGTGATGGAGTATTCACACCGAATAAACAGGGCCTTTGATTCGGTAAAGGGCAAAACACCTGACATTGATGTACGCCTACTGAGGGACCAGTTCATCGAGGGGCCAGCAACCCCGATCTTAAGGAGAGAGTTGAAAGAGGAGGTCCACAAAGATCCGCAGTTGACCTTCCTTCAGGTCAGGAACTCAGCGATCCGCAGGTCCGAGGATGAGGACCAATCGAACTGTTCGGTAGACCAAATCTCTGTGCCGGAACAGCAACAATCCCCACCCACAGGGACCGGCACGGTGGAAACCATGATGGCTCAACTGTTGGCCCACCTGGATAAGGTTAACCAAAGATTGGAGAGGTTAGAAAGCAGGTCAACAGCTGAGAATCAGGAAAAGAACGGGCCAAAACAGAGACAGGTTGGACGGCCGCGACCCGCCGGTCCATCGCTCCGGTGGACGGCCGATGGTCGACCAATTTGCCTGTCCCTCTCACAACCCGGACATGTGGCACAATACTGTCCGGTGAAACGATCGCCCTCTGTAAGGCAGGTCAAGGCTACAGAGCGGCGAGGTAATGACTTGGTAAACAAAATGACAAAGAAACACAGTAAGGAGAAAAAGAAAGGTAAAACACAACTAATAAAAAAAATGAACTGTGAAATGAACTTGAATGTTGAAAAGTTTCAAGTGAACAATTTGTTGGCTAAGAAAAATGATGATAAGGAAGAAATTGGTAGACTTAAGAATGAGATCTCAATGTTAACCAGGAAACTGGATAGGGAAAGTTCATGCAAATTAAAAGCACAGGAGAAATGTTCATCTTTAGAGTGTCTGTTATCGGAAGAAGTAAATAAAAATAGTAGACAACAGAACAGTGTTGGCAAACTAGAAGAAATGAAAGAGTCTCAAACAAGACTTGAAGAGAAATTGTCCGATATTGAAAAAGAACTTCAAATTACAGCAAGGCTGGGATCCATCGAACAGCGATGGGCAGCAGAATTGGCACTCGTTGACCTAGAGAGAAAACATCGCCCGGGGCGGTCCAATGGCAATGCGGACGCCTTATCAAGGAATCCTTACGAGAAACCGGGTGATGAGGAAGAAACGCTGACAGGAATATGTGAGGTCAGAGCGTCAACAGATATCCCTCATGGGGTACAAGTGATGCAAAACGGACAGACCGGGGTGGAGCACATTTCCACAGAGCCCGGACATAGGGACATTGGTGATTTTAGTTGCCTTAATCACAAAGAGATAAGAAATGCCCAGAGAACGGATAGTGGCTTACAGCCGCTGTTGAAACACGTCCAGGAACAAAAATTCCCAGGAAAAAGGGAACGAGAACAATTTGGTCGAGAAACAAAGAAAATACTGAGTCAGTGGGACCGTCTCAGTATACAGGATGGTGTTCTCATGCGGAGAATTCATGACCAAATTGATGGGACAATACACCAGGTGGTGGTGCCTGGACAATTACGAGAAGAAGTGCTAAGGTTGGCACATGACAGGGCAGGACACCAGGGTCAGGACAGGACGCACAAAATATTACGACGGAGGTGTTACTGGCCCAATATGGAAATGGAGGTCAAACGCCATTGTGAGGCTTGTGTGAGGTGTCAGCATGCGAAAATGCCAGTTGTCAAAATGAGACAGCCATCGGGACACCTATTAGCGACAAAACCACTAGAGATTGTGGCTATGGACTTTACGTCGTTGGAGCAATCATCGGATGGGACGGAACATGTGTTGGTAATGACTGATGTTTTCACCAAATGGACTGTGGCGGTGCCCACACGAGATCAGACTGCCAAAACAGTGGCAAAGGTCTTAATAGAACATTGGTTCATCAAATATGGCATACCAAGACAATTACACTCTGACCAAGGAAGGGCCTTCGAGTCAGAAGTAATTAACCAACTGTGCAGCCACTACGGGATCAACAAATCTAGAACAACCACATTTAATCCGAAAGGAAACGGACAGTGCGAGCGGTTCAACCGCAGCATGCATGATTTGCTGCGTACTCTAGAACCTGAACAGAAAAAACGTTGGCCTGATTTTCTCCCAGAGTTGGTATATCTATACAACTGCACACCCCATGCCACAACCGGCTTTTCGCCATACATGTTGCTGTTCGGACGGGAGGCTCGACTCCCCCTTGACTTGTTCCTAGGAAAAAAGGAGAGTATGACTGGCTCATACACTGTACTGGAATATGTGAATGAACATATGAGACGAATTAGAGAAATGTACAGGGTAGTACAGGAAAGACTAGAACATGAAGCACGGCGAAGGGAACCGCCGGTACAGACAAAGGACCCGCCACTCAAACTGAACGACAGGGTATTACTGCGTAGCCACCCGTTAGGCAGAAACAAAATCCACGATCTCTGGGGACAGGAGATATGGCAAGTCGTGGAGATGCCTAAAGTAGCAGGTGGCCCCTTTAAGATAAGACCCATCGATCACACCAAACCGGATCGGTGGGCGAATATTGCTCAATTAAAGAAATATTGTCATAGTCAAGAAGAGCAGTTACACACAAGGAAACCCAAGACAATTAGGGAACCGGAAACTATAACGGAAATTCACATACCCATCCCGGAACCATGTCACCATCAACAGAGCAACAGCGACACACAAAGGGAGGATACCGGCAACAAGGAGGATCCCGGTCCCTCCAAAAGCAGAGAGACAGTAGACCATCAGATAAGTGGTCCGCGGAGAAGTTTGAGAAACAGAAAGAATACGAAATTTTTTGTCAGCAACCATCAATTCTTTCATGGTCGCGCTGGTATGAAAACAGACTGTTCAAAAAGTCATAAAAGTGAACTGGTGAAGGCACCAAACGAAAAAAGGTGGATGTGAATTCTAGAACTGTTTTGGGTCTGAGGAAGATGATGTAGACACATTGGATATGTGAAATAGGGATAACTGTCAATCTTATACGAATGTGACGACATTGACAGTGAGTGGAACAATGGATTTTTTTTTACGGTGGTGCGATGGACTTTGAAGGACTGCACCTGCCAAGCGTTGTTTGTGGTTGATAACACACAAAAAAAGGCAGGGGTGGATGTAACTAGGGGAAGTTACCAAGAGACATAACGTGTTACAGTCTGACGTCACAGTGCAGGTGTTGGCTGATGCCAAGGCGTAATATCTCGGGAAGCGATACGAAAGACGGTCTGTCAACTTTGATGTGACAGGATGCAGGTGGCTTATTAAAATCGGACTGTACGACAGAAGCGGCGTAATGCAACGATTACAATTACGATTATGATAGGACCGAATATGAGTACGATTATGAAGGGGAGATAAGAAAGGCGACGGCTGAGCTCGCAGTCAGTCTCTCAGGAAGTCTCTCAGGAAGTCTCTCTCAGAAAGTCGGTCTCAGAAGGTCTGTCAGTCAGTCCGTCAGTCTCTCTCTCAGTGAGTCTGTGTGGCAGTATCAAGTTGGTTATATTGTGTTAAGAAGGACGTTAGACATGTGTATTCAGTTAGATGAAGCCTAGTGAGGACTGTTGGGGGTCCGTTGATTCAGACTATTATTGTGAAACATCTCTCTTGATTCAATATATTATTGTGAAACATTCTTTGATTCATGTAATAAAAGGATCAATAATGAACCTGCATCTTCGAGTATCTATGCTGTGGTCAATGTTGTGTGGAATGAGTGGTTAGACTCGGGAAGGTCACATTTGGCTCTGCGGGCAGGATAAGTCTCGTTACATTTGGCGTTGTCGGCAGGGTAGTCAGAGACTCGTTACATTTGGCGTTGTCGGCAGGATAGACTCGGGGACTCGTTACATATATATATACAATTTTGTCAACGGACTTTAACGGAAACGGTAAGGAAGTTATGGTGTTCACATAGACATACAGACACACACAGACACACACATACAAACAAGATTGCAATGTTATGTTTTTCCTACTTTGGACGGTGCTAAACATCGATATTTTTCAAAATCTTGATTTCATTTTTTTTTTTGATGATTACAATATTTCACCATATACGCCTACTCCGAATATAAGACGATTGCTATAAGGCAATTATAACCGACAATAATTTGACCCGTATTGGCATTCGTTCGGTTCTAGAACTTGCAAACAACATTCTAGAACACTAGCTCATTAGACCTGAGACTGTTCCAGTGAACACCACATCATAAGTAGACATAGGCTATGTCCTGTGTGATTTTGTAACATAAAAAACGGACCTAATGTTGAAATTGAGATTAATGCATGCCAATTTTAATTATAATGAAAATAAAATCCCCATGTTTTGTTAATAGGTGCATTAAATGCGCTTTAAGCGTGAGTCGCTTCCTAAAGCTTTTCTTTATAATTTATTTAAATAATAGTGTATAATTTATTTTCTACTTTTTAGTGCATTATTACATAAAAGCTTGTTATTAAAACGTTTTTTATTTTAAAAAAAAAATTCAGCACTTTAAATTTTTAAAATTTACATTAAATTTCACTTAATCGGTTACCTAATTAGTTTTTTAAAGATTGAATTAATGAAAATTTTGATTAAATTAAAAGACATTCTTATCCAATTACTCCATACTATTATACACGCGTCATCACGTTATTTAGATGTGCAATGATTTTTAGTCCAACCACGAAACGTATCTGTCTGTTAGAAGTGTCTGTAATTTCGCTCGGGCGTTTCGATCTAGACTGAGGACAGAGACAGTGAGTTAAACAAAAACTTGTAAAAGTAATATACATCATTTAAATGCAGACGATTGACAAGTATTATAGATCTACTTTAAATACGTGTAAAAGTATATGGTTAAGACATATAATCAGTGTTTCTTCCAGGCATCTCTCCCCCCCCCCCCCCCCACGAAAGTCTACCGCCCCACAAACGAAATGGAATTTAAATAGATATAGAAAATATATACTTTACCAGTGCCCCCCTTCCCGGAGAAAAAAGTCTGCTGAAAGAAACACTACATATAATATAGGCCTTAACTGGCCTAACCATTTCTTGCTAATTCAAAAAGCAGTCACACAGGCTGTCAAAGGGGAAAAACTCAATATTTTAAAAGTTTTTGCTCTCTATTTTGACACCATAAAAATTACTATCTTCGTAGTCACTTTATGAAAAGATTGGAACAAATTACATAAAGCTTAATTAACATTTTCTTCTTCTGCGTTTTTAATTCAGTTTATGCTGGAGGATTTAAACAAGTCCAACTTCGTGGATAAACTTGGACTGTGTTCTCCAGAATTGCAGGTACCCTATAAAGTTTTTCCTTGAGTGGGGTGTATATAGGGCCAGTGTTTGGATCGCGCCTGGTTGTACAAGGAACAATCCTAAAGAATGTGCTGTGTATTCTATGGGGCCATGCCACAAGGACAAGCTATGCCCGACTCAACTTTTAGTTTTTTATACATGTGTTGTTTTAGTCTGTTGTGGCTGGAGTCTGAAGATAATGACAATGTGTTGTTTTTTTGCCTGTTAATTTGTAAAATCCGTCGTCTTTTTTGTAGCTTGGGTGCGTCTCAGAACACATTTGAGATTTATTTATTTTATTTCTTTCAATTCTTATACTTTCTTTTGGGTGTGGCAAGATTTGTGGTTATTTTTTCTAAATCAGACTGTTATTCGCTAACTTTATAAGAATGTAATTTTACATAGAAATCTAGATCTAGATCTTGATCTACATGACCTGTCTTTTTTTTTTTTTTTTTTTTTTTTTAAAAAAAAAGCATACTGAATTATAAATAAAATAGAAATCTAGATCAGATACAAAATAACTCATGTTTGATAATTTAAAACTTGCCCTCAGAAATTTAAGGTATACGTTTTTTTTATACATATGACTAGATTTTAGTTTTTTGTTTCTAATGTTAAAACTTTATTTATAAATATTTAATGTAGGCCTATTACTAGTATTACGGGTAATTAGACTTATCATTAGTAAATATTTCCATTCTTAGCACTTAGTCGTGAAGATAGCTGCTTCCGGTTGACAACCAAAGTTTGAAAATGGCGTCCTCGAATGAAAATAACCAACGTGGCATCAAGCAGTAGATCTATTTTGCTTTCCTTCATTTAAAAAAATATAAATCTTTGTATCTGTATACAAATTAACATAAATACCAACATGTCAGCTGTAACTGAAGTGCCCGGTGTCAATAGTGCTGTGGAAAAATTACAAGAACTTGGTCAGTAGGCCAAAAAAATACAAATAGGGGCCTTTATAATTAATTTTAATATGTTGTAGGCCTAATAGAGGGGTCTATTTAAATAAATATATATTTTTTTTATGCTAGGGCCTAAATACTTAATAAATAGTTAAATAACCTCGGGTAGATGAGGTTCGTTAGCTGGACAAAGGCTATGGAAGCAAATCCAAAAAGAAAAGCAGGCTGAAATTGGAGTCAATGGCCTCAACGGCGCATAACCAGTTGACATGTATCCTTAATTTTGATGGAGGCGTGGTCGAGTCGGCAAAAAGCTCATGGTTGTTAAATTCGAAAAAGTCTCGAGTTCAAATCAAACCCTCTGGCAGAGAAGGCTCGATCCCTTCCAACACTAAAAATTAAGAATGAAGAAGAAGTTAAATAATATTAAGTTTGTTAGATTGATGATAATTTAATGTAATCTGTATGGTAGCTAACCTATGGCGGTAATCTCACGATATAGCGTAGGAAATTATCTGGTAATGTTTGTTTTGTTTTGGTAACATTCGTTACTGTAACAGTGTAAACCATAGTTTATTTGACCCTTGAAATAGAAATAAAGTCGTGTATTAAATTAATGTTATAACTTAATTTAAAGTTTAATTGACAGAAAATTAGCAAAACAATTAGGCCTACTAAATCTAAATATGATTAATAAAGTCGAGTGCAGTAGTTAATGTTTTTTTTTAAGAAACACGGAAAAAAAACTTGCAGAAGATTTGCAACAACTAGATCTAGTCTTAAGTCTAGATTCTAGATCTAGTAAAACAAGACGATTAGATTTACTAAAGTTAAAAGTAGTAAGAAGAACTAGAACAGTGTTTAGTAGCAGCAATAATTAGCACATACACTTAAAATAATTAGAAATACAAAATAATTATCAAATAAGTATTTAAAATGCAACTAAAATCAATCCATGCACATTTTTAAACATTATGATAATCATTATGTATTAAAAATATTATGGCGACAAATAAATGATTGTTTACAGTATTTCTGGTGGTTTCCGGAACGGCTAGACAGACTATGCCATGGTTTTACTGTTTTTACTTCTGTACAAATCCGGAATAATAACTGACTCTATATCATGATTTTACCCCTATGATTATGTCTATGTAGTATGACAGTTGTAGCTGTAGGTAATTGTTTAATTTTGTTAAGAATAAAATGTATAAATATATATTTTTTTGTTTTAGGTGCGCGTTTGAAGACAGAAGATGTCAACTTTAAAGAAAAGGATATTAATAATCTAACTAGGATTGTGGAAGCTCTTAATGAACTGGTATAAAATTTAGCATTAAAATAGAAGGCTATCCTATCCTTGAAAAATAATTGTTTTGTATATCTACATAAATACATACCTAAAAATATATTTCAAATGTTTACCTAAGTGGAAACAGAATCTCATCTACAAGCAACTACATTGAACTAAATATGCCTGGCAAAGAGTGGACCAGATCAAATGTTATCTAATAATAAATCATCTAAAGTGTTGAAAAGATTCTGAAGATGTTAGGTTTAGGCCTACACCCAGTACCAATACAATTTCTCTTTCTTTAACCAAAGAGAAGGGTGTACCAAAAAGGCTTGAAAAATACTAAACTCTAAGATTTTAGTCAATAATTGAACTGCTTTATATTCAGAATTTTATCTGATTTCACCAGGAAGAAGAGAGGAAACTAATGCACGAGAAGCTGGAAATTGAAACAATTAAGTCCAGTATCTTGAGGCATGAGCTAAACTTCCTGCCAGGGCAGATTAGAGATGAAATTATGAGTATGTTTATTAATGTCAAGCAAGTTTTCTTGTGTTGAATAACAATTTTAAGTTTCAGAATTGGATTTGCTTGAAAGTTTCAGAAAAGTATTTTAGTGTAAAGCAATATATTATCTTATTTGTCTCACCTTTTACTAATCAAGTGTTCTTTAAAAATAATACACTTTAAAATGCTGACAATGCAGATGCGGTGAATGCAGCACGCCAGTCTAATGCTGATGCCCTGAAAACTCTCCAAGAGAAGCTAGAAAACATAAATAACAACATTGTGCAGAATGAGAAGATAGCTCTGGAACTGGAAAATGAAAATGCTATTCTTCAGTAGGTTTTCTTTAATTAATGGAATCTTTAATATGTTTCACAAATTAAATGTTGATTGATACTAAATATTAATAAAAATACATTGAGCCTTCTTGATTAATGTCATATTGATTCAAAGAACAATAGTAGGTCATTTAAACTGTGGAATCACAGTTAAGACTAAAGTTCAGTCATAAATAAATCAAACTGTGAAATTATCTCTAGGAAAAAGTGTGCAGTCATAAGTCAATGAGCTGTGCTGTCATGTACCCATTCTTCCAAGCTGCACTGTTAAAATATCCTTGAGAACTATCTTTTCTTCATACTGATCTTTAACATCTATGTTTATAAATAAATACAAACTTGTTAAAATCAATTTTTCCAGCCCAGAAAAAGAATTGTTACATCAGCAACATGAAGAAATTATCTCCCAACTGAATCAGAAAATGGCTGACAAAGCAATGTAAATATATTTATTTTAATTTTTTTTAATTTTCAAAAGTTGAATTGTAGTTAAGATGTCTATTTGTCTTTGGCCATCACAATTCTTGTGTCTAAATGTCTGCTCTGATTGTCTGCCCCAATTCCCCCTGACCATCAGGACACAGATTGCATTGAATGAAACAAGGGACAAAGTCAGACAAACTAATCAAGATGTAAGTCATAGGTTTTTTTTTAGATGCAACTTCTTTCAAATTGTTTTTCTGATGGCCAATGTCCAACATGTAGTCTTAACAGTTTAAAAATCCTGTCCTGGTATGTCCAACATGTAGTCCTAACAGTTTAAAAGCCTGTCCTGGTATGTTTAGATGGAAGATCTGGAGGATGGGATACTTCAACTCAAAGAGGAATTGATACAGGAGAGAACTGAGGCTCGTGTAGAAAAAAAAAGACTGAAAAAAGCTGTCGTAAGTAGAGCTTAAATCTTAAATGATTTCGTACTGATCTTTTGATACATATTCACATTCCTGCAAGTATGTTGTTTATGTCATCAACCTAAAAGCTAATTGTGTCATTATATATTTTGACCTTCACTCTCTCACCACTGACCATTTTGTGACTTCTAACCTTCACTCACTCACCACTGATGATTTTATGACCTTTGACCTACACCCACTCACCATTGTTGGTATCTTGTAGATTGCCACCCAGACAAAGACCAAAGAACAGAGAGAACAGAACATAGAAAAGAAAAAGTAAGCTGGAACAGACTAGAAAACTATTAGAATAAGTCATTTGTTGATTCAGCACTTTTCCACTGTTAGATGTTGTAGGCCTTGTGAAAATGTATTCTAAAGAAATGTAAAATGTATTTTTAAAAACTTAAGATTAAATAATTATTTTATTCAGTTAAAAGGTTTTGGCATAATTCATGTTTTTAATCTTGAATAATCTCCCATTAAAATCTTGTTACAGTGAGTTAGATTTACATCAAGAAAAGCTGTTGGACAGCCAGGGCAAGCTGGATGTATTGAAAAAGGTAAAAGTTTCCAGGAGTAAACATTGCACAATTGGTTGTACAAATGTTCTATCTAGTATTCGCCAATAACCTTTAAATTTTATTTGAATGTTAGCAAATACACATTGATTTTTTTGTTCCATTTTTTAAATTTAATTTTTATTGAGAACATGTTTTTTGTTTCTTGCATGATAAATTCCAACAACAGAGCATTCAGCGTTACGAGGCGTCAAGGAATAAACTAGAAACAGACGAGACAGCACTCATCTCTCATCTAGAGCAACAGCACAAACTCATGGAGCATCAGAGGAGGAAGGGGTGAGCACTGATCTAACTTAGCTCACAATCATGTTTACTTTAGATCATTTCATCAAACTAAAATATTTTGTTCACTCTCATAGACATTTTGATTTATTATCATTTCTCAATATTTAAGTAGTATTTTGATTGAATTATGGGACGGAGTGGTCTAGCGGTAGAGAGCTGGACTGCTAACCCGTAAGTCTCGAGTTCGAATCCGGGTTAAAGTCAGTAGACCGTCCCTGAGTCCACCCAACTCTTATGGGTACCTAACTCACGTTAGGGATAGTAAAGGCGGCTGGGCATAGTGCTGACCACATTATCTCTTCATATGCCGAGGTCACAGAAACAAGTGAACTCTACTTCACTTGCCCCTTAGACCGTCAGGTTTGAAAGGGAAACTTTACTTTACTTGATTGAATTTATTTTTCTGTTTTGTGTTCTTTATTTTCTTTGATTAGTAAATTTTTGTCTTTTATTATTTTATGACTAATTTTTTATTAAATAATGTTTAAGTCTAACGCCATGTTCTTTTTGTTTGTTAAACATGATATTTGTGGTGGGTGGGGTGGTGCCTATACTACTATTGATGATTTCTCTGTGTGGTGTTAGGGCTTATGTGGGTGGGGTGGTGCCTATACTACTATTGATGATTTCTCTGTGTGGTGGGTGGGGTGGTGCCTATACTACTATTGATGATTTCTCTGTGTGGTGTTAGGGCTTATGTAGGTGGAGTGGTGCCTATAATATTATTGATGATTTCTCTGTGTGGTGGGTGGGGTGGTGCCTATACTACTATTGATGATTTCTCTGTGTGGTGTTAGGGCTGATGTGGGTGGGGTGGTGCCTATACTACTATTGATGATTTCTCTGTGTGGTGTTAGGGCTTATGTAGGTGGAGTGGTGCCTATAATATTATTGATGATTTCTCTGTGTGGTGGGTGGGGTGGTGCCTATAATATTATTAATGATTTCTCTGTGTGGTGTTAGGGCTTATGTGGGTGGAGTGGTGCCTATACTACTATTGATGATTTCTCTGTGTGGTGGGTGTGGTGGTGCCTATACTACTATTGATGATTTCTCTGTGTGGTTTTAGGGCTGATGTTATCAACCAAGGCCTGAGGGAAGAACAAGACTTTGAAAACAAACAAAAAACTTTACACAAGAGACTCAAAATTGTGAGCCACTGTTTACCTTAACAGTTGATGTTCAAGCATATTCTTTGTTTTTAATTCATAAAATGTTATCATTTATTTGTTATCTTAAAAATATTGAACTAAAAAGCCAGTCCTGTTGGAATGATTTAAACTTAATTTATGTCTACCACCAGCTGAAAAGTGACATCACTAGAGAAACAGAGAGAACAGATGTTTTGGAACAGAGGAGAACTCAGCTGTACATTGGTAGGAGCTTCTTCTCTCCCTTTAGTTAGTCAACATTAGTAGGAGCTTCTTCTCTCCCTTTAGTTAGTCAACATTGGTAGGAGCTTCTTCTCTCCCTTTAGTTAGTCGACATTAGTAGGAGCCTCTTCTCTCCCTTTAGTTAGTCAACATTGGTAGGAGCTTCTTCTCTCCCTTCAGTTAGTCAACATTAGTAGGAGCTTCTTCTCTCCCTTTAGTTAGTCAACATTAGTAGGAGCTTCTTCTCTCCCTTTAGTTAGTCAACATTAGTAGGAGCTTCTTCTCTCCCTTTAGTTAGTCAACATTAGTAGGAGCTTCTTCTCTCCCTTTAGTTAGTCAACATTAGTAGGAACCTCTTCTCTCCCTTTAGCTAGACAAAATTGGTAGAGACTTCTCTCCCTTTAGTTAGTAAACATTCAAATACTGGTGATAGAAAAGCCTTATGTTTCTTTTAATTAACTAAATAAAATAGATAAAAAAAAAGTTAAAATCCCCAGCCAAGAGCATCAAGTATAAATAGATCTAAATTCAGGCTGCATTTAAAAAATATTTTTAACTCAAAATATTTTTTTTTAAATTTCAGATGTACAAGAAAAACAAAAGATAACTGAAGATGAAGCTAAATATGTGGAGCAATTAGATCTTAGGTCAGTAATTTCTACATTAAATATTATTTGAGTTATAAATATAGTTTTATTTCTATCTTTTGTAAAAACATTTAACCACAACATGTAAGCATGAAAAATATTTTGTATGGTATCTATTGAATATAGCACAAAAACAAATACATATGGGCCCAAAAGCTTCTGTTTTTTTTTTAATAATAGTTGTTTAATTAGGCATATATTTTTTCAATAATTAACATTATCAGTGAGCAGATAGGGTCAGAAAAATACTTTAAAAGCTAATTTTTTGCAAAATTTACTTATTCTTAATATATTTGTCTATTACAGAAATATTGAACACATTCAAAAATATTAAAATTCAATAATGATGAAAAATCCATATTTTCAACTTTATCCACTGCCCACGTTCTTTAACCTTAAGATTTGAAACAAAATTTATAAATATTTACATCTGATGAAACCAGATGAACTGATGTAGTTTTGTAACTCCACAGGCTGCAAGCTGCTAAAGAAAATTTGAGTGAGAAAGCTGAAGAGTTTGGCCGAATGCAAACTGAAAATACACAAATGGCAGATGAACTGATATCTTTAGAGGGGTCTCACAAGTAAGTGGTTCTTTAGGGGTCTCACAAGTAAGTGGTTCTTTAGGGGTCTCACAAGTAAGTGGTTCTGTAGGGGTCACACAAGTAAGTGGTTCTGTAGGGGTCTCACAAGTAAGTGGTTCTGTAGGGGTCACACTAAGTGGTTCTGTAGGGGTCACACTAAGTGGTTCTGTAGGGGTCACACAAGTAAGTGGTTCTGTAGGGGTCACACAAGTAAGTGGTTCTGTAGGGGTCACACAGGTAAGTGGTTCTGTAGGGGTCACACAGATAAGTGGTTCTGTGGGGGTCACACAAGTAAGTGGTTCTGTAGGGGTCACACTAAGTGGTTCTGTAGGGGTCACACTAAGTGGTTCTGTAGGGGTCACACAGGTAAGTGGTTCTGTAGGGGTCACACAAGTAAGTGGTTCTGTAGGGGTCTCACAAGTAAGTGGTTCTGTAGGGGTCACACAGATAAGTGGTTCTGTAGGGGTCACACAGATAAGTGGTTCTGTGGGGGTCACACAGATAAGTGGTTCTGTAGGGGTCACACAAGTAAGTGGTTCTGTAGGGGTCTCACAAGTAAGTGGTTCTGTGGGGGTCACACAGATAAGTGGTTCTGTAGGGGTCATACAGATAAGTGGTTCTGTGGGGGTCACACAGGTAAGTGGTTCTTTAGGGGTCATACAGATAAGTGGTTCTTTAGGGGTCATACAGATAAGTGGTTCTGTGGGGGTCACAAAAGATTCTGTAGGGGTAGACAACGTTTTCTATGACAGTCCGACAACATTTTGTATTACTGTCAGACAACATTTTGTATGACTGTCAGACAACATTTTGTATGACTGTCAGACAACATTTTGTATGACTGTCAGACAACATTTTGTATGACTGTCAGACAACATTTTGTATGACTGTCAGACAACATTTTGTATGACTGTCAGACAACATTTTGTATGACTGTCAGACAACATTTTGTATGACTGTCAGACAACATTTTGTATGACTGTCAGACAACATTTTGTATGACTGTCAGACAACATTTTGTATGACTGTCAGACAACATTTTGTATGACTGTCAGACAACATTTTGTATGACTGTCAGACAACATTTTGTATGACTGTCAGACAACATTTTGTATGACTGTCAGACAACATTTTGTATGACTGTCAGACAACATTTTGTATGACTGTCAGACAACATTTTGTATGACTGTCAGACAACATTTTGTATGACTGTCAGACAACATTTTGTATGACTGTCAGACAACATTTTGTATGACTGTCAGACAACATTTTGTATGACTGTCAGACAACATTTTGTATGACTGTCAGACAACATTTTGTATGACTGTCAGACAACATTTTGTATGACTGTCAGACAACATTTTGTATGACTGTCAGACAACATTTTGTATGACTGTCAGATAGCATGTTGTATGAGTGTCAGACAGTTAAGAGAGCTTATTAGTAGACATGTAACATTTATATTATATGTAACATTGTTTTTATATGTATACACATATTTACCAGTAACAGAAGCTATGTATATGTTTCAGGGCTGTGTTGGCTCAGTTGAACAATCAAATAGAGGAACACAGAGATCAATTGGCTAGAGAACGTAATGAAAGGTTAGTTAGTGTCATAGGTCAGTTAGAGTGGTAGGTCAGTTAGAGTGGTAGGTCTTTTTCTGTGATAGATCAGTCAGTGTGATAGGTCAGTCAGTGTGATAGGTCATTTGGTGTGTTAGGTCATTTAGTGTGTTAGGTCATTTGGTGTTTTAAGTCAGTCAGTGTGATAGGTCATTTGGTGTGTTAGGTCAGTCAGTGTGATAGGTCAGTCAGTGTGATAGGTCAGTCAGTGTGATAGGTCAGTCAGTGTGATAGGTCAGTCAGTCTGATAGGTCAGTCAGTCTGATAGGTCAGTCAGTGTGATAGGTCAGTCAGTGTGATAGGTCAGTCAGTCTGATAGGTCAGTCAGTCTGATAGGTCAGTCAGTGTAAAAAATTATTCAGTGTGATAGGTCAGTCAGTCTGATAGGTCAGTCAGTGTGATGAGTATTTGGACATTGAGTGCCATAGGTTTTAGGTCATTCAGAGTCTGCAGGATAAGTGTTGAATCTGTCAGAATATATGGTATTTTATATTTAGAGAGTTTATATTTAGAGTTTATATCTACCCTCCCCATTTGTAATCTCTTTCTGACCTCTATTAAAAAAATTTCTCTTTGGTTTTGTGATTTTGTTAGAATTGAAAACTTTCTACTTAATTTTGTGATTTTGTTAGAATTGAAGACTTTCTATTTGGTTCTGTGATTTTGTTAGAATTGAAAACTTTCTACTTAATTTTGTGATTTTGTTAGAATTGAAGACTTTCTATTTGGTTCTGTGATTTTGTTAGAATTGAAAACTTTCTACTTAATTTTGTGATTTTGTTAGAATTGAGTTACAGCGTAACAAAGACGTGGTGGGCAGCAATTTACAAAACATCAAAACAGACCAGCAACAATTTATTATGGCCAAAACTGCTGAAATACAAGAGGGGAAGAAAAAACATGTGGATCTCTCGAATGAAGTAAGTTGCATCAGTTCAATTTAAGGCACTGTAAATGCATTTTATTTCTTAAACCAATAAATTGTGTAACACATTCTTAATGACCGTAAAAAAAAAATTCTTTTTCTTTATGCCATAAAACTATTAAGTTAAACCTGATAATATTAATTGTTTCAGGGGGTATCACTCCAAAATGAAATAAAGAAAGATGAAGTAGAAATTCAAGCATTAGACACAAAATTAAAAGCTCTAGAAAAATCGTATGAGGAAATGTTCACCAGTTGTCAACAAAAGGTGGACACCCTGCAGGTACAAGGGAAACCTTTAGCATTCCTTCTTCATTATTTCTCATATTTTTACATAATGTCAATATGGAGAAATATATCCATTGCTTACCTAAAAATTATAAGTCTCACAAAATTTATTTTGGTATGGGAAAACTTTCTTTTCGCAATGTCAAATTTTGATTGACAAGCTTATGATGTTTTGTTTAATCATATTTTCATATGTAGAGTGAAATAGGCTCAATGGAAAATGAGATTTCTCAAAAGAAATTGACTTTGTTAGAGAAAATCCCAGAATTCCAAGAGTATGAAGAGTTTTTTAATAGAAGAAATGAAGAGTATGATACAGTCAAGAAATCTATAGTTGGTAGGTTCTTAAATCGTTTCTATACCTAACACATCTTTACCCTGTATTTTCATTAGTTTCAGTCATTTCTTATTTTTATGTTAAAAGAACAAACCAACGTGAAATTAAAAAATTTTGAGGCTCATTAACCACACATAAAAACTCAATCATTGAAAGGTCTTGTTGTTTTTTTTAAAGTAAAAAGTGTTAAGAAACTCTGAAAAATCTATTTAATATCCTGAATGTTTACTGAATGTTGAAGGATCAATGGACTGTCCAGCCTCCCTTCGACAGTTAGATTCAAGGACATCCATAGACTTCAGTATAACTGATTCAAACTTTACCCCACTCCTACATTTTAAAAGCTACCAGCAATGAAAAATTTAAATCCTTATTTTGATTCCTCTTCTTGTTTCAGTTCTCAAGAATAAAAAGCTGAGTCTGGAGGATACCATGAAAAGAACCAAACGAGAACAAGAAAGTCTTAAAGTTCCTCAGGTAAAACTGGAGAGTTTATTTCTTGGGTGATTTTTATAAGAGCAACCTGGCTGAGCACATAGTTGCTAACCCTGGCATGTCCATCAAACTGTATATCTGACTCAAGCTAGGGAAAACAATGGTGGGACATGGTGCTGGACCCAACCTTTTATCTTTTATATGCTGAGTCAAAGAGACAGATAAATCATAATTAATTTGCTCTGTATAGTATTCATGTTTCAAAATGCTTAATTAACATGTATGTTTTTTTAATTAAAGATATGTTCTTTAAATTGTTCTCAGGCAACACTACTGAATGATCTGAAAGAAAATCGCAGCCTCGTAATGAAACAGATTCAGTCTCAAGCAGACGTGACCAATGAGATGGAACAACAAATATTTCTTGCTGGCTGTCAGCTTAGAATGGTAATGGAAGAGAACCAAAGATTTGAAAAGGTATCTTCATCACCTCACCTGCATGCTAATTGTTATATCATTTTTAAATGAGCAGAGCAAAAATTAGGAAAATAAAGGACAGTAAATTTATTCTAATTGTTCAGCTGGGTGGACTTAGGAATATATCCCTTGGTCCAAAAGCTTGGCCAGTAGTTGTACATGTATTGATGGCATGAGGCTGGGCTTACTGACCACACTATCCCCTTATATGCTGAGGTCACAGAAACAAATGACCATCTGGTCTGAAATGGTCTCCTTACTTTTTTTCTACATCCCATGCAACTGTTTGCTGTTTTAGAAAAAAGACCTTTAAGAGTTATTATTTAAATCTTTACAGTTTACAAACAATATTTTTACCCTTTTCAACACTCATGCAGAATGACAATTTAAAAAAATTTGTTTCAAGTTTATTCTTTGTTTTTATTTTGTTTCTTTTATTACATTTTTCTAACCTTCCCAGGCATGTAAAAAACTAGAAGAAGAATTAGCAGAACTAGAGAAACAAAAGTTGGAAAATGAAAAAGTAAAACTGGCATCTGAAGAGAACTTGATCACACTGAAAAGTAAATAAAAATTAGCAAATCCTTAACTTACTATATAGCCTACCATGTACATCTTAACATTTAAAAAATTATTACACTCTAAATTTTTATAAGATTTTATTTTACATAAATGTTTTAGGAAATCTTTCAAAAAGCATCTCATTGTTTTCAAATATTTTTAGATGAACTGACAGAGAAATGGGAAAAAGATAAACTAATGCAAGAGGTAAGAAGAGCTTGGACATTTTCTTGTAGATTTATATCTACATTTTAGTCATTAAAAAGAAATCAATCAAGTTTTTAAATGTAAATCTTTTTCCAGTTTTTTGCCATACGGGATGAAAAAACTGCTGAAGCGTTTGGCTGTTTGATGGAAAAGACTGGTAAACGTGAAATGAAAATTGATGGTATTGCTGTTAAAATGAAAGCAGAGTTGGAAGTTTTATCAGACTTTCTAGATACCATAGCAACACGGCGACCACATGGTAATTATTTAAATTTGCACTAACTTTTTATTCTACTTTAATAAACTATTACAAAATATTTTATTTGGTATACATTATTTTGAATTGAATTTGCTTCTTTATATTATAAACACATTTAAATTTAAGATTATAAGTTTTTGGTGTTGGGCTATTAAACCAAACGTAAAATAGAGAGAAATTTAATTTGCACAAAGCTTATAAATTTTGCACAAAATAATGTTTTTTGTTTTAATAACCAAATAGATTTAAACAAAAGGTTGAGGTTTATGTTATCATTTATTAAATTTCATGTGACTAACTTTTACAAAAACAGGATCTAAAAAACAGAAAAGGTAACATTAAAAAATCAAGAGTTGTGTGTGCCTTTTTGTGCATTAATACTAGTTATGTCCTTGTGTGATAACAAAAGTTATTTCCCTTTACTCCTGACAAACATTCTTACTCATTTCACTAAGGCTTAGTTTACAACTAGTAAAGCTATTTGTTTAAATACTTATCTGCTTTCATATTTTTGGTATTAAATAGCAAATAGCTAGTTTATGTTTACTGACGTGAAATGATTAAACCATTTTCTAAAAAATAAACTTTAAATGATTTAGTGATAGTCCTACTAATAAAAAGTAGCATGACTTGATTACCCAAATTGGTTCCAAAAGTGAAAACAATAATTTCAGCTCAGTGTCAAGACTCAAGTTGTTAGTGCTAGTTCAACTATCACGTATTAACCTACACTCTGAATGTTTTCCTTTAGTTATGTGTGAAATATAGAAGAAAAAACCACCATGTACTAGTCCAGTAGTTCATCAGTAGTAATCACACCACTAACATACCATGTTAACATTCTTCATCAACTCAGGAATGATTGTACAATAATGATTTGGTCAACATAATTCTTTAATGAACATCTAGAGAATTGTTTGTCATTTTTAACCCAAAAATAAAGTTAACATTAAAATAGATTTTAATTTTTTTTGAATTATTCTCCTTTAACATTATTATTTTCAAAATGTAAATTTTGTTTAAAGACTAGATATTTCATTTTAAAATTTTCATTTGTAAAATGTCCTATAATAATTTTACAAGAACTGAGTTCACAGCTGTCCACAAAAATTTTCTTACCCCACTTTTTAAATGCCTGACCAGAAAATCCACATAAAAAACATCTCAGCTGTCATGATCAAGTCTAGCCCTACATACACATGTTGTATATTTGTGTTTTATTTCAGATATTTATTTGGGTAACTATGCCTTGAGCAATTTTAAAAAACTTTTTAAACCTTATCATTGACTTATACTAGAATGACTTATAAAAATTTATATATATATATATATATATATATATATATATATATATATATATATATATATAGCTGCTTTTTCAATTACCACGAGTATTATTTACTAGGGCATAGAATGGCTTTTGTAATATACTATACAAGCTGACCCTTGCCGTAAACATATGGTCTCGTAAGCATACGCAGCTGTTTCGTTGTTTTATCTTCTATTTTTCAGTAATTCATAATTTACTACCAATTTTGCTTTAAAATACTATCATTAGCTGGTAAAGACGATTATCCTTACCCTCCCTCCCCACCCCACACGAACTCCGAAAAAGCAGCTGTCAGTGACGACAGTTTACAGACGACAATGAATAGTTATGGTAGAAATTGTTATTACCTCCCCTTTTCAAATCTAAATTATCTGCCCCTAATAGCTGACCCGGCTCTACGGTTGTAAGCATTCAGGGTGAACCACAACTCACCTGACAGGTGGGGATGAGGGTGGTGGCTAAGCTGCGTGGTGTCTTCCATGGTCTCCATGAAGAGAATTATATATATAAATTTTCAACTTGATTGATTTTCAGTTTTCTTGGAGTAACTAAGCCCCCAAACTTTCACCAGACAAAGAAGTACAAAGATAGCAGTCTTACACCTAGACAACAGTGACAGCAGACAAGGCTTGTTACCCTACAAGCTTGAAGAATGTATTGGTGGCTTGAGAAGAGACTTGTCAAATAAAATTTGCTCATGATCGGTTGGGGGGTGGAGGAATCAGTAACGTGACAGTATTTTTTTGTTTTAGTTTTTAAAATGTAATTAATGAAACTAAGTTTTTGCAGCTATTTGTTTTTAATTTATCTTGAGAATTGTAATACAATGTGATAAATGTACATAATTTTGTACATAATTTACTTAACTCATTTAATATTTTAATATCTAGAAACTCCAGTTTTTAAAGGTTCTATCAGTTGGGTGTAGGGAGGACAAGGGGGTGTGATTAGATTTGATAGGAGGAAGAAAAGAATGACAAAAAGTATGTCATTCATCTATCAGCTTATTTTACTTTTAAAGTTCAAGATCTATTGTTTTGTCATGGATAGTTACTTCCCTTAATTGTTGACCTAAAAAACCATTTAAAATGTTCTATTTTAATGACAAATATTTGTTAAATAAAGCTATTTAACATCTAAGTTCCCATTTAGTTTATGCATGTCATTTTGTATGTACAATCAAGATCCCTTTTGGTGTAGAAAAAAAAACTTACTTTTAAAAATCAACCAGGCAAGTCAAGAATAGTTCAGTATTTTATTCAAATTTGCAAAGTAACAAATACAATATTTGAACAGATGTACACTATCATAAATAAGATTGATATCACATTACAACAGAAACTAAAAAAAAACTTTGCTTTTTAGGGCAGTGCGCCTCTCCGTATATAAACTATTGACTTCCCAAACAATTCATTCAATGGTCACATTATTTTCACTTGAAAACTCAAATCTAGAAATTGAATACAGCTCTAACAATTGCATAGGGCAAAATTAAATGACTATACCAATAAAAAAATATCAAAGCAGCAAAACTGAAAACACAACAACTAGACATCATTTAACATTATAAACAGCATGAAAGCAGTTGCCAATTTTAACAAACAAATTTTTAAAAATGTATTGTTCACATTAAATTTAAACCATTACTTCCATTTTTGCTAAATGTAAAATCAATGGTAGTAACATTTTTAAAAAATAACTATACAGAAATTATCTTCCCAATTATTAAAAATTTCTTGGTGTGAATAGTTGAATACATTTCTCTGAAGTTACAATCAACTGAAAATCATGTAGTTTAGTGAATAAATTGAACCAAATAAAAATCTATAAATAGAACTAGACAAGTGAAATGTATGGACAGTGTTGCAGCAAACCTGTCTACACAAGCTTCAAGGCAAAGTGATGTATTGCACATGTTCTCAGACCATTAAAACACACTATTTGCCTATTGGAACAGAACAAAACAAGAATGCTATAGTTACTTCAGTATGCTGTGATGCTATATCAAACATGCGGTAGTGATTGTAAATAAAAATATGGCAGAAAGGAAAATCTAGGAGGTCATAAATTTCAACAGGTGAAAAATTCTTACAAAACTAAATGGGTAGCAGAGGACAGGGCCATTTTATGTACATGGAATGTCATTTCAACCCACAGCTAAAATAAATAATGAGCCTAATTAATGATGTCATCTGGAGAAACATCAGTAGCACATTAGATGAGGGTACACTGACAAAATAGATCATTTGACATAAAACACACCAACATTTCAACCAGGCAGATAAAGGGGAGAAAAAATCTTCAGGTCAAAAGTTCAAGGTTGAATGAACTGACAAAAATAAAAGGTTGAGCTCTAGAAAAAATACTGACAATTAGAGTAGATGTATTTGATAGTTGTCATGATGATATCACAATTTCTTCTGCGATGCTACACTGACACAAGCATCTAAAACATTCAAATTTAAAACTAGATGTCGAATGCTTGAGCTTATAATAATTTTTACAAGTTCTCTTTGAACTAGTGGCATAACATCACAATACATGGTTAACATTATCCAAAACTTTATATCAAATAAACTTCTGTCATTTAGAATTATATAACTGAACAAATGGTCATTTGTCCATTAGAATTGTCATACTGAACAAATGCAAGCATCCTAGAAGAAAATAACTTTCATAACAAAACCCTTTCATTCTTCCATCTACACAACTAAGATTAGAAAAAGAAATGAACAACGTTAGTTAATTGTTGTGGACTTCCTAACATGGCTATCCCACTGAGGAGCATGACCAGTTAAAATGTAACCAAAGGATCACAAAGTTCTCATGTGGAAGGTTCCTCAGTTAACAAGACTACACAAACTTAAGTTGACTGTCTACATTAAATAAAATAGATTTTGCAATGTAAACCCAAATCCATGGCTTTTGATCATAAATCTGTACTGATGTTTAAGCTATTAACTAGACATGCCTGTGCAAGCAAAAAAAAATGGATTATGGAAAGAACTGTTTCTTTTCAGTACATTTTTTTTCTTTTAAAATAACTAAAAGTTAAATTACTTTTAATTACAATTTACAATCAATAATTTGTGATTAAATTATTTACTATTCAAAAGCTGACATTGAGCTGTCAGCACAGGCACGCAGTTATTCCTCCTTGTCCTGCAACGCTGTGATACAATTCTTTAGTAGTTGCACTTGAGCCTAGTCACACAAAAAAACATTTTATCAGATTTTGATCTTCACTACAAGACAACATGAGATTAAAGATTTGAAAAATTCATAAAAAACATTTTAATAACAAGCTTTTATGTAATAATGAACTAAAAAGTAGAAAATAAATGATTTTCTTTCAATATATAATAATAATACACTACTATTTAAATAACTATAGAGAAAAGCGTGGGTCACTAAATTATTACAGTTACCAATATCTAGGAAGAGACCCAAGCTTTTCTTTATAATTATTTAAATAGTAGCGTATTATTTGATTAATTCATAAAAAATTATTTAGGCAACCAATAAAGTCAAATTTAATGTCAGATTGCATTGTCTTCATGTCTTGACCCACGTGCCAACTTTAAAACGAATCTGTCAGAACTGACCAAAATTTTGCTCCAGTGTTTCGATCTATGACGACAGATAGACAGACATACTAGACGAGGAAGCAAGTTAAATAAAAGCTTGTAAAACTCACCTTCGCATGCTTCATTTCTAGCTCCACAAGTTCTACCAAATGTTTCCTAAAGTATATAATTCTTCTGCTCTTGAATTCTTGAATTTCTATTTAAATAAAAATTTGAAATCGTTTCATAATTTCTAAACATATTTTGTCTTTAGCAAACATTATTTCTAAGGCATTATTTTATATGTGAAAAAAGTATATTTCGAAATCCTAAACTAAACTAGACAGAAATGACAAAATTGAATGTTTAGTATCAAGAATTGCTATAATATCACCCCCACTCCCCTGATTTTAAAAATGTTTTCATGTGCTGCTTTCTAAAAATGGTAACTAAAATGTGTAAACATGATTTAAGATGTTATTTCTTGTTTATAAAAAGATCACATGATCTTGCTTTTAGAAACCTCTAGATTAGTAGGGTAAAGCTAGAGTTAGAAATTGGTTTGTGGTAGTGTTCATTCAGATGTTATTCATTTACTGTTTAAAACTAATGCTGGCCACATCTCTTATTAGTATTACAGATGTGTAATAGCTAATTGTCTAGGTTATATATTATGGTGAAAGTACATAAGGCTGACTAATTACCTTTTTTGGCAACTTCTGAAATCTTTTCAAACTTTTTACAACATTGTTCTTGTGCTTTCTCAGCCTGAATAAGATAAAAAAAAAATTGATGGCTTTGTTTTAAAATCTGAAAAACAAGAAATTGTGTTTGTTGATGAGAGCAACATGATACATACAGCAGCAACCTCCTTGTTTTTTGTTCGAGCCTTCTCCAGAGCTTTGTTGGCATTCTCGTAGTCGACCAGAGCCCTCATGCGCCTGTACAGCAGGTCCTTGGCTGCCATTGAGTCCCTCATGTAGTAGCGCAGTGTGTCACTCAGCTTCAGGTCTTCATCTGATGCCACACGACCTTCTAGTTTCTGGTGACATCAAGTTACAAAAACACTTCGATCAACTCAGCTGTAAAGGTGTAATATGTAGACAACACTGACACATTTTGCACCTTTGACACTTCATACACCTGTGGCACATTAGGTACACCTGTGATACATTAAAAACTACACTTTTGACACACCACTTACCCGAGCTTTCTCTAAAGCCTCAGCAACTTTACTAAATATTCTGAAAGATGAGAATAAAATAATTTCAAATATTCATAAATGTAAATTACTGGGTTGATCATTGAAACAACAAAAATACCACTTGACTACACTTGACACTATTTGTCAAGAGTCTAGCTAGTTCAGCTATAAGGTAAACATACAATGGATGAGATCAGACCATGAAATTTGTTCTACTAGACACTACACTTTTTGCAGCACTTCATTTTATAAAGTAAAAAACCTTATTGTAATTTTACTTTATGTGATACACAATGAGTGACTAGAACGGCTGAAATTAAATAGTGCTCATTAGTTGTTTTTAAAAAAAAATTTATTTGGAAAGAACTGCCAACTTGAAAATATAAAACATTTGAGTCAAAACTAATCATTCTGATATTAACAACATTGTTATTTTGCTTTTAAAACAGCTTTGTCTACAACAAAAAAAATTGAAGGTATCATATTTCTATTTCCCCAAACTAAACAGACTCAAGGGGTTTCTCTCAGCTGAGCTCACATAAGCTTAGTAATCAGCAGGCCTAAAGCAAAGAAGCCAAAAATGATAGATCTTGAGGGAGTAGCTAGCACCAGATGTTTAAAAAAAATTGGAAACTGTACAGAAAGTACTGGAAGTTTATACCTATCATGTGCCTCATTAGAGCCCCGGAGATGTACATATAAAAAAATAATTTCTTAAACTTTTAACTCTTTAAGACCGTAACGACGCTCCCAGCGGTCGGCCTGCCGGCCTGCCATACCGTAACGCCCACAGCGTCCGATAAAATTTTCTCTATTTAATTCGTTGTTTTTCGAAATCCAAGTTTTTAATCGTAAATCTAGGTCATGATAACGCTAAAGCGGCCATTTTTCGTTGTATTTACTTTTTATAGTTTTCTCGTCAGATCGATTTTGTATTTTATAGAATTTTTTTTGTAAACCAACTCGAAAAACGGCATTTTTAACACTGCGTAATGCCGTTCAGCTGCCGCGTCCAAACGTTTACGTCGCCGCATTATAAAATGAACAAATATTAAAGTTTTTTTATAAAATTAACGAAAATTAAAGTATTTATACTAAGACTAATCCGATCCATGATTTTTGTAGATAAATGGACGTACTTTCATTTTCTATGAATAAGAACTCATGAAAAGTTATTCTTATTATTAATTTTCCCGACAGAAGCGTAATTTTTGCACGAAAAAAAACAACTCTTTATTTTTTCTTCTTTAAAACTAAGTAATTATCTTTCTTCAATAAATAAATAATTCCTTAAAATTTATATCAGTTTTTTAATTAATTTTTTTTTTTTATTAATTTTTATCAATAATCCGTGGGGTTTAAATTAACGGGTAAAAAGATATGGGTCATTTAGCCGCAGGGGTACTGATAAAAAAATGAGGGGAAAAAAATAATTCCGGTAAAACGTGAAAATAATTACGGGCTTAAAGAGTAAAAATAAAAATATGTAACTAATTTAACTGAAATATGATGAAATCAGACTGAAAATACAATTTCTGATAAATCCACTGAAAATACAATTTCTGATAAATCCACTGAAATCTGGAAAGATCACGCCCCTACATACAATTAAGAAAAATGTGTTATATAAGAAAAAACTGTTTATATTATAGATGTAGTTATATTATTATAGTGTATATTACTTTATCTGATGAATTCGTAAGCAAAGAGTTATTTTCAGTCAGCACACATTTCTGTGGCATGATTCTTGGAAGCAGTAAGTTACCTGTCTAGTTCTGTGTTCTCTATTGTTGCCAACTGTACTAAACCAGTGGATATCTGGATGTAAGAATCAGCTACATCTGTAGGGACATAGAATTAATTGTATCAAATATCTTGTAATCAATATTATTATTTACAATTAAAAATGAAAAAATGTGCTAATATCAACTCACTTTTGTGCACCTTTGTCATTCTATCAGCTTTGCCAGTGGCATCTTTGATTTTGTTGTGATATTCTATAAGAAAAACTTTCTCAGACTCAAAGAATTCATCGACATCCTAGGGAGAAGACATAACTTAATAAAATCTTGTAGACACCAAAATCTGACTCAACACATTACATATTTGGTATGTGGTATAACAACTCACTTTCTGTCCTGATATTAAAACTTCATCTGCAGTTTTTGTAATGCTCTTGAAGAAACCACCAATTCTTTCCTTCTTATTTTTTCCTCTTACACTCATCTGTAAGAAAATTTATTTCTGTGCTAACTAAATAATTGCTGCATTTAATTCTATTCTTTAACAGACAGCTTTTTAAACAGAACTGAAACCCCATTAAATTGAATCTATAAAACTATTAAACAGATAAAAAAGTAAAAAGATTTAAGCAACAGCATTACATGACAAGAATATTAGCAGTATAAAACCAGCAATTGCAACAGACATAAAAATCTTACATCGCCAGCGTATTCTAGAAAGACTTCAAAGTTCACATCATGCCGCAACACAGGGTGAGCAGCTATTCTCTGAAGGAACACTTCATGCATGGCAACTGTTTTCTTGAACGTTGCCAGGTACTCACTGAGGACAGGATCAAAAGATTTAACATCAAGCTCGCAGCTTTACTCTCTCATAGGATCAAAAGATTTAACATCAAGCTCACAGCTTTACTCTCTCATAGGATCAAAAGATTTAACATCAAGCTCACAGCTTTACTCTCTCATAGGATCAAAAAATTTAACATCAAACTCACAGCTTTACTCTCTCATAGGATCAAAAGATTTAACATCAAACTCACAGCTTTACTCTCTCATAGGATCAAAAGATTTAACATCAAACTCACAGCTTTACTCTCTCATAAGATCAAAAGATTTAACATCAAACTCACAGCTTTACTCTCTCATAGGATCAAAAGATTTAACATCAAACTCACAGCTTTACTCTCTCATAGGATCAAAAGATTTAACATCAAGCTCACAGCTTTACTCTCTCATAGGATCAAAAGATTTAACATCAAACTCACAGCTTTACTCTCTCATAGGATCAAAAGATTTAACATCAAACTCACAGCTTTACTCTCTCATAGGATCAAAAGATTTAACATCAAGCTCACAGCTTTACTCTCTCATAGGATCAAAAAATTTAACATCAAACTCACAGCTTTACTCTCTCATAGGATCAAAAGATTTAACATCAAACTCACAGCTTTACTCTCTCATAGGATCAAAAGATTTAACATTAAGCTCGCAGCTTCACTCTCTCATTACAATCTTATAATCTAAGTCAATCATATTTTAATTCACACAAGATTCTTTTAAAGTGTAAAAATAAATATATCGTACGCTTCAAGCTCCTGTTTCATCTTAGTGAATTCCTCTTTAGTCATCGTACCCTCACCCTCACCAAGTCTTTGTAACTTCTCTCTGGAGGCGTCAAAATCTGGTTTAGGAGGCGCAGGTGGAATCTAGAGACAGGGTCAACAGTTGTCAGTAAATACAATAATTGCCACAAAAGTACAACTTTAAATTATCTAGTGTTTACATCTGTTACTCACAATTATGCCAGCATACTCTTCATTTTCAACATATCGATCATGGAGCCACACAAATTCTTCATGCTGTCTAACAACTGACATCTCAGAGTTCTTGAAATGCTGCAGTGTTGTCTAAATCAAACAAAAATAGTGCATGATAAAAAACTAAGAAACTCAAAATATTTTGCAATAGTTGTGTATTCATAAAGGACAATACCTAGAAATGTTTTTTTTTAAAATACCTTGGTATGTACGGTAAATTTGACTTTTTCTCTCTCACTCAGGGCATCAGAAATGTCTACCATCAGTGATGTATCTGTAAGGTCAACAGTATCTGACCTTGTCTATAAAAATAATGAAGAATTATTAACAATTAACCTGTGTAAAGATCAACTGATAACATTATGTTAATATAAAAAGCCTTCATAAAAAATCAAAGTTAAATTAAGCTCATTTTAAAATATTTCCACTTTACACTGTTCAAAAATATTGCTATTTAAAGTAACCTTTTCCCTTTGCATTTAGGGCCTACATCATTCCACTAAATAATATGTCTGAATAGATTTCTTGTGTGGCTATACTGAAAAAATCTGCAGTTTAAAATATTTACTTGAGGAAATTATAATGGCACTAGCAGAAACTCAGTAACTTAGGCAAGGTTTGGTTTTCTAAACTAGTGTAGAGAAAGTAGGCCCAACCGACTGAAAGGAGATTGTTTATATTATTGTTTTTAGTTTATATTTCACTCAATGCAACAAGCCTGCGGTTGGTTGAGGCCAGGCCGGGGGTTCGTACGCCAGGTATACAAAGTGTTGACCTGAAACATGGTCCAAGCCACCTTTTTATATTTTATTTTTTGGTAAATTATAGTTAGAATTTCAGGAAAAACCACTCTAATTTACAGATGGTCGCTGTTTATATAATAGCCTTTATAGTCACATTTATAGTGTATATAGCAGATCTTGCTCTCAAACACTTCTATTTAAAGTCCATTTTTGGCCTATTGATATACATTGTTATTGCATTTGCTTTATTATTCAGTTTGCTTATGTATTAATTATAAACAAATTATATCACAATGATAATTCAATATAGATCTAGTAGGCCTATATAGTATATACAGTATATAGTATATAGTATATAATAGGCCAACTTGTAGCCATAATAAAAAGTCAACTTTCAGTTTCACGCGATTTTACAGTTCTAAAAGAATAGATTATCTGACCATTAGGCCTACATTTAACTACATTAATTGTATAGATCTACTACTACTTTTATACTGGTAGTAGGCCCTGCCTTAATTTAATTATTAATTACCGAGTAGATCTATATTTTAATTTTGCGTAGGCCCTAACTAAACCTCTATATTTATCCTATTCATTTTTTAAATAGAATCTAGGTCTGCTGCGTAGCCCCAAACCTCAATTAATAAATCTTAAATCAAAAGTATCCACCAGGACGACAAAAAAAAAAATGGAATTCGTGAATTCTGATTCGGTGAAATCACCCGGTCATTTGTCAACAAAAACTCATTGAATTTTTGATTTTGTACTGAATTATTGATATTTTTTAATGACTTTTAAAAAAGTAAATAAGAAGTACCTTATTTTCCTGGTCCTCCGCCAAGAGGTCAGGGCTGTCGTCAATTCCATCCTGTAAATTTTAAAATAAAATAAAGAATGAAATTAATATACAAATATTTTCATTAGCAGGTACATAACAACAACAAGAGTCCACCCACCATCATGGCTGCAATTTCTCCTTATCACGTGATCGCAAAGGGAAAGAACTATCATAACTTTTAGTCCGATTCATTCAGTTGATTTTAGATTTGGAATCGAGATTCGATAGCCAATCTAGTTTAGTTTTATTAACAAGTTTTTATTTTCTTGATTCCTCTGTATGTCTGTCTTCAGGTGCAGAAACTGGCAAGCGAAACTGTCACCAGTTCTGATAACTAACCAAATTCTTTCTAACTTAAAAACTTGTTGAAACATTTTGTTTACCTGTGGACTTTACCCACCTCCCCCCCCCCCCACCCGAGTGTTAGCTTGGAAAGGGCCGTTGGGGCGACATCCCTAGGCGCAGTGGCGTAGCGAGGTCGGGTGTCACCCGGTGCGGCACTTAATGGTGTCACCCCCCCAGAGGCATAGAGACCCTTCCCAGGGACAAACTTTCAAATTTTCGATTTGCACCCCCCCCCTCAAACTTTCGATTTGCACCCCCCCCCCCTCAAGTTTTCGATTTGCACCCCCCCCCCCCTCAAACTTTCGATTTGCACCCCCCCCCCCCTCGAGTTTTTCTCTATATATTTTGCTATTTTTTGCCTTGGTGTCACCCCCCTAAATGGTGTCACCCGGTGCGGTCCGCACCCCCCGCCCCCCCCCCCCCCCCTCGCTACGCCCCTGCCTAGGCGCAAAACATAGGAGGTCGCTAGACCGGGTAAAAATAAAATAAAAGCTCATCCTGAGCTGTATTGCATAAGTATACATATTAGGAGTATTACGAATAAAGACAGCTACTTGGCTTTGGCTTTAGTTATAGGCGGCTAAACTGAGGGGGCGCAAAATCGATAGTTCTCCTCGGGCGCCAGAATGGGTCTCTACGCCTTTGCGTCTATCGCCTCCTTCATTTCAGGACAACATGTATATATATATATATATATATATATATATATATATATATATATATATATGCCCCCCCCCCCCCCCGTCCACCCCTGAGGAAAAATGTCTAAAAGAAACATTAAGACACGGAGTATAATATATAGTAGTTATTCTAAAAAAAGATTGCATTCATTACGATGCCAAATTTAACTTTGTGCTTTTAAAAAGTATTTAATATAATAATTTTTAACCTGAGATTTCAAGTAAGGGGTCATCCATAAATGACGTCACGCTTTTTTGACGATTTTTACCTCCCCCCTCCCCTCCATCACACGTCGTCAATAATTGCCAGACCCCCCCCCCCCCCTAAAATGACGTCACACATCAGCCTACAACCCCCCCCCCTCAAAATTGCTGTTGAATTTTTCTAAAAACATCGATATTTTTCAAAAATCTTTTCTGAACTCTGTCAGCATAGAGCACTTTGATCAATTCCTATTACAATTTATTAAAACCGTTTTCTAAAACGTGAAATAACGGCTAAAACTCGTTTTCTAATATTGCTTTTTTATAGTGCAAAAAGTGACGTCACACCACCTGAACCCCACCCCTCCCCCTCACCACACACCAGAGGCGTAGCGACCCTTCCCGGCGCCCGGGGACAAACTTTTCGATTTGCACCCCCCCCCTCGAGATTTTGATTTGCACCCCCCCTCAAACTTTCGATTTGAACCCCCCCCCCCTCGAGATTTTGATTTGCACCCCCCCCCTCAAACTTTCAATTTGCACCCCCTCAACCTTTCAATTTATTTTTCCAACCCATTTTGGCGTCCCCTAAGCTCGGCGCCCGGGGACATATGTCCCCCCGCCCCCCCCCCCTCGCTACGCTACTGCCACACACCGTCAGAAAATTACGGACCCCCCTCCCCCCATGGAGTGTGACGTCATTTATGGACGACCCCTAAATTATGAGAATAACATAATTAATGTGAATTACCTGTAACCTCACGAGTCATCTATAAGAAGATGATTAGAATTCGTAATATTGTTTACTAAATGTAAGTCTAGAATATAGGACTATAAGGACGTAGGTTCATATGTAGGACATTTCTCACATCGGTCATTGTTACTGTAGGCTCACGTGTACGATATTTCACATCCAGGAGATTGTAAGCTCATATGTAGGACATTGTAACTGTATGTTCACAAGTAGGACATTGTAACTGTATGTTCACAAGTAGGACATTGTAACTGTATGTTCACAAGTAGGACATTGTTACTGTATGTTCACAAGTAGGACATTGTTACTGTATGTTCACAAGTAGGACATTGTAACTGTATGTTCACAAGTAGGACATTGTAACTGTATGTTCACAAGTAGGACATTGTAACTGTATGTTCACAAGTAGGACATTGTAACTGTATGTTCACAAGTAGGACATTGTTACTGTAGCTTCACACAAAAGACATATCAAATGTGTATGTTTAAACTTGGACAGTAAAAACTCCCAGATATTACAATGAACATTTAATGCATACTCGCAATAAAAACACAAGTAACACAATAGAGGTTTTATAAGGTTATTTTTTTGTAAATATATTGTTTATTTTTAAAAAGCTACATAAAGTCAATATGAAATACAAAATCACAGCATGGTAAAAAATAAATGCCCATGCATCAAGTAAAAATTTTGATTTTACTAGCGTCACAGAAGTCCATTGTGCTAAGTCTATAGACATTGAGAAATAAAAAATTATTAACATTCAGACGTTTGTATAAGCTATAAGGCCTACACCGGCATATAATGTAAAGACAATAACATCCCCATTGTGCAGTAATATAAACACACATGCTATAGGTTATCAAACAAATAAATAATTTGATTGAAATAAATTATATACAATTTGTATAAAGAAAAGTAGCTTATATATATGAATATTTGAAAACAGCATTAATTATAAAAACACAGTAATATACATTGCAATTTACGGTGCTTTCTAGAATGCTGTCGTGTGAATTGTTGACAAAAAAAAATTCACGACCCATCATTGAATGCCTTGATCTCGGTCTGGACTTGAGTCTGCAGGACGTCCCTGAGTCAACCCAGCCAGACTGGTACCTAGCACGCTACTAGACTTTTTTCTCCGGGGGGGGGGGGGGGGGGGTTATGTATAGGCCCCCTACTGTGTTATATTAGGTTTATACAGGATGATTTTTTTTTTTAGAATGCCTTATACGGGATAGATGTAGCATAGACAATGTAATAAATATAGACCTTATATTTTAAAATCTTATTTTCTGCTTTTAAAAACAGTCACATGAAAACTTCAACACATTATAAGCTTTTCCTTCCCATTGTAGACAGTGTTTCTTCCAGACTATTTTCTCCGGGGGGGCACTTGAAATTTTCGGGGGGGGGGGGGGGGCGGTAGACTTTCTTCGGGGGGGGGGGGGGCGGACACTGTTAAAAGTATATATTTTCTATATAAATTATATAAATTTCATTTCGCCCCGAAGAGATGCATGGAAGAAACTCTGATTGTAGATTGACGCGAAGAGCATGATTTATTTGAAATTCTTTTCACAATATATTTTTAAACATGGAAACAATGCAAAAGCAAAATCGAGAGAAAGTATTAACTTCAGACCTACAAAGACTTGAGCAAACCGATATTTCACTGATCAAACCAGAAAACCTGGCTAGTTCAATACATGAGATGGTAGTTAAAATATAAAAACAGCACAGCCTGCACTGTTTAGCGTTATTTAATCAGCTGGACGATGAGCATGATTCCACCAAAAGCGTAGAAGACTGTTCCAGCAATGGCCACCCCCATAGACCAGCCAACTTCCCTCCCCAGGCCCCATATGTTCTCCACGTTCTGTGAGGACCCAAACATGGCGTATCCAATGCTTGAAAACAGGACTGAAAATAGGATACAACGAAATAGAGTGTTGTATTTTGTCTTAAGAGAGTTGCCTTCACAGTCACTTATTATAGCTTCTTGGGAAAGTACACTAGGTACGTAGGGCCAGTCGACCTCAGAGATCGACCAGTAACTATACATTGCAGTTGCCTCGAAGGTCTAGGTAAAAAATATCATATATTAGACTCCACCTAGGAGTCGGCGTGGTCGAGTCGGAAAAGTCTCGCGTTCGAACCCTCGAGCAGATGAGACTTGTTAGTTTAGGGATGGGGGGCGGGCGGGGGGGGGGGGGGGGGGGAGGGGGACGGACGACGACGACGACAGCAACTCTTCTAGGAGAGACAATTCCAAAATCAAACAACTGCTGTCTTGTAGTTTGTTATTGGAAGCCTCAAAGGGGTCATCCATAAATGACGTCACACTCGTAGGGGGGAGGGGGGTCCGTAATTTTGTGACGATGTGTGATGAGGGGGAGGGGGGGGGGTCAGATGTTGCGACGTCACATTTTTGCATTATAAAAAGCAATGTTGGAAAACGAATTTTAGACGTTATTTCGCGTTTTAGATAACTGTTTTAATAAATTGTAATAGTTTAGACAAGATTTTGGAAAAATAACGATGTTTTTAAAAAATTCAACTGCAATTTTGAGGGGGGTTGTAGGTTGAGGTGTGACGTCATTTTAGGGGGGGGGTCTGGCTTTTTGTGACGACGTGTGACGGAGGGAAGGGGGGAGGTAAAAATCGTCAAAAAGCGTGACGTCATTTATGGATGACCCCAAAGGCGCATAACCAGTTGACACATATACTTAATTGTGTTGGAGGGGATCCCTTCCAACACTAAATTTAAGAACGAAGAAGAAAGAAGCCTTCACCTTATTAGTCAAAAGCACAAACATTGACCGTACAAATTTGACGTGTAAGGCGATTTTATTTTTTTATTGTTCACAAATGGCTCTATATAAGTTCGTCGGGTTTAAAGACTAGAGTTCCGTTTGTTTATGCCATCCTCAATGATTACACCTAGCAACTAGTGGCTGGTAAAACAGAAATCTACTAAAAAAAGTTACCTCCCGCAAAAGCCAGGGCCACTGTAGCTTGCAAGAAATCCTTACGACGGCACGAGTCAGCACAGATGTACAACAGCAGCACCAAGAGGGCCAGGAAAAATCCGATCAGTCCTAGACACTCCATAGCTTGGATGGCTCGGTGGTAGTCTGTCAGACAGACAATTTAATGACAGACAGACAATTTAATGACAGACTGTCAGACAGACAATTTAATGACAGACAGACAATTTAATGACAGACTGTCAGACAGACAATTTAATGACAGACTGTCAGACAGACAATTTAATGACAGACTGTCAGACAGACAATTTAATGACAGACTGTCAGACAGACATTTTAATGACAGACAGACAATTTAATGACAGACTGTCATACAGACAATTTAATGACAGACTGTCAGACAGACAATTTAATGACAGACAGACAATTTAATGACAGACTGTCAGACAGACAATTTAATGACAGACTGTCAGACAGACAATTTAATGACAGACTGTCAGACAGACAATTTAATGACAGACTGTCAGACAGACATTTTAATGACAGACAGACAATTTAATGACAGACTGTCATACAGACAATTTAATGACAGACTGTCAGACAGACAATTTAATGACAGACTGTCAGACAGACAATTTAATGACAGACTGTCAGACAGACAATTTAATGACAGACTGTCAGACAGACAATTTAATGACAGACTGTCAGACAGACAATTTAATGACAGACTGTCAGACAGACTTCAAAGTCTATAGACGTCTCTATCTTAGGGCATTATAGTACATATCATACATATTAATAAACGTCGAGATTTCAGGAATACAGCTCAAGGTTCAAATTAAAAATCGGTTCATTAATAGCCCAAATAACTTAGTTCAACTTTGCCGTTCGATATCTCCAAAAGTATTTAACATTTTTTCCCCAAGAACCTTGAGCGTTATACGTGAACATTTAATCTATTCTTCTACCAAGTTTCACTGTTGTAGTACGAAAACTCGAAGAGTCTATAGACTCTAAGTAACACCCCTCTTTTAAAAAGGTGAAAAAGCCTCCCCCCTAATCGGCACGTTGCCGCGGGGGGGTAAAAAATGCGATTAAATCGGCGATTTCTTCAACGTCTGAAATAATAAAGAAATCAAACTTATACAGTTAAAAAGGTTGTTCAATTACGAACAGAATGATGTATAACATGTTAACATAAACACAATAAAAGCATGCAAAAAACAGAGTTAAACATGCAGGGGGTAGGGAAAAGCCGATTTGTCCGATTTTCTCGGCAGCGGCATTGGCCTAGCATAAACATGGAGCATATATAAATCTATGTTGTAGATCTATAACTTACACGACCTTGTACAAGCTAAAAAAAAAAAATTTCCTCCAATGTTTATGTTATTAAAATTGTAAAAATGAGCAATTTTTTGTGTTTAAAAATATTACAAAATTATCATAAAGCACACTGATTCTGATAAGACACATTTGTAACTAGACTAATTCTATAGAAGAAAGTTGTATCAATGAATGGTATGACATTTAAAGTAACAAGAAATATAAATATAATAAGATATGCCTATATTTTTGGAATAGATTAGGCCTGTACGATTGCACATAGATTACATAACATATTTTAAGAAGTTACATCATCACAAATATACTATTGTTATAGCATCCTTCTCTTTGTATTAAAACTGTATTAGTTATCTTTTCTTTAAGTAGGCTATTCACTTAAGTTAACTGACAATGAGCAAAAGAGATTTTAAAATAAATACATGGTAAATTATGAGCAAAAGGTGCGAATTACATAACCTGACCTTTATAGTTTTGTAATAATGTTCGACCATTTTAAATATCACCATTAGCTTCAGCATATACAAATGTCATATTATGGTTTAAAACAGTGTTTAATTTAAAGAATGACTTCTTATCACACGGATTATCAGATGTTGTAAAAAAAATTGAAGGGGGGTATTACATAATCCATGAAATAAGTCTGTTATGTAATCAAAAGACACTTTTTAAAATAGCATCATTGGATTCGGCATACAAAAATCTACAAAATATCATGAAATGACATCAATTGGTGAAGTCTGCTTGCTTTTATACCACTTTTAGTGAAAAACTCTTAAAAATTTGGTCCATACCCTCCCAGTATTTTTCCTCTTTGAGGGTCTACCCCGGTTGTCTGAAAAAACTGCTGTTTTTTAATGACAAAAAAATTCATAACTTTTTTGTTTATGGTCAGATTTTGAAAATTCAAACTGATCTGTAATCAGATTGACAGCCCCTATCCAAATATGTAACTATTATATTGTTTTACTGAAATTAATTTTTTGCATTGGCCTAGCTAAATTACATCTAGTGGAGGTGGACATTTTACATTTACTTACGTCATCTAGTTGAGGTGGACATTTTACATTTACTCATTACATCTAGTGGAGGTGGACATTTTACATTTACTTAGGTCATCTAGTGGAGGAGGACATTTTACATTTACTTAGATCATCTAGTGGAGGTGGACATTTTACATTAACTCATTACATCTAGTGGTGGTGGACATTTTACATTAACTCATTACATCAAGTGGAGGTGGACATTTTACATTTACTCAGGTCATCTAGTGGAGGTGGACATTTTACATTTACTCATTACATATAGTAGAGGTGGACTTTTTACATTTACTCAGGTCATCTAGTGGAGGTGGACATTTTAAATTTACTCAGGACATCTATTAGAGGTGGACATTTTACATTTACTTATTACATCTAGTGGAGGTGGACATTTTACATTTACTGAATTGAAGTAAAGTACTACTTCCGGTTTTTAGACTTCACTCTAAAACTGCATGTTATCAATGTATAAGATCTAATACTTGTATAAAGCTTCGTCTACCTAACTTAAACAGTACTCAAGTTATTGAGTTCACACTGATGTGAATAAACCGCTTATGGTTACCAGAAATCATTCAAAAGGTCGGCGTTTTCGAGTCGGTAAAGCTCATGGTTGCTAAACCGAAAATTCTCGAGTTCGATGTTTGAACCCTCGGGCAGATGAGGCTCGTTAGCTGGGGACAGCCACTCTTCTATGAGAGACAACTCCAAAATCAAACAACTGCTGCCTTGTAGTTTGTTCTTGGTTGAACAAAGGCTATGGAAGCAAATCCAAAAAGAAAAGCAGGCTGAAATCGGAGTCAATGGCCTCAATGGCACATAACCAGTTGACACGTATCCTTAATTGTGATGGAGGCGTGGTCGAGTCGGCAAAAGCTCATGGTTGATAAATTCGAAAAAGTCTCGCGTTCAAACCCTCTGGCAGATAAGGCTCGATCCCTTCCAACACTAAAAATTAAGAACGAAGCAAAAGAAGAAAGTTCAAAACTTGTAATAAACCAGCGCGTACAATGTTTATGTATTTTTTGAATTTCGCCAACTTAAGTTACAGGCCTTTGAGAAACTGGAAGTAAAATAAGTACCACTTCCGTTTATTAGAAATCGCTAAAAAAAACAACAACTAAGAAACTGTATATAATACTTATAGATCTATATAATATTTCGTCAACCTAACTGAAACTGTACTCCAGTTTAAAGCGTGTTCTACAGATGGACAGGGTTGCAAAATTAATTTTTCCGGCTCTGGAAGATTATACAACATTACATTTGTCAAACTATCGACTTAGACGTTTCGCATAATTTCAATACATCATTTATATTCCGCAAACAATAAAGTAGAGAGCTGCAAAACGGCGAATTTTTTTCAAATTATCTGTTAATTATTCAGCACGATTACAATATTTTCTCTATTCTTTGTCTACGAGAAAGTAAAAAACTGTACAGAAGTGAATATGGTGTTGTATTTGTGTCAAGCAATTACAATGTGCTTTAGTTCTCCTAATTAAAACTAATTAAAACCAGATCTCGTTAACCATATCTGCAAGCACATTAACAAGACTTACCCCAAATCATAAAAAAATTGCTACCACTACTTTAAAAACACTAACAAATGGTGCTAAGTCTTTAAAATTATCAAGCAACATGGTACCTTATTATAAAATAATAATAATGTTAATAATAATGATAATAATAATAATAACGATAATAATAAAAATAAAAATAAAAAATAAAAAAAATAATAATAATAACAATAAAATAATAATAATAATAATAATAATAATAAAAATAAAAAAAATAAAAATAAAAATAATAATAATAATAATAATAATAATAATAATAACAATAATAATAATAATAATAACAATAATGAAAAGAAAATGTTGCATACAAACAAACGACCTACAGATATTTTTGCAACGTTAAGCAATTTGAAAGCAAAAGTACTCAGGAAAAAATATCTTTCTCTTAGTACGCAACAGTTACTATCTAACCCTACACATTCTTCCCGCTCCACACTTTCTGTGAGGGATTCCCTGTGTGTAGGGTGGGGTGAGCGCTGATTGGCCAAAAGAATGTTTGTGCCAGCAAAATATTCTCGGCCTGCTGGTAGAATTTGGGTCAGATCTTCCACTGTGGTACCTGCCAGTGGTTCTCAAACGTCGGGTCCTAGATCAGCGGGTCTCAAACGTCGGTTTCTATATATATATATATATATATATATATATATATATATATATATATATATATATATATATATATATATATATATATATATATATATATATATATATATATTATATTACATGTAGAGCACTGTGTCTATAGATTACATGTAGGGCACTGTGGTGGCTATAGGTTACATGTAGGGCACTGTGTCTATAGATTACATGTAGGGCACTGTGGTGGCTATAGGTTACATGTAGGGCATTGTGGCTATAGGTTACATGTAGGGCATTGTGGCTATAGGTTACATGTAGGGCACTGTGGCTATAGATTACATGTAGGGCATTGTGGCTATAGGTTACATGTAGGGCACTGTGGCTATAGGTTACATGTAGGGCACTGTGGCTATAGGTTACATGAAGGGCATTGTGGCTATAGGTTACATGTAGGGCACTGTGGTGGCTATAGGTTACATGTAGGGCACTGTGGCTATAGGTTACATGTAGGGGACTGTGGCTATAGGTTACATGTAGGGCACTGTGGTGGCTATAGGTTACATGTAGGGCATTGTGGCTATAGGTTACATGTATGGCACTGTAGCTATAGGTTACATGTAGGGCACTGTGGCTATAGGTTATATGTAGGGCACTGTGGCTATAGGTTACATGTAGGGCACTGTGGTGGCTATAGGTTACATGTAGGGCATTGTGGTGGCTATAGGTTACATGTAGGGCATTGTGGCTATAAGTTACATGTAGGGCACTGTGGCTATAGGTTACATGTAGGGCACTGTGGCTATAGGTTACATGTAGGGTATTGTGGCTATAAGTTACATGTAGGGCACTGTGGCTATAGATTACATGTAGGGCACTGTGGTGGCTATAGGTTACATGTAGGGCATTGTGGCTATAGATTACATGTAGGGCACTGTGGCTATAGGTTACATGTAGGGCACTGTGGTGGCTATAGGTTACATGAAGGGCACTGTGATGGCTATAGATTACATGTAGGGCACTGTGGCTATAGGTTACATGTAGGGCACTGTAGTGGCTATAGGTTACATGTAGGGCACTGTGGCTATAGGTTACATGTAGGGCACTGTGGTGGCTATAGGTTACATGTAGGGCACTGTGGCTATAGGTTACATGTAGGGCACTGTGGCTATAGGTTACATGTAGAGCACTGTGGCTATAGGTTACATGTAGGGCACTGTGGTGGCTATAGGTTACATGTAGGGCATTGTGGTGGCTATTGGTTACATGTAGGGCACTGTGGCTATAGGTTACATGTATGGAACTGTGGCTATAGGTTACATGTAGGGCACTGTGGCTATAGGTTACATGCAGGGCATTTTGGTGGCTATAGGTTACATGTAGGGCACTGTGGCTATAGGTTACATGTAGGGCATTTTGGTGGCTATATGTTACATGTAGGGCACTGTGGTGGCTATAGGTTACATGTAGGGCACTGTGGCTATAGGTTACATGTAGGGCACTGTGGCTATAGGTTACATGTAGGGCATTGTGGCTATATGTTACATGTAGGGCACTGTGGTGGCTATAGGTTACATGTAGGGCACTGTGGCTATAGGTTACATGTAGGGCACTGTGGCTATATGTTACATGTAGGGCACTGTGGCTATATGTTACATGTAGGGCACTGTGGCTATAGGTTACATGTAGGGCACTGTGGCTATAGGTTACATGTAGGGCACTGTGGCTATAGGTTACATGTAGGGCACTGTGGTGGCTATATGTTACATGTAGGGCACTGTGGCTATAGGTTACATGTAGGGCACTGTGGCTATATGTTACATGTAGGGCACTGTGGCTATATGTTACATGAAGGGCACTGTGGCTATAGGTTACATGTAGGGCACTCTGGCTATAGGTTACATGAAGGGCGTTGTGGCTATATGTTACATGTAGGGCATTGTGGTGGCTATAGGTTACATGTAGGGCACTGTGGTGGCTATAGGTTACATGTAGGGCACTGTGGCTATAGGTTACATGTAGGGCACTGTGGTGGCTATAGGTTACATGTAGGGCACTGTGGCTATAGGTTATATGTAGGGCACTGTGTTGGCTATAGGTTACATGTAGGGCACTGTGGCTATAGGTTACATGTAGGGCACTGTGGTGGCTATAGGTTACATGTAGGGCACTGTGGCTATAGGTTACATGTAGGGCACTGTGGTGGCTATAGGTTACATGTAGGGCACTGTGGTGGCTATAGGTTACATGTAGGGCACTGTGGCTATAGGTTACATGTAGGGCACTGTGGCTATAGGTTACATGAAGGGCATTGTGGCTATATGTTACATGTAGGGCATTGTGGCTATAGGTTACATGTAGGGCACTGTGGCTATAGGTTACATGTAGGGCACTGCGGCTATAGGTTACATGTAGGGCACTGTGGTGGCTATAGGTTACATGTAGGGCACTGTGGCTATAGGTTACATGTAGGGCACTGTGGTGGCTATAGGTTACATGTAGAGCACTGTGGCTATAGGTTACATGTAGGGCACTGTGGCTATAGGTTACATGTAGGGCACTGTGGCTATAGGTTACATGTAGGGCACTGTGGCTAAAGGTTACATGTAGGGCACTGTGGTGGCTATAGGTTACATGTAGGGCACTGTGGCTATAGGTTACATGTAGGGCACTGTGGCTATAGGTTACATGTAGGGCACTGTGGTGGCTATAGGTTACATGTAGGGCACTGTGGCTATAGGTTACATGTAGGGCACTGTGGCTATAGGTTACATGTAGGGCACTGTGGTGGCTATAGGTTACATGTAGGGCACTGTGGCTATAGGTTACATGTAGGGCACTGTGGCTATAGGTTACATGTAGGGCACTGTGGCAATAGGTTACATGCAGGGCACTGTGGCTATAGGTTACATGTAGGGCACTGTGGTGGCTATAGGTTACATGTAGGGCACTGTGGCAATAGGTTACATGCAGGGCACTGTGGCTATAGGTTACATGTAGGGCACTGTGGCAATAGGTTACATGCAGGGCACTGTGGCTATAGGTTACATGTAGGGCACTGTGGTGGCTATAGGTTACATGTAGGGCACTGTGGCTATAGGTTACATGTAGGGCACTGTGGCTATAGGTTACATGTAGGGCACTGTGGTGGCTATAGGTTACATGTAGGGCACTGTAGTGGCTATAGGTTACATGTAGGGCACTGTGGCTATAGGTTACATGTAGGGCACTGTGGCAATAGGTTACATGCAGGGCACTGTGGCTATAGGTTACATGTAGGGCACTGTGGTGGCTATAGGTTACATGTAGGGCACTGTGGCAATAGGTTACATGTAGGGCACTGTGGTGGCTATAGGTTACATGTAGGGCACTGTGGCTATAGGTTACATGTAGGGCACTGTGGCTATAGGTTACATGTAGGGCACTGTGGTGGCTATAGGTTACATGTAGGGCACTGTGGCTATAGGTTACATGTAGGGCACTGTGGCTATAGGTTACATGTAGGGCACTGTAGTGGCTATAGGTTACATGTAGGGCACTGTGGCTATAGGTTACATGTAAGGCACTGTGGTGGCTATAGGTTACATGTAGGGCACTGTGGTGGCTATAGGTTACATGTAGGGCACTGTGGCTATAGGTTACATGTATGGCACTGTGGCAATAGGTTACATGTAGGGCACTGTGGCTATAGGTTATATGTAGGGCACTGTGGTGGCTATAGGTTACATGTAGGGCACTGTGGTGGCTATAGGTTATATGTAGGGCACTGTGGCTATAGGTTACATGTAGGGCACTGTGGTGGCTATAGGTTACATGTAGGGCACTGTGGCTATAGGTTACATGTAGGGCACTGTGGTGGCTATAGGTTACATGTAGGGCACTGTGGCTATAGGTTATATGTAGGGCACTGTGGTGGCTATAGGTTACATGTAGGGCACTGTGGTGGCTATAGGTTACATGTAGGGCACTGTGGTGGCTATAGGTTACATGTAGGGCACTGTGGCTATAGGTTACATGTAGGGCACTGTGGCTATAGGTTACATGAAGGGCATTGTGGCTATATGTTACATGTAGGGCATTGTGGTGGCTATATGTTACATGTAGGGCACTGTGGCTATAGGTTACATGTAGGGCACTGTGGCTATAGGTTACATGTAGGGCACTGTGGTGGCTATAGGTTACATGTAGGGCACTGTGGCTATATGTTACATGAAGGGCACTGTGGCTATAGGTTACATGTAGGGCACTGTGGCTATAGGTTACATATAGGGCACTGTGGCTATAGGTTACATATAGGGCACTGTGGCTATAGGTTACATGTAGGGCACTGTGGTGGCTATAGGTTACATGTAGGGCACTGTAGCTATAGGTTACATGTAGGGCACTGTGGCTATAGGTTACATGTAGGGCACTGTGGCTATAGGTTACATGTAGGGCACTGTGGCTATAGGTTACATGTAGAGCACTGTGGCTATAGGTTACATGTAGGGCATTGTGGCTATAGGTTACATGTAGGGCACTGTGGTGGCTATAGGTTACATGTAGGGCACTGTGGCCATAGGTTACATGTAGGGCACTGTAGCTATAGGTTACATGTAGGGCACTGTGGTGGCTATAGGTTACATGTAGGGCACTGTAGCTATAGGTTACATGTAGGGCACTGTGGCTATAGGTTACATGTAGGGCACTGTGGCTATAGGTTACATGTAGGGCACTGTGGCTATAGGTCACATGTAGGGCACTGTGGCTATAGGTTACATGTAGGGCACTGTGGCTATAGGTTACATGTAGGGCACTGTGGCTATAGGTTACATGTAGGGCACTGTGGCTATAGGTTACATGTAGGGCACTGTGGCTATAGGTTACATGTAGGGCACTGTGGTGGCTATAGGTTACATGTAGGGCACTGTGGTGGCTATAGGTTACATGTAGGGCATTGTGGCTATAGGTTACATGTAGGGCACTGTGGTGGCTATAGGTTACATGTAGGGCACTGTGGTGGCTATAGGTTACATGTAGGGCACTGTGGCTATAGGTTACATGTAGGGCACTGTGGCTATAGGTTACATGTAGGGCACTGTGGCTATAGGTTACATGTAGGGCACTGTGGCTATAGGTTACATGTAGGGCACTGTGGCTATAGGTTACATGTAGGGCACTGTGGCTATAGGTTACATGTAGGGCACTGTGGTGGCTATAGGTTACATGTAGGGCACTGTGGCTATAGGTTACATGTAGGGCACTGTGGTGGCTATAGGTTACATGTAGGGCATTGTGGCTATAGGTTACATGTAGGGCACTGTGGTGGCTATAGGTTACATGTAGGGCATTGTGGCTATAGGTTATATATTGGGCACTCTGCTGTATAATCTATGAGAGGACATAATCGACTTCATACTTGAACCAAAGATGTTCTGCTAATTTACAATCAGCAAACATAACAATATTCATCATTACCACACCAAAAAAAAAGACTTAAACACCGTAATAAAAGTTTGTACATACTTTCTTTAATATGTGTAAATATTTTGTATATTTAGAAAGCTACGTTAAGTAAATAAAGAATATACAAAAAGCACAGCTTGGTAAAAAAAATGTCCATGCATAAAATTAAAATGTGTAAATTGGAACACACGCAATTGCACTTCCTTTTTCACACTACACATCTTGATTTAACTACTGAAGTACATTAACTTGACCGTAATTAAAAATAGCACCTGTCTCAATTAGTACACCCAACTAAGCCTACTACTACTTTTTATGCCTACGACTACTTTTTTATGCCTACTACTACTTTTAATAAATTTATTTAAAAAAAAAGTTAAAACCACCGAAGGCGAATTTTGCCCAACGATCAACAGACTAAGTTGTCTCACGTCCTGATCATTTCGTCGCGTCTACTGTTCGTGTTAAATGTCCACAAACCGGAATAAAACATTCAGCACACAGGGAACTTCTCCATCCTGTAGTGCCGAACTGATGCCTGGGCAGACTGGGCAGTTCGCTAGGGGCATCGCCTGCAGTACCTAACTGACATCTGGGCAGACTGGGCAGTTCACTAGGGGCATCGCCTGCAGTACCTAACTGACATCTGGGCAGACTGGGCAGTTCACTAGGGGCATCGCCTGCAGTACCTTACTGATGAGTGGGCAGACTGGGCAGTTCGCTAGGGGCATCGCCTGCAGTACCTTACTGATGCCTGGGCAGACTGGGCAGTTCGCTAGGGGCATCGCCTGCAGTACCTTACTGATGCCTGGGCAGACTGGGCAGTTCGCTAGGGGCATCGCCTGCAGTACCTTACTGATGCCTGGGCAGACTGGGCAGTTCGCTAGGGGCATCGCCTGCAGTACCTAAGTGACATCTGGGCAGCCTGGGCAGTTCGCTAGGGGCATCGCCTGCAGTACCTAACTGACATCTGGGCAGACTGTGCAGTTCATTAGGGGCATTTACATATTGAGCAACATACTCCCTTACATTCTTGGAACAATTTCCAGTTAAGTTTTAGGTGAAGTATGTTTTCAACCATCAAACAACTGCAATGTGTCTATAAATCCGATCTCACCTCGACCCTTCGCTATCAACGCCCACCCCTTCCCCCCACCCCATCCACACTTTAACTCTTACCTTAAGAATCACAAGCCAGCCACTCATGTATTAAATGTAATTATTAGGTAGTTAAAAACAACTGCAAATAAAATAATAGAATTTTAAAAAATTAACATAATCCTAAATAATTTCTAAAAGCCACGACTATTTTGCTAGATACTACGACATTTGTAGGCAGTCTATAGGCAGTCTATAGGCAGTCTATAGGCAGTCTATAGGCAGTCTGTAGGCAGTATGTAGGCAGTCAACCATTAATGTAAACACAAAATCACATCTATTGCGCAATAGTCAGGCTACACGGAGAAAGATTGATGACAGAAAATATCCAACAAATTTGATAGATATATACTCATAAAGAATTTGTATATAAAAACTGATATATGTATATTTGAGCACAGCATAATACACAGACATACACATTGTAAGTCACTCTCTATTTATTACAGTCACGGTTAACCTTGTTAAATATTGAAACCATCCTATTCATTTAAGCCATTATCTTATACAAGATTGTTATACTCGTACAGTTATAAGCACACCAAATGTAAACAGTACAATGCAGTAAATCAACTATTGCGAGGTGGGGATATCCGTAAAACAGTTTTATGGATAAAATCCAAACCTCGACTTTTCGAAGGTTTACTGTATATTAAAGGAGTAGCTAACTATGGCAATCGTATTACAAATATTTAGATGATAAAAAATGCTACATTTTAGTATATTAATACGTCTATTCATTATATTTGGAAACATAATATGATGTTGTTTTCTTTTAAATTTGGTAGATATAAAAATAAAATAGAAAGAAAAACACAAAGGATTAAATTCACGATGTCTGGTCAATATGTCGTGTGAGATAGTCAAGCTTTTCTAACCGTCATATAAAGTTGACATAAAGAATCACATAGATCGTAAAGCTACACACATATCGCTGATACAAAAGAACCTTTCATCCTCTAAACCAAGTCAAGTTTTGTTTCACGTCCCGTCCATTAATATTCATCCAGAAGCGAAGCTAAAATTTGCATAAATTACATCAAACATTACAAAAGTCTGATAGCGTTTGCGATGTGAACGATCTAGTGACTGGGTCTACGACTTTTAAACATCCCAACTTTTTATAAACTTCTGGAATTGTCCCAGAGGTCCAAATTATTAAATGATTCTATTTGTGGGCGTGGTTACAGATATCCAAAATAGACCTACCATAAACAAGCCTAAAAGGGTAAAAGATCCACACATTTTTAGCGACCCAAAATTATAAAGAGAGTAGGCGGTCCCGACGACCTTACAACACAGACAAACATTTCCCAAGACGCACGCACTACAGAGACTTAAGTAGTATGGTGATTCCCCGAGTGAGAAAACCAGGTAGTTCAATACATGAGATAAAATGAGAGTTGAAATACAAAAATAGCACAGCCTGCATTGTTTAGCATTACTTAATCAGCTGGACGATGAGCATGATTCCACCTAAAGCGTAGAAGATAGTTCCAGCAATGGCCACTCCCATAGACCAGCCAATATTTCTCCCACGGCCATATAAGTTTTCATTGTTCGTTGAGGACCCAAAGATGGCGTATCCAATGCTTGAAAACAGAACTGAAATTTTACAATGTTTTTATTTTAAAAGAATGCAGCATTTTGTCAGAGGAGTGGGAAAGTTTGTACTTGAACTGGCTCAAGTCAACAATGTTACGGCTTCAAACTCAGTGAATTAAAAGTTAGTGAATTTCTGGGAAGTTTTCCGTGTTAAGTAAAAAGTAAAAATTTGTCATCTGTAAGTAGTTTTCCAAACTATGTGAATAAAACGATAGTTAATTGATGTTTTTTTGTATTTTTTATTTTCACTTTCTTCCTTCTCTATTGTTTGTTCTTACAGGCGTCAACTTTCTATTCATGCAATTTTTAGATTTGCTTTCTATCAATCGTATTCATTATATCAATAAAACGCTAAAATGAAAGTATTTAAGAAAGTCTTCTATGTGTTTACTTAAGTTTAGTAAATATCTAAAGAAGTTTGGTAAATGTATTTAACTACAGCGCTGAAGTTACTAGTAATCTTAAAAGTCCAGCAACTCGTGCAATTAAAAATATTTTAAATATGTCAAGTTACCTCCCGCAAAAGCCAGGGCCACTGTAGCTTGCAAGAAATCCTTACGACGGCACGAGTCAGCACAGATGTACAACAGCAGCACCAAGAGGGCCAGGAAAAATCCGATCAGTCCTAGACACTCCATAGCTTGGATGGCTCGGTGGTAGTCTGTCAGACAGACAATTTAATGTCAGACAGACAATTTAATGACAGACTGTAAGACAGACATTTTAATGACAGACTGTCAGACAGACAATTTAATGACAGACAGATAACTTAATGACAGACAGACAATTTAATGACAGACAGACAATTTAATGTCAGACTGTCAGACAGACAATTTAATGACAGACAATTTAATGAAAGACTGTCAGACAGACAATTTAATGTCAGACTGTCAGACAGACAATTTAATGTCAGACTGTCAGACAGACAATTTAATGACAGACTGTCAGACAGACAATTTAATGACAGACAGACAATTTAATGACAGACTGTCAGACAGACAATTTAATGACAGACAGTCAGACAGACAATTTAATGACAGACAGACAATTTAATGACAGACTGTCAGATAGAGAATTTAATGACAGACTGTCAGACAGACAATTTTTTGACAGACTGTCAGAAAACAAAGTACGGTATGTCAGACAAAAAAATTAAGGATTTATGACGTGTATAGGTTTTTTTTTTAAATTAAGTTTCTAATAAAAAAAATACACACCGTTCGGATAAGTGTCACCTCCCTGACATGTACTACCGGCACAAAATTTATGTTGCCACAACCCGGACTCCATATGTTGGTTGCGATAGTTGGAGGAGACCATCCAGCTAGACGTGGCGAACCCGATGACAAACAGAATGAGCCCCAGAGAAAAACATCCCAAGGCAATCTTCAGCCAGGTCGAGGCTGCTCTCAGTATGTTGGCCATGGTGTCCTGTAGAGAGTGGACATAGGACATTTACTCAGGTCATCTAGTGGAGGTGACATTTGACATTTACTTATTACATCTAGTAGAGGTGGGCATTTTACATTTACCCAGGACATCTAGTGGAGGTGGACATTTTACATTTACTAATTACATCTACTGATGGACATTTTACATTTACTAATTACATCTAGTGGAGGTGGACATTTTACATTTACTTATTACATCTGGTGGAGGTGGACATTTTTCATTTAGGCTACTCATTACATCTACTGATGGACATTTTACATTTACTCAGGTCATCTAGTGCAGGTGGACATTTTAAATTAACTCAGGTCATCTATTGGAGGTGGACATTTTAAATTTACTCATTACATCTAGTGGAGGTGGACAGTTTTAATTTTGCATGGGCGGCCTTCGGCAGGATGCGATTTGGCGCCCTGGTCTTTCCCGTGAACGCTATGACGACTTCGTTCGGCCAAACAGTGTGATAGACAATGGATAGGATGGAGCGTTACAAACACTCACTAAACTGAATCAGGCGTATCCGCCGGCTTCCTGGTAGGGTGCGATTTGGCTGCAAATAAAAATGTCTGTTTCGGCCCCAAAGGCTCACATGGGCCGCTGAGAGCCATGTAATACGATTTATTTTAATAATCAGAAAAATTAACCAAGGTTAGATTATTTACTGGGATGTTTATTTTTGTCCGTAAAAAAAATCCAAATAGTTTAGTCACTTTGCAAATGATGCAATTAGTATCTATTTTTAGACAATTCAATCAGAAATTGAGACCGAGCATCTAATAATAGACCATTAGTAACGCTAACACATTGCATCAGTCACATTGATGTTTAAAACACGTTAATAATTTTTTTACGTGTCAAAGAAAAAAATCATGATCATTTGTGTCACTTTAGCGAATGACGCAATCAGCATCAATGTTAACAGGATGATATTTAGCACTCTGGGTTATCCTATGAGCACGATGGCGCCTATTAGTTTTAATAAGGAGCCAGGGGCCGTACTCGGCGCCTATGCGGTAGTGTAGATGGGGGCTCCCAAGAGCCCCCACTACGTCTTTGACACATGGGTGATCACCGAATTGTATTCTACCTCATTATTTCGGTGAGTGATTAGTAGTGTAGGTAAACCAGTTCCCCGATGATTATGATCCAAGCGCAGGCATTGTTTACATTTAAATAACTCAGTTTTAGAAAACAAGGTCTCGCGTCTTAGAACATAGGATTGGTAACGCATTGATGAAACCCGTGTTATATATTCCGTCAGACTTCTACCCCGCATCTATGCGCGGGGACGGGTACGCTAGTAGTGAGATAACCCTGTATAGTTCAAAGTCAGTAGAAAAATATCTTTTAAAAGTATTTATCATACGTTAGTCACTCTCTAACCCTAACCCCCCCCCCCCCCCACACACACACTCTGTGAGGGATTCCCTGTGTGTAGGGTGGGGTGAGCGCTGATTGGCCAAAAGAATGTTTGTGCCAGCAAAATATTCTCAGCCTGCTGGTAGAATTTGGGTCAGATCTTACACTGTGGTACCTGCAAGTGGTTCTCAAACGTCGGGGCCTAGATCAGCGGGTCTCAGCTTATCATCATATCTCAGTGGATCTCAACCTAAACTAGGAGATCTCTCGCATGTTTTATAACGGCCCGACTCTTAGATTGAGTTAACATTACAGCATACACATTTGTTGTTGTTAGTTAACATTACAACATACTCATTTGTTGTTGTTAGTTAACATTACAACATACTCATTTGTTGTTGTTAGTTAACATTACAACATACTCATTTGTTGTTGTTAGTTAACATTACAGCATACACATTGGTTGTTGTTAGTTAACATTACAACATACTCATTTGTTGTTGTTAGTTAACATTACAGCATACTCATTTGTTGTTGTTAGTAAACATTACAACATACTCATTTGTTGTTGTTAGTTCACATTACAGCATACACATTGGTTGTTGTTAGTTAACATTACAACATACTCATTTGTTGTTGTTAGTTAACATTACAGCATACTCATTTGTTGTTGTTAGTTAACATTACAGCATACTCATTTGTTGTTGTTAGTTAATATTACAGCATACACGTTGGTTGTTGTTAGTTAACATTACAGCATACACATTGGTTGTTGTTAGTTAACATTACAGCATACACGTTTGTTATTGTTAGTTCATATTACAGCATACACATTTGTTGTTGTTAGTTAATATTACAGCATACACGTTGGTTGTTGTTAGTTAACATTACAGCATACACATTGGTTGTTGTTAGTTAACATTACAGCATACTCATTTGTTGTTGTTAGTTAACATTACAGCATACTCATTTGTTGTTGTTAGTTAACATTACAGCATACTCATTTGTTGTTGTTAGTTAATATTACAGCATACACGTTGGTTGTTGTTAGTTAACATTACAGCATACACATTGGTTGTTGTTAGTTAACATTACAGCATACACGTTGGTTGTTGTTAGTTAACATTACAGCATACACATTGGTTGTTGTTAGTTAACATTACAGCATACACATTTGTTGTTGTTAGTTAACATTACAGCATACACCTTGGATTTTGTTCGTTCACATTACAGCATACACGTTTGTTGTTGTTAGTTAATATTACAGCATACACGTTGGTTGTTGTTAGTTAACATTACAGCATACACATTGGTTGTTGTTAGTTAACATTACAGCATACACATTGGTTGATTTTAGTTAACATTACAGCATACACATTGGTTGATGTTTATTAACATTACAGCATACACGTTGGTTGTTGTTAGTTAATATTACAGCATACACGTTGGTTGTTGTTAGTTAACATTACAGCATACACATTTGTTGTTGTTAGTTAACATTACAGCATGCACATTTGTATATATATATATATATATATATATATATATATATATATATATATATATATATACACCTATGTATATACACCCACAAACGGAATAACTAACTAGATATTACCTCTAGTGAGTCCGCTGAAGCTTATTCCACTGCTCCTGTATTACAACACGCGTCTATGGTGTGGCAGGATGCCAGGTAAGAACGTTTGAGCTCCAGCACATCCTACTGCCTGCCCGTGTAGCCGCTCACCCTGACCCCATTACTCGCGATGCCAGCGGTAACTGCCTGGACCCCCTGACACGACATGGCTTGTGCGCCTGAGGAAGATTTAATTCTGGCACCACAATATCTTCTGAGATTTGTATGTCATCAACGTAATCTTTTACAGTGTCATTGATGCAGGGGTACATTTGATTTCTTCAATTTAAGGTGGCTAAATTTTGTTGGATGATTCAACACATATTAGAGAATCCTGAAATATTCAACCACTCATGTTCACAGAAATTTTAGACTAGAGAATTTGACATTTTTCAAAATTATCAAAAGGCTGGGAATTTTTTTTTTTACAAAGTACAAAAATAATAGCGTTTCCATTAGGAAACTAGAAACTGCTAAAAAAAAGTATGAAGAAATATTTGCTCATTCTAAACAAATTCATATAAAACTGTTGCCGTGCCCAGCAATATGTTGTGCTAATTGAGCATTAATAAACAGGAATAAATTAAGCATGCACGCTACTGGATACAGTGGACAAATAGCAGCAGGGACTAATTAATGCACTAACAGACCAGTGTTGGTGCACATGGTTGGTGAAGTCATGGTTGGTGAGGTCATGGTTGGTGAGGTCATGGATGGTGAGGTCATGGTTGGTGAGGTCATGGTTGGTGAGGTCATGGATGGTGAGGTCATGGTTGGTGAGGTCATGGATGGTGAGGTCATGGTTGGTGAGGTCATGGCTGGTGAGGTCATCGATGGTGAGGTCATGGTTAGTGAGGTCATGGTTGTTGACTGAGTGAATGGTGGTCAGGGAATGGTCTCATTACCCACAGGAGTCATTAGTCCCACTACAGTCACGAAATAGTATCACAACCGGAGAGTCATACAATAGCCTCACTACCCACAAGAGTCATCAAATAGTCTCACTACCGTATATTCATGTAATATTCTCACTATAGTCATGTAATAGTCTCACTAAAGTCATGTAATAGTCTCACTAAAGTCATGTAATAGTCTCACTAAAGTCATGTAATAGTCTCACTATAGTCATGTAATAGTCTCACTATAGTCATGTAATAGTCTCACTATAGTCATGTAATAGTCTCACTAAAGTCATGTAATAGTCTCACTAAAGTCATGTAATAGTCTCACTATAGTCATGTAATAGTCTCACTATAGTCATGTAATAGTCTCACTATAGTCATGTAATAGTCTCACTAAAGTCATGTAATAGTCTCACTATAGTCATGTAATAGTCTCACTATAGTCATGTAATAGCCTCACTAAAGTCATGTAATAGTCTGACTATAGTCATGTAATAGTCTCACTATAGTCATGTAATAGCCTCACTAAAGTCATGTAATAGCCTCACTAAAGTCATGTAATAGTCTCACTAAAGTCATGTAATAGTCTCACTATAGTCATGTAATAGTCCAACTATCCGAGTAATCTGATTGACTATCTATCTGATGAAGCATTCAAGTGACAACCATCTGATGAAACATTCAGAGAGTGTCAGAGACTATTGCGTCACCTTTAACCTGGACTCTAATAACAGCCACACCCTCGTGAGCTTCACCCATGAGAATCTGATTGGCTCATCCGTGTGGGCGGGCACCCCACCCACCACACCAACCCCACCCCGGTACCAGCCTGAGTTGCAAGCCACACCTGCACCTAGCTACACACGTGTAAGCACTGGTGTGTTCTGGGTCACGCATCATCTTTGTCTAGCTACAACCATCACAATAATCACACACAACTCACACCATTTTAGATAGCACAAAAGACACAATCACTCACACCATTTTTCCAACCGATGATTTTTATAGCTGTTACTTTTAGATTAGATAGAGCTTAATTATTTTCATAAATCGTTCATTAATAGCCGTCAACACAGCTATCATTATGTGTGTAACTTCAATGTGGCTTAAAATAGTGCAGGTGGGGGATAGGTGGGGGGGGGCTTATCTACTGGCCTCGTTTCGTTTGTTGTTGGTTTTGCAGCCAACGATTGGATGATTGCAGTGGTTCCCAACCTTTTTCGAGTGGCGACCCCCTTTCATAAAACGTAAGTGACCCGCGACCCCCATATAATTAACAAGTTGAAATTAGTAAAGAAAATAATAAGCACTAAATTAATATTTTCTAGTAGACTTTCAATATGAATTATTCTTGATAACTGTTTTAATACGATGAGCATAATTACATGCTATTAACAAGCATTAACTAACATTAACAATTAAATTTCGCAAATTTAAGAATTCATCTTGTTATTCATCGGCAATGCTTGTAACATCAACGAAAGCAGAGAATGGGTGACAATGCAGATTCTTCTTCTTTCAGCTCGGGGAAAATAACGCCGCAGTTCGTTGTCAAGAGATTCAAGATGCACAGAATCCTTTAAAATTTTTATCTATCACACCACACTGCAGAGTTTCTCAAACATAGCAGTATTTCAAATATTTATTTTTTCTCGCCAATTTTGCAGCTTTGATAAAAATGCCAAGAGATTATCATGAAAAGAGATAATATTCGTTCCTTTATCAGGTTAAGCTTATGTTGATGTTCGAATATATCTGCTAGGTATGATACTCTCTCCAACCACACCATGTCGTTAAAGTATATCAAAAGGTCTTGTTTCCTTGCACTTCCAAGAACATCTTGATTTCATCTTTCAATTCAAAAACACGATTGACATTTCCTATTGACAACCAGCGTACTGAAGTGTAGAACCTCGTGATCTTTATTCATGTCTGTGCACAGTTCATGAAACAGACAGGTGTTTAGGACTCCAGATTTAATATGATTTACGACTTTTATTAGCAATGGAGTCGGATAAGTCTTGCTGGCGAGGGCATATGTGAATCATGCAGCTAAATCTTTTACCTTTTACTTTTTTCTGAAACCCCCATTTTGACCCAAACACGACGCACCATCCGTACAAGCCCCACAGCCGTTTTCCCATTTTAATCCTCCAGTTTCAAAAAACTTATTTATTTTCTCCATGATATCTTCACAAAACATTAACTCTTATTTGCTAACATCTGAATGAATATATTTCACAAAGACAAGCAACTGCGAACACGAACTCACGTCTGTCGATTCGTCAACTTGAAAATCAAACAATGGTGAAAGCTTCATTTCATTCTAAATTTTTCTTTTAACATAAGCCGCTGCATAGTATTATTAGACAGAGATATTTGTTGCATCTTTACTGCACTGGAATCCCCAAGAATTAATTTTACCATCTTCAGCATACATGGTTTGATAAGATTTTCTCCTTTGTGTGAGAGGTTTTTTGCTTGGCAATTTCTAATACTACTTCATATGATGCTTGCACTAATGCTGTGTTTTCTTGGTGAAAACGTTCTGTTCGATCAAGTCTCTGACGTTTGCAACTATCTTCATGCCGAAGAAAGAACTACATATCTTTTTTGGTGTGTTCCGAATGACTCGTCTCAAATTGACGTTTGAAAGTTTTCATAGACTCCTGACTAAGAACAACTTTGCACAGTACAAATTGTTTATTCTCTATTTCATTTCCAGTGATGCTAGTAATGCCGAATTTCAAATATTTTTCTAAATATTTATGTTATTTATTCATTGCTAGAGTTTAGTCTACCAGTTGGCGACCCCCCAGAAAGCCCTTCGCGACCCCCAAGGGGGTCGCGACCCCCAGGTTGGGAACCCATGATTTAATATAACCATCGAAACGGCAGGGTAACACATAGAAACTTGGGAACCCAAGAGGAGATAAGCCCAACTCTCAGGGTGCAAGACACACGTTTTTCTCCTAGATCTAAGGTTCACGTTGTATCACGAAATTAGTAATTAAAAACTTACATACTATAGCACTATAGCACGTCATTCTTTCTTGATTCTGTATAAATTTCAAAATTTTACTACTTCGTTTCAGGGAGGGGCAGAGATGCCTCAAAGAAACACCACAACAAACATTAACTTTACTGTGAGGCAAAACTGTCATTAAATTGTCTGTCAGTCTGTGATTAAATTGTCGGTCTGTCAGTCTGTGATTAAATTGTCTGTCTGTCAGTCTGTGATTAAATTGTCTGTCTGTCAGTCTGTGATTAAATTGTCTGTCTGATTGACTGTTATTAAATTGTAAGTCGGTCTTGCAAGCTACCGTAGCCTATACTTTTGCGGGAGGTAACTTGAAATAATCTTTCAAAATTTGTAGTACATGTTGGAGTTATTGTTCCTGATACTTCAACAAGGATGTTTGAGCAACATTACTTTATCAGAGGGGGTGTATTAATCATGGCAGTGCTTTACCAGAGGGGTGTATTAATCATGACAGTACTTTATTAGAGGGGAGTATTAATCATGACAGTGCTTTATTACTGGGGTGTATTAATCAGGACAGTACTTTATTAGAGGGGTGTATTAATCATGGCAGTACTTTATACGGGGGTGTATTAATCATGACAGTACTTTATTAGAGGGGTGTATTAATCATGACAGTACTTTATTACTGGGGTGTATTAATAACGACAGTACTTTATTAGAGGGGTGTATTAATCATGACAGTACTTTATTAGAGGGGTGTATTAATCATGACAGTACTTTATTACTGGGGTGTATTAATAACGACAGTACTTTATTAGAGGGGTGTATTAATCATGACAGTACTTTATACGGGGGTGTATTAATCATGACAGTACTTTTCCCCACCAACCACGTAGCTCACATAGACATCACGTCTGAGTGTTTTCTTCCATTATAAAAGTAAAATAAAAACATTTCGCCACATCCTGAAGTCAAAGTTTACTTCTGGAGTAGGCTGTACTCTAGTTATATTTCGTCCACTTAAGTCATGAAGACTGCTATTATCTCAGCACATACCAGCTTTATGTAAATTGTTCTACCAGGGATGATGCACATTTTAACATGTATTTGTAGGGCAATTAAGGACTGACATCTTATTTATTTGTAGGCAAGTCTTTTTAATCTCTCTCTATATTTATTTATACTGTTTGCCTTTTATTACAATAGGGCTGGTAAGTAGGTCACCAACCCGTTCTATGGCTCATGCAGGTTTTATTGAGCTGTAGAACTGGTTGGTGACCTACTTACCAGCCCTATTAACGCATTCCAATTTTGTATATGTTAAAATATTCCTCGAGTGGTCTGAAAATTATTTGTAACAAAAACAAATAACCTCAGACAAAATGGCCACAGCAGAGTAGCACCCTGTCTAGACTGCCCTAACGAAATTGTCCGATTTATAGACTCAACAAAATGTCTGATGCAAAAAAAAGGACTCTCGACAAAAAGGCCCCTTTAAAATGAACACAGAAACTAGTCCTAAGACAAAATAGCCCCTGACAAAAGGATCCTCCGGTGTCGATATTATTGTGAAGCATTTATTCGAGTGCTTTTTAAAGCGCTGTTTCAGCCAAATATTAAGAAAAAGCAGGGAAAACCACCAAGCGCTAAATGTACGCCTTCTTCAATGAGTGTTATCTAGCTTGGAACAAGCAAAAAAAAAAATGATAATAAAAGATAAATGAGCTTAAAGAAGAACATGTCTACTATTGAAAAGAATTTTTTTTGGTTCCAGGTCACTTTCCACCATGGCAGACTCTCTGAGCCAGAGCCTAGATGCCAGCCCTCGACGGGTGAAGGTCACTAGATGGGTGAAGGTCATGCTGCTCCATCTCGCGCTGGGTGCTGTACTCTTTACCGTTGGCTTTGGCACGGTCCACTGGAAGGTTCTCCCAGGCCAGCCTTCTGTGGGGTTGTGGCACAGGCAGCTCTGTATCAGCCGTGCACGTGAGTGTCACAAACAACATCACCAGGATGTCAATCGTGAGTTGTTCAAGTACAGGGGGGGGGGGGGTAGTTGGGGGGAGGTGAGGGTAGTTGGGGTGGGGTAGTGGGGTGGAGTAGTGGGGGAGGTGAGGGTAGTGGGGGTGGGGTAGTGTGGGTAGAGGCGGCGTCCATTAATGACATCAAGTATCAAACGAATCCGGCTAAATACTCCCAGGTGTCAGTACAAAAAATACCTTAATAAAATGATCTTCATATCAATCCTTCCGTTTTAATTAAGCTCACCAATAATTGCAATGTCACGCCCCACCCCATTTCATCCTTGGCCCTCCGTAACTCAAGCTATGTCAAGTCATATCCGGGAGAAAAATAATAAAAGTCAAGTTTTTCAGCCAGCCATAGAAATAATACCTGCAATCTTACGGGCGCTAAAGAAAAAAACGTCAACGTTAGCGTTTGTATTACTTACATAAGCACATCGATTACATAGGCACATCGATTACATAGGCACATCGATTACATAGGCACATCGAGTGGTTTGAGCAGGGGGAGAGGTGAAAGGCTTCAATATTTTTTTGTCAAAAGGGAATTTTTTTTTTAAAGCTTGACAACTGGCCCACTGGTTTCAAATAATCAACTAAATAAAACGTGACAAGTTTCCCAATGTTTCAGATTATCACCGAACTAAAACGTGTCGAGTTTCCCGTTGTTTCAGATTATCACCGAACTAAAACGTGTCGAGTTTCCCATTGTTTCAGATTATCACCGAACTAAAACGTGACAAGTTTCCCAATGTTTCAGATTATCACCGAACTAAAACGTGACAAGTTTCCCATTGTTTCAGATTATCACCGAACTAAAACGTGTCGAGTTTCCCATTGTTTCAGTTTATCACCGAACTAAAACGTGTCGAGTTTCCCAATGTTTCAGATTATCACCGAACTAAAACGTGTCGAGTTTCCCATTGTTTCAGATTATCACCGAACTATCCAAGCCATGGAGACAATGGCCCTCGTGTCTTTCATCGCCTCACTCGTCGGTTTACTCGTCTACATCTCGGTCCAAAGATTCCGTACAGAGAAAACATTACAGATGGTAACAGCCTTGACGTGTGGGGGAGGTAGGTGGTGGAGGATATATTCATCATGGTTTCACTCCTCAGATGATAGGTTGTTATATTTTGTTTTTTATTTTTCTAATTTCTGTGAGCACGTGGTTAGCACCATCATCTATCCGTGGTTAGGGAGACACCCTCCTTAGAGCAGTCAAATAGATAAACTTCGAAGTGAAATAGAAAATATATACTGGAACAATTTTTTTATAATTACTGTCCTCCAATTTGGAAGTGTTAAATCCCCCCCCCCCCGCAACGAAAAATCCCTAGTAGATTTATTAGAGTTCCAGAATAATGCATGCCTTAGCCACGGAATTTCTTTCAGGCATCTCTTACTTTTACTATTTTACCAGTGTCCACCCCCCAAATTTCCCCCCCCCCCCCCCCCTCCCAGCGAATGTTAAACCTTGCATGTGTGAACTCTATGGCAGCGCCGTTACTGAATCCAGACGTTTTACTTTCAGTCGTGTTGGCCACCATAGGATTTGTGATGTTCGGTTGGACCAACGAGTACAACGTCCACGGGTCAAGTGGTCACGTGGGATGGTCAATGGGCGTGGCTGTGACTGGCGCCATCTTTTACGCTATTGGTGCAATTACCTTGATTATTCACCTCATTAAATAATTTCATACCAGTAATTGCCCTCATTAGGTGTTGTACAGTTGGTGAGTTGTCATTGCAATGTGGCTTGGTCTGTTCCTTGTAGCTCATTCAATGGGATACTGTCATGTGACATTAGCATGTCATGTTGATGTGACATTGTCATGTCATAATGTCATAATACAGTCATGTCATATTGGTATGATGTCATGTCATGTTGATGTGACAATGTCATATTGTCATGTGACATTGTCATGTCATATTACACTGTCATGCCATATTGGTGTGACGTTGTCATGTCATGATGTGACATTGTCATGTCATGTGGCAATGTCATATTATACTGTCATGTCATGTTGATGTGACATTGTCATGTGACACTGTCATGTCATGTTGATGTGACAATGTCATGTCATGTAAACTGTAATTTAGTGTAATATTTACTAATATCACAAGTTAAACCACCAGTTCCCATCCACAAGTTGCCCATTTTCCATCCACCCGTTAAACCAGGAGCAATACATCAAAGAATTTGCTGAACTTTTTTTATTCACATTATGTGTGGGCCTACAACAATTATTTATTACACACAATAATTATTTGCTCTTTCTTGTGCCTACAAGTCAAATGCTGTATTCCATTAACTTACTTCCATCAAATAATTCCCAATTTATATCTAACAAATACATTAGTAATTTATATCTAACAAATATATAAGTAATTTGTATCTAACAAATATATAAGTAATTTGTATCTAACAAATATATAAGTAATTTGTATCTAACAAATACATCAGTGATAAAGTCAATAAAATATCTCTACATTTGTAAAAAAAAACCTTTCTTTCTATAACAAAAATATCAAAGGTCATCAAAGGTCATGTAATAAAACCCAAATCACAGAGCTTGAATAATAAATACAATGTAAACAACAGAAGGACAAGTAAACATGGTGATCTGAGAGAACACTGGGGGAATACACCACCCTAGGACATTTCAGGTGATACACAGGACATGACATTTACTTTTTTTGTTTTATAATAGTGGAAATATGCCACACTAGGATGACATTTCAAGTGATACAATAGGACATGACATTTAAAGTTTTTTGTTTGTTTTATAACAGAGATAGGCTAGGACATGACATTTAAAAAAAAAATTTGTTTTATAACAGAGATAGGCTAGGGCATGACATTTTAAAAAAAAATTTGTTTTATAACAGAGATAGGATAGGACATGACATTTAAAGTTTTGTTTTGTTTTATAACAGTGGATACATTGACATTAGCTATGACAACAATATCACATTTTCTTTAAAATAAATGAATCTAAAGTGTAAGTAGCATTTACATGCTGTACAAAGTGTTAACTAAGATAATGTTCTGACTGAAGTAGTTCAACTACTTTAATTTAAAAGTTATCTCAAGCATGGTGAAAGACAAGGTGAAATCATAACTGTAACATTCTGAAAAAAGAAATGTCAACATTTTTTTGAATAAATTCAAAAGTTTTAAAAATTTTAAAACTGAAAATGTATTTAAACGTAAAATATAACCTCAGGTAAAAAGACAAAAAATAATTTAAATTCCAAACATGAAAAGAAAATGTTAAAAGAAAACTCACTAACTTGATTTAAATATATGAATAAAGGAAAAGAATGAACACAAACTTTGGAGTATCATGAAAAAAAAGAGCTCTACCATTTATTAAAAAGCTTACAAAAACGTACACATTTTTCCTTTCTTTCCTTTTTTCTCAACTTCATTATCTTTCTTAGTTTTGTCATTGGAAGGTTTGGACCCTGAAGCCTCCTGAAGCTCAATCTTCTCATGTTCAGTCTTCACAAGCAGCTTTAGCTCTTCCTGTACAACACACATGTCAAACCAAAAGATAGAAACAACTTTCTGCTATTTTACTGACATTCGAAAATAATAAAAATGTCTAACTACCAACTGAATTAAAACTAGCAGTAGTTCAGATATCGAATTAAGTGGATATAAGTTTGGATAAAAGAAAACCATAAAAGTGTTTCCATCCATATCAGATTTTTGTCGTTTTTGTTGTCGGACCTTTCTCATTATTTGCATATTTAAATATTTCCAACCACTGATCTTAAACTCCACAAACTCAGCCACCCCCCTCCCCCCAGCAAAAATTAGCCAAATAGACTCCTCCCTCCCCCCACCACAGTCCAACAAACTCACCCCCCCCCCCCAGCCCAACAAATCAGCCACACAAACTCACAAACTCACCCCCCAGCCCAACAAATCAGCCACACAAACTCACCCCCCAGCCCAACAAATCAGCCACACAAACTCACCCCCCCAACCCAACAAATCAGCCAAACAAACTCACCCCCCAGCCCAACAAATCAGCCAAACAAACTCACCCCCCAACCCAACAAATCAGCCAAACAAACTCACCCCCCAACCCAACAAATCAGGCACACAAACTCACCCCCCAGCCCAACAAATCAGGCACACAAACTCACCCCCCAGCCCAACAAATCAGGCACACAAACTCACCCCCCAACCCAACAAATCAGCCAAACAAACTCACCCCCCAGCCCAACAAATCAGCCACACAAACTCACCCCCCAGCCCAACAAATCAGCCAAACAAACTCACCCCCCAACCCAACAAATCAGCCAAACAAACTCACCCCCCAGCCCAACAAATCAGCCACACAAACTCACCCCATCCCCCAGCCCAACAAATCAGCCACACAAACTCACCCCCAGCCCAACAAATCAGGCACACAAACTCACCCCCCCAGCCCAACAAATCAGGCACACAAACTCACCCCCCAGCCCAACAAATCAGCCACACAAACTCACCCCCAGCCCAACAAATCAGGCACACAAACTCACCCCCCAGCCCAACAAATCAGGCACACAAACTCACCCCCCAGCCCAACAAATCAGCCAAACAAACTCAGCCCCCAGCCCAACAAATCAGCCACACAAACTCACCCCCAGCCCAACAAATCAGCCACACAAACTCACCCCATCCCCCAGCCCAACAAATCAGCCACACAAACTCACCCCCCAGCCCAACAAATCAGGCACACAAACTCACCCCCCAGCCCAACAAATCAGCCACACAACCTCACCCCCCAGCCCAACAAATCAGCCACACAAACTCACCCCCAGCCCAACAAATCAGCCACACAAACTCACCCCCCAACCCAACAAATCAGCCACACAAACTCACCCCCCAGCCCAACAAATCAGCCACACAAACTCACCCCCCAGCCCAACAAATCAGCCACACAAACTCACCCCCAGCCCAACAAATCAGCCACACAAACTCACCCCCCAGCCCAACAAATCAGCCACACAAACTCACCCCCCAGCCCAACAAATCAGCCACACAAACTCACCCCCCAGCCCAACAAATCAGCCACACAAACTCACCCCCCCAGCCCAACAAATCAGCCACACAAACTCACCCCCCAGCCACACAAACTCACCCCCAGCCCAACAAATCAGCCACACAAACTCACCCCCCAGCCCAACAAATCAGCCACACAAACTCACCCCCCAGCCCAACAAATCAGCCACACAAACTCACCCCCCAGCCCAACAAATCAGCCACACAAACTCACCCCCCAGCCCAACAAATCAGCCACACAAACTCACCCCCCAGCCCAACAAATCAGGCACACAAACTCACCCCCCAGCCCAACAAATCAGCCACACAAACTCACCCCCCAGCCCAACAAATCAGCCACACAAACTCACCCCCCCCAGCCCAACAAATCAGGCACACAAACTCACCCCCCAGCCCAACAAATCAGGCACACAAACTCACCCCCCAGCCCAACAAATCAGGCACACAAACTCACCCCCCAGCCCAACAAATCAGGCACACAAACTCACCCCCCAGCCCAACAAATCAGGCACACAAACTCACCCCCCAGCCCAACAAATCAGGCACACAAACTCACCCCCCAGCCCAACAAATCAGCCACACAAACTCACCCCCCAGCCCAACAAATCAGGCACACAAACTCACCCCCCAGCCCAACAAATCAGGCACACAAACTCACCCCCCAGCCCAACAAATCAGGCACACAAACTCACCCCCCAGCCCAACAAATCAGCCACACAAACTCACCCCCCAGCCCAACAAATCAGCCACACAAACTCACCCCCCAGCCCAACAAATCAGCCACACAAACTCACCCCCCAGCCCAACAAATCAGCCAGACAAACTCACCCCCCAGCCCAACAAATCAGCCACACAAACTCACCCCCCCAGCCCAACAAATCAGGCACACAAACTCACCCCCCCAGCCCAACAAATCAGGCACACAAACTCACCCCCCAGCCCAACAAATCAGCCACACAAACTCACCCCCCAGCCCAACAAATCAGCCACACAAACTCACCCCCCAGCCCAACAAATCAGGCACACAAACTCACCCCCCAGCCCAACAAATCAGGCACACAAACTCACCCCCCAGCCCAACAAATCAGGCACACAAACTCACCCCCCAGCCCAACAAATCAGGCACACAAACTCACCCCCCAGCCCAACAAATCAGGCACACAAACTCACCCCCCAGCCCAACAAATCAGCCACACAAACTCACCCCCCAGCCCAACAAATCAGCCACACAAACTCACCCCCCAGCCCAACAAATCAGCCACACAAGCTCACCCCCCAGCCCAACAAATCAGCCACACAAACTCACCTCCAGCCCAACAAATCCGGCACACAAACTCACCCCCCAGCCCAACAAATCAGGCACACAAACTCACCCCCCAGCCCAACAAATCAGCCACAAACTCACCCCCCAGCCCAACAAATCAGCCACACAAACTCACCCCCCAGCCCAACAAATCAGCCACACAAACTCACCACCCAGCCAAAAATCAGCCACACAAACTCACCCCCCAGCCCAACAAATCAGCCACACAAACTCACCCCCCAGCCCAACAAATCAGCCACACAAACTCACCCCCCAGCCCAACAAATCAGGCACACAAACTCACCCCCCAGCCCAACAAATCAGCCACACAAACTCACCCCCCAGCCCAACAAATCAGCCACACAAACTCACCCCCCAGCCCAACAAATCAGGCACACAAACTCACCCCCCAGCCCAACAAATCAGGCACACAAACTCACCCCCCAGCCCAACAAATCAGGCACACAAACTCACCCCCCAGCCTAACAAATCAGCCACACAAACTCACCCCCCAGCCCAACAAATCAGGCACACAAACTCACCCCCCAGCCCAACAAATCAGGCACACAAACTCACCCCCCAGCCCAACAAATCAGGCACACAAACTCACCCCCCAGCCCAACAAATCAGCCACACAAACTCACCCCCCAGCCCAACAAATCAGCCACACAAACTCACCTCCAGCCCAACAAATCCGGCACACAAACTCACCCCCCAGCCCAACAAATCAGCCACAAACTCACCCCCCAGCCCAACAAATCAGGCACACAAACTCACCCCCCAGCCCAACAAATCAGCCACAAACTCACCCCCCAGCCCAACAAATCAGCCACACAAACTCACCCCCCAGCCTAACAAATCAGCCACACAAACTCACCCCCCAGCCAAAAATCAGCCACACAAACTCACCCCCCAGCCCAACAAATCAGCCACACAAACTCACCCCCCAGCCAAAAATCAGCCACACAAACTCACCCCCCAGCCCAACAAATCAGCCACACAAACTCACCCCCCAGCCAAAAATCAGCCACACAAACTCACCCCCCAGCCCAACAAATCAGCCACACAAACTCACCCCCCAGCCAAAAATCAGCCACACAAACTCACCCCCCAGCCAAAAATCAGCCACACAAACTCACCCCCCAGCCAAAAATCAGCCACACAAACTCACCCCCCAGCCCAACAAATCAGCCAACTCCTGGCAGCCCTCATCACATGTTGCCTTCTTAAAAACATCCCTGTGTAGCAAAAACATTTTCTCAGCAAATTAATATCAAGTAATTCACAAAACTAGATGAATGTTTTTTTACAGATCTTTACAGATTTAAACAATAATAAATATTTAAATTACAAGAGTTCTCAAATGATATTGCAGATTTTATCATTAATTTCTAACAGTTCTACAAACTCAAGACAACCATGGAGAGTAACTGTGCATTTTAGGATGAAAAAAAGTGTTTACAAGTTAGTTCCCTTACCTGTAGTTGTCTTCACCATCAAAATTAAATCCTCCTCCAAACAGCAATACAGCAATAGGATCACTCTAAATAACAATACAGCAATAGGGTCACTCTAAAATAATTATACGTAAAAAAGATCACTCTAAAATAATTATATATCAATAGGATCACTGAGTTACAGACAATGAGTTTTTAAAGTTCTCAATGTAGTATTTGTTAATTCACAATTTAATTTTTACTGAGGAAAGATATTATTTACTTACAGAACTCATTCCATTTTCCAGGTTGATGTAGAGCCTGGGTGTTTGATCAGGAACTCTACAATACAAAGTATCAAATGATTAGAAAACAAACAACACAGATAACAAAAACTTTGACAGAAGGAAAGTTCACAAAAATAGATTTACCTGTGGACAAGGGAAGCAAATGGCTGTACAGTGAGTGATGTCCCCATCACAATCAACAGATCACATTTTTTAAAATCCTGCACATTTTATCAGAACAGTAATGTATGTTTAATGTTCATCATTTAGAGATCTCTAGCACAATAATTCAACACAAACTGATACAATTAACAGAGTCAATGTTCTAGTGGCAAACCAGTAAGTTAACTAAAATTAAAATGTCTTAATCAAATTGATAGCTATTTCTGCAGTGAAATATTTTTTGAAATTGTAAAAAATGATCTTACAGACTGGATAAGTTGTCCGAATCGAGGAGGCAAAGACTCACCAAAAAATACAATATCTGAAAAAAAAAAATGAAATAATTCTTTTTATTTACTTATGTTATTATTACCTTAACAATCAAACTGCAATTTATTTTAATTTAATGCTTAATCTATTTTTAACCTACCCCTAGTCACATATGCTATAAAATATTTTTAACTTAACTATGTGTGCATGGCTCTGATTATCTAAATTTTAAAAAATTACGACGTGATACAATAATGGTTAAACTAAACCTTAGACGAACTATCACAGCTTGGTGGAGGAGTGACATCTATCAGTACTGTTACATTGTTACAGTGGCATATATCAGTACTGTTACATTGTTACAGTGGCATCTATCAGTACTGTTACACTGTTACAGTGACATCTATCAGTACTGTTACACTGTTACAGTGAAACTACATGAATGTGGCATCCAACAAAGCATTGATTTAACCTAAAAAGTTGCTACCCACACCTGGTTTTACAACTCCTTCACATTTAGCCTCTGTGCACTTTGGTACTCTGTCAGCAAAAATTTCATCTAGAGGGACAAAAAACAATGTAGCAGTTTTATTTCATAAAAATTGTTTACCTGTTAAAAATATACACAGATATACAACTTTAAATAACAAGAAAAAGTTGATAAATCTCACCTTTCATCCAATCCAACTTATATTCCTTGTTACACTCAAGACAGTGGGAAGTGTAAAAAGTGCCATGGGCCTCAACCAGTTTATCAGGGTCAAGACCAGCAACTCTTTCCAAAGTATCAATATTCTAATCCAAAAAATAAGCTGTAGGTAACTCTTAAGAAATGTTATTCATTTACCAGCTATAAGATATTTATTTTAAATCTATTAAAATAAGTTTTAACGATTACCTGAGTGTAGTGCCTCAACAGCTTTCCTTTATCATTCAGCAATTTGATAAAATAATGACATGGAGTTGGCTGTGTTGATGAAAGGCAACAATTTAAAACAATCAAAAAACATGGAGCATTAGTAATTTTTAAAAAGAAATTGTATTGCAAGTTTCAAGTACACAGCAAAGTTAAGTTCATTAAGTGTAACAACTCACCTTAAAAGAACCTGGATAAAGTTCTTTAGCCAAGACAAAGAAAGGTTTGGGATTTTTCTGTAAAAAATGTCAACACTCTTTATGAGAAGTGTTAGAAGTGTTTTACTGAGCAGCTGAGACTAAACATTTTTAAGTTAACGCAATTTTATTTTTAAAATGGGTGCTTTTTTTTAAAAAAAAATTATTTATAGTTTTATGTTATAAATTATATAATTACAAAATAAATTAAAACATTTTGAAAGCTACAAATTTGTTTGACACTGAAATTTTTTAAATGTTTACATTTTCTTCAACTGTTACTATTAATAAATGTATTGGTCACTACAATATATGGAAAAGTTTGATTAAATATATTTATTTGACATAATATACATAATTGCTGATTCCTACACAAAATATTTAAAAAGACATTTAAATTTTAGTGGATTGTGTTTCAAAATAAAATTCATATTAACAATATGACATGTAATTTACAGAGTATTTTGCTTTGCAATGTTTGCTTAATAAAGTTTTACAGTTTTCTTCATCAGCTAGTGAGGACTGATACAGATTTACACTATAAATGGTTTACTTATGTATAATATAAAACAATACAATAATGTCAAATTGATTTAAACATTAATTTTCTAACAATCAATAGTCTACACATATATTAAAAGCCACTTTCTTCTAAGGGTAACTTATTCTGTCATTGAAATAAGTAATGATTGAAATTTAATTGTTATCACTTTAAATTTGACCCTGTTACCATTTACTATGTAATCAAACTACACAACTTAAATAACTAAAACTGATTTGTTAAAAAAGCTGACAACTGAAATGAAATCTCATATTACAGACATTTCAATGCTGCAATTATCTCCCCTTTATAAATACCAACCTGTAATCTAAGAATCCTTACAACATTAGAGTGGACCACAACTCACTGATCCCTAGTTACTTGCCCTTTTACTAGTAATGTAAATAGTGATCTTTAAATTAGTATTTAATACCTAGCCTAATTAGCAAATAGGTTGAAATGTATAAATATTTGTCATCTAATATATACATATGAGCAATCAAAGTGATATTGGTCAACTAAAGTGGATGAAAAATGGATTACAATTCAACCCACACAGACAGGGAAATCAGGTGAAAAAAAAACCTTGTAAAAACTCTTACATGAAAGAAACTAATATCAAATATAGCCTGTGGATGGGGTAGATCATACGCCGCCAAGTTCTCATATAGACCAGTACCTGGGCTACGGAAATCTGGGATGCCAGCAGCTATAATCATAAAGAGTAATTAGTTAGATGAGTACCCTGAGTTTTACATATAACAGACATGACATTACTGATATGTTACTTCCCTTGCAAGTATAGATCATAGACATGACAGGTTACCTCTCTTAGTTTTATATATCATGGAAGTAATAGGCTATGCCTATTAAGGGTCTAGGACATTTCCCCCTACCATTTAATCCCCTGGGGAATCACCCCACCCCAAAGCTCAAGAATCCTGACTCCAACTCTAGAGGCATAGCGATGGGGGGGGGGGACTTTAGGGGGCGCCGGGATTGGATAAAGTAATCGAAAAGTTTGAGAGGGGGTGCAAATTGAAAGTTTGAGGGGGGGGGGGGGCAAATCTAAAGGGGTTGCTACGCAGCTGTCCAACTCTAACTCTAGACCTATATGTTACTTTAATTTTAATGGCCTTGTTCTGTCATTAGTTGTCTATACACATTGAGATGCTAAGAGTAAGAGAAGTAAAAAAAAAGATGAGGTTACATGTAGAGATGCCAGCCCCTGCCATAGTGATAACATTCTTGCAATTATCACTGACTAAGTACTGTGCTATTCCCTCAAAAGAAACTATGCCAGACCCATCTCTTATATTCAGTGAATGTGCTAGTTGATCACCAAGGCTGTTGGCTGTAACAAAAAACAAGTTAGGATTTACATTAACTATAATGCCACCCTGTGAGGTTTTTTTTAATTTAACAAAAATAATTTTTCTAAGAGTTGTAACTAAAGCAGGGGGGGGGGAACCATGTTTGGCAGAAGATATGTGATATAACTTTAAAGGTTATCGAACATTCATTAATAAAACAAAATGAAGCTTGTGATTAAAAAAAACTGTAACTAACCTTGTTTTTCTCCATCCTGTTCCTGTGTACACATTAGAGAGTAAAAAAAAAAAAAGCTAAATTCAAGCCAGAGGCAAAAAAATATTAACACAAAATTAATGTAAACACATTAATGTTTTCCACATACCTTAGTATTTTTGTCAGAGGATGATTTGCTCATATTTTACTATGCTTTCGTTCAATGAACAATTGACTGGGAAAAAAAGGCATATAAATTATTTAACACTTTGTACATAGACCTGTAAAATGTTTGAAAGAAACATTGCGTATTAGCGAATGTTTACATTTATTTTTTAAAAAATGTGTGTGTGTGTGTATATATATATATATATATATATATATATATATATATATATATATATATATATATATATATATATAGGACTATCTATAGTTGCAATTGCAGTCACCCCACTCCAATTTGGGGTCATCCATATATGACGTCCCACTCGTAGGGGGGAGGGGGGGGTTCAAAATTTTGTGATGATGTGTGATGAGTGGGAAGGGGGGGGGGGGGGTTCAGATGGTGCGACGTCACACTTTTGCATTATAAAAAAGCAATGTTAGAGAAAACTGTTTTAATTAATTTTAATAGGAATTGATTAAAATACTCTATTTTGACAAAGTTCAGACAAGATTTTAGAAAAATAATGTTTTAAAAAAATTCAACTGCAATTTTGAGGGGGGTTGTAGGCTGAGGTGTGACATCATTTTTGGGGGGGGGGGGGTCTGGCTTTTTGTGACGACGTGTGACGGAGGGGAGGGGGGAAGGTAAAAATCGTCAAAAAAAAGTGTAACGACATTTATGGATGACCCCTTTTGCCTAATGGCGTCAATTATATTAATCCAACTATTAATTCAAGTGGCAAAATCTTTTCACTAGATTCTGGTGTCACCCCCTCACCGGTCGTTGATTGACTTATCAGTTATTTCAAATACTCAACAAACCCTTCTTTCCTCTGTAAATTTTGCAGTTAATGTGACCCCCCCCCAGTGTACAGGTAATAGTAAAGATGTTTATCTACAGTCAATTATTAATACATGTGGATTAACTCTAATTAACCCTTAATTGAGCAGACAAAAAGCATATTGGCTACCGACAAAATGACTCCCGACATATTGGCTCCAGACAAATGAATGGCATGACCACTATTGGTATAAAAGTAACCATTTTGTCCTACCTCCACTACTACTATAACCTCTTTTTAATGCCTGAATGAAATTGTTTTTCATGAACCAACATCAAATCACAAACAAATCAAGCTTGTAACAGCTAAAATCTACCAATTCTAAAATTTTGATAATGTTTAATTTACAACAGTAAAGATCTGTTGCATAAAAGCGAGCACAGAAGTGAAAATGTACGATAGAATACATGATGTTTACAGGATAACGACATTTTGTTTTGATAACCTACAAGCATACTGCAGGTAGGAAGGTACAGCGAGGACCCTTCTCCCCACACACTGAGTTAGAACAGCCTAAAGCCGACTCAATTATGGATGTCATAGATAGATGACCCTTCAATTATGGAAGTCATAGATAGATGACCCTTAAATTAAAACATACTATATTTTATAATAGATAAACTAATATAAAAATAAGGTCTGCCGAACAAGATAAGCTAACTGTAAAGAATATTGATGAAGGGGTCCCACTGGCAGGTGTCATTATCAATGAGACCACTTTGCCGGGAGACTTAGTCTCTACAGAAACGGTATTGTCAGTGGTCCTTTTGTCTGGAGCCAAATTGACTTTTTGTTGTGAGCCAAAATGACGCTAGCCTATTTGTTGGGAGTCGTAATGACAGGGGCCGTTTTGTGGAAAAAACTAAATGACGGGAGCCTATATATCGGGAGCCAAAATGACAGGAGCCTATTTGTCAGGAGCCTTATTGACTGGAGCCCTTTTGTCGGGAGCCTATTTATCGGGAGCTTAAATGACGGGAGCCTATTTATCGGGAGCCTTTATGACGGGGTCCATATGTCGCTGGCCATTTTGACGGGGTCAATTTGGCGGGGCCCTTATGTCGGGGCCGATTTGTCGGGGTCGTTTTGACGGGGCCGTTTTGTCATTGGACGTTTTGATGCTGCACGGCCTATAACTATTGCTTGGCCCTATAAAAAATATTCACAGTAACTATAGTTATATAAGTTATAGGACTCATCGGCCTACTAGTCTGATTCTATTTATATTATAATAATTAAATCTGGATCTAGATCTAGGCCTATTTAGTTTATTTACAATATTTATTTTGGCCTACAATAAATTAGTAACAATAATAGTATAGGCTTAAAAAACCATAAGATCTAGTATATAAGTATTATTAAGTATTTAGTATAACTATAACATGACATAAAAGTTGCCATTAATGATTAAAACCAAACTGTAAAGAGAGTTAAACTCACTTTTAACTTATTTGTTTATAAGTACAAGTAGGCCAGGGCCTAAACTAGATCTGAGACAAAAGAAAGAGAGATTGAAAGAGTATGAGTCATGAGATGAGACTATCTAGTCTAGATCTAGATTTAGATCTAGGTCTCTAGCTGAAGAATACTCGGAAATCTTCATTGAAGGAAAAGTGGAAACAGAATGTTACACTTAATAAACTTAGGCCTAGAAAACGGACGAGAGTTGAGGTTACTGTTAGATTTGCAGTAGATCTTGTGTCAACAGTGAGTACTGAGTAGACTACATTCTAATGTACTAGATATATTTAAACTAACCATTTTATCTAGATCTAGATCTAGGTGTAGGTAGCTGGTAGAGTGTATGGCCTAGTGTACTGTTGGTTGTGGGCTATAGCTATTACTATTTACTATTTACTATCAACTTAGTTAGATTTAAGCAAAAGAGAGGTATACTAGTAGTAGTAGACTAGATCTAGATCTAGTAAAGTATTAAACTATTAATCTACTACAAGAAAATAAAATAGAGACTATATCTAGATCTAGACTCTATAGCATGGGTTCCCAAACTGTCGGGGGGGGGGGGGGGGGGGGGTCGTGAGAGTGAGGGGCTTTCTGGTGGGGGGGGGGGGGGGTCGCCAACTGATAGACTAAACCCTAGCAATGAAAAAAAAAACATAAATATTTAGAAGAAAATCTGTAATTCGGCTTTACTTATCACTGGAAATGGAATAGAGAAGAAGCATTGTGTGCTATGCAATGTTGTTCTCAGTCATGAGTCTGTGAAACTTTCAAAACTAAAACGTCATCTTGGGACGAGTTATTCGGAGTTATATGGAGTTCTTTCGTCGGCATGAAGCTAGTTGCAAACGTCAGAGACTTGATCGAACAGGAAGTTTTCACCAAAGAAACACAGCATTAGTGCAAGCATCATATGAAATAGTATTAGAAATTGCCAAGCAAAAAAAAAAACCCTCACACAATATGAGAAAATCCCATCAAACCCTGCCTGTGGAAGATGGTGAAATTAATTCTTGGGGATTCCAGTGCAGCAAAGATGCAACACATATCTCTGTCTAATAATTCTATTCAGCGGCTTGTAGCAGACATGTCTGTAGATGTTAACAAACAAACTTTGAATGAAATCAAGCTTTCACAATTGTTTGCTTTTCAAGTTGATGAAGCAACAGACGTGAGTTTGTATTCGCAGTTGCTTGTCTTTGTGAAAAATATTCATTCAGATGATAGCAAAGAAGAGTTGCTGTTTTGTGAAGATATTATGGAGAAAATAAATACGTTTTTTGAAACTGGGGTGATTAAAATGGTAAACAGCTGTGGGGTTTGTACGGATGGTGCGCCATCTTTGTTTAGGTCAAAATCGGGCTTTTAGAAAACTGTAAAAGATTTAGCTCCCTTACCAATGGGAATCCACTGCATAATTCATCGGTATACCCTTGCCAGCTAGACTCTTCCGACTCCATTGCCAATAAAAGACATAAATTATATTAAATCTAGTCCCTTAACACCAGTCTGTATAAAGAACTGTGCAAAGACATCAATAAAGGACACGAGGTTCTGCTTTTCTACACAACAGTACGCTGTCAAAAGGAAATGTTGTGAATCTTGTTTTTGAATCTTGGAGGTGCAAGGGAAATAATACCTTTTGATATACTTTAATGACAAAGAGTGGTTGGAGAGTATCTTACCTAGCATCAGCATCAACATAAGTTTAACCTGAAGCTTCAGGGAAAATTAACGAATATTATCTCAGGGCATTTTTTAAAAATCTAAGTTTCAAAATTGGCGAAGAAAAATTAATTTTGGAAATATTGCAAAATTTGAGAGACTCTGCAGTGTGTTCGATGAATCTGACTGTGAGATAAATAAAAATATAAAGAGGATTCTTGGCATTTTTAAAACAAAGTGCGGCGTTATTTCCCTGAACCAAAAGAAGAAGAATCTGCATTGACACGTTACCCATTTTCTGCTTCCCCTGATGTTGCCAGCATTCCTGGTGAATTGCAAGATAAATTCTTAAATTTGCCAAATGATTCCGCGTTATTTAATGTGTTAAATGAAAAACCGCTCACACAATGTTGGTGTTGTATGCACCATTCAAACCCAAACATGAAGTTGATTGCCTTTTGAGTGTTAGTTCCTTTTGTGTCTACATATCTTTGCAAGAATAGATTTTTATCACTTCTCCAATTAAAAAAAAACAAAGAAATAAATTAAATGTTGAGAATGACATGACGTTTTCATTAACAAAAAATCAGACGCAAATGTTAATAGCATTTAATTTCACTCATCATACGGTTATCAAGAATAATTCATATTAAAAGTCTATGAGAAAATATTATTTTAGTCATTAATTTCTTAATAGCTTTGACTTTTTAATTCTAAGGGGGTCGCGGGTCACTTAAGTTTTATAAAGTTTGGGAACCACTGCTCTATAATATACTTAAGACTTAAGTATACTAAGATACTACAACTACGAGATTATTTCAAATTTAAAAAATGGTAGTCACCTAGTGATGAGGAACAGTATTTTTTTAAGTATCTTTTTTGTAGTTGTTACTATAATTTTAAAAGTTATAACTATCTTTTTGTTACACTTTTGTCTGATACTAATATCATTAATTTTGTAACAGCAAAAAATTATGCTGGATTTTCAGTTATTTTAATATTTTTTCTTTTCAGAAATGTAAACAATGTCAACACTAGGCCCTACCAAAGCTGAAGATCCAACACATCTAGCACCTCGTTTACAAACATCTCTATTCATTGAGAGGGTTATCTGCCCAGATAACTCACAACAAACCATAGACAAGACACCCCAGTATCTGCTAAGAGAATCTTCCCCCACTAATGCAGATTTACCACGACCTGTAGCCAAGCCAGCTCTCACCCCTGAGGCTCCTGTTGAGCAATCTTCACAAGTCCACAAACAACATGCTTTTACTATGGATAAACCATTTACTACTTTACAAAAAGAAAGTAGAAAAGCTTTCAAATATTTTCATTGCTCTAGAGGGTAAATATTAAATTTTTTTTAAAACTTTAAAATGTTCAGTTTGTGTAGCATTTATTTTTCATTAAAATCTGATCAAAACCAAACTGTTGTTTTCATTTCCAGGCTCCAAGAAAATAAAGCCACAAATCTAAAGCACACATTTCTCTCCAGCTATAGCCCTGTCAAGCCAGTCTTACAGAATGGCCCTATGTAAGAATCTACCTCTCAAACATTAAATTTAATCCAGAACAATTGACATTTATTATTTTTTTAATGCTCTTTATCATTAATATTTTCAGCTTTCACTTTTTGCTCATCTTCTCCGCAGATGTGGTTTTGTAGCCTTGGCTATGGCAGCTCAGCTTACCCACGTTAAATCTGTCACAACAGAAGAAATATTTCTGGAGGCCAAACATAAGGGCTTCAGTAAACAGGGAGAAATGTTTTCAGGTACATCCTTCCTACACTCTATATTTATAGGGAGTGAATGTTTTCAGGTACATCCTTCCTACACTCTATATTTATAGGGAGTGAATGTTTTCAGGTACATCCTTCCTACACTCTATATTTATAGGGAGTGAATGTTTTCAGGTACATCCTTCCTACACTCTATATTTAGTCGTATAGGGAGTGCATGTTTTCAGGTACATCCTTCCTACACTCTATATTTATAGGGAGTGAATGTTTTCAGGTACATCCTTCCTACACTCTATATTTAGTCGTATAGGGAGTGAATGTTTTCAGGTACATCCTTCCTACACTCTATATTTAGTCGTATAGGGAGTGCATGTTTTCAGGTACATCCTTCCTACACTCTATATTTATAGGGAGTGCATGTTTTCAGGTACATCCTTCCTACACTCTATATTTAGTCGTATAGGGAGTGAATGTTTTCAGGTACATCCTTCCTACACTCTATATTTAGTCGTATAGGGAGTGCATGTTTTCAGGTACATCCTTCCTACACTCTATATTTATAGGGAGTGCATGTTTTCAGGTACATCTTACCTACACTCTATATTTAGTCGTATAGGGAGTGCATGTTTTCAGGTACATCCTTCCTACACTCTATATTTAGTGGTATAGGGAGTGCATGTTTTCAGGTACATCCTTCCTACACTCTATATTTAGTCGTATAGGGAGTGCATGTTTTCAGGTACATCCTTCCTACACTCTATATTTATAGGGAGTGAATGTTTTCAGGTACATCCTTCCTACACTCTATATTTATAGGGAGTGAATGTTTTCAGGTACATCCTTCCTACACTCTATATTTATAGGGAGTGAATGTTTTCAGGTACGTCCTTCCTACACTCTATATTTAGTCGTATAGGGAGTGAATGTTTTCAGGTACATCCTTCCTACACTCTATATTTAGTCGTATAGGGAGTGCATGTTTTCAGGTACATCCTTCCTACACTCTATATTTATAGGGAGTGAATGTTTTCAGGTACATCCTTCCTACACTCTAGTCGTATAGGGAGAAATGTTTTCAGGTACATCCTTCCTACACTCTATATTTATAGGGAGTGCATGTTTTCAGGTACATCCTTCCTACACTCTATATGTAGTCGTATAGGGAGTGCATGTTTTCAGGTACATCCTTCCTACACTCTATATTTAGTCGTATAGGGAGTGAATGTTTTCAGGTACATCTTACCTACACTCTATATTTAGTCGTATAGGGAGTGAATGTTTTCAGGTACATCTTACCTACACTCTATATTTAGTCGTATAGGGAGTGCATGTTTTCAGGTACATCCTTCCTACACTCTATATTTAGTCGTATAGGGAGTGCATGTTTTCAGGTACATCCTTCCTACACTCTATATTTAGTCGTATAGGGAGTGCATGTTTTCAGGTACATCCTTCCTACACTCTATATTTAGTGGTATAGGGAGTGAATGTTTTCAGGTACATCCTTCCTACACTCTATATTTAGTCGTATAGGGAGTGCATGTTTTCAGGTACATCCTTCCTACACTCTATATTTAGTCGTATAGGGAGTGAATGTTTTCAGGTACATCCTTCCTACACTCTATATTTAGTCGTATAGGGAGTGCATGTTTTCAGGTACATCCTTCCTACACTCTATATTTAGTCGTATAGGGAGTGCATGTTTTCAGGTACATCCTTCCTACACTCTATATTTAGTCGTATAGGGAGTGAATGTTTTCAGGTACATCCTTCCTACACTCTATATTTAGTCGTATAGGGAGTGAATGTTTTCAGGTACATCCTTCCTACACTCTATATTTAGTCGTATAGGGAGTGCATGTTTTCAGGTACATCCTTCCTACACTCTATATTTAGTCGTATAGGGAGTGAATGTTTTCAGGTAGCTTCTTTCTACAGCCTATATTTAGTGGTATAGGGAGTGAATGTTTTCAGGTAGCTTCTTTCTACAGCCTATATTTAGTGGTATAGGGAGTGAATGTTTAAACCTTTGAACCCTGAGCTCCTGAAGCTAAAACCCCCATTCTTCTGAGCTCTTGAGTTAAATGTACACAATAGAGACTCTCAATTAAAAAAACCATGAATATAACAAGATTAATTTTATTGTTTTAATTAACATTTGCACATGAATTATCGCCAATATTTTGACTTAGTATGCCAGTCGTCCGTTTAGATAGACCCTTCTTTTAAACATAGGTTGATGTAGACATAGGTAGAAAGCCGGTTTTGGAATTTTAAAATTGTCTTTCTATGGTCAATTGTAAATGATAAACATAATAAAAAAATGACAGATACTTACACAAGTCGAACAATACCAGTTTGGTAATTTTCAATATCGCAATATTATGTACAGACTGCCGATCTGAGGTAAGGTGTCTAATTCCGTATTTATCTGTAACTCAGGGCATGGAGATTTAAGACTCGGACCGATAAAGCGTTACCGCAGGTTCAAAGGGTTAAAGCTTGCTCATTAAAAATGGTAGCTGGCTAACAAATCACCTGCTACAACTATTTTTTCTGTTTATAGCTTAAGTCTTATCACTTTAAAATTAAAATGTTTAACAAATTTCAGCCCAATCAATGCAAGAGATGGCATCCATATTTCTAGCATGCAAGGTAGAGCATGTCCATCAAACCCAGGAGAAGCTCACCTGGAAATACCTGGTCCAGCACCTGATGAAAGGGAGCCTGCTGCTGGTACCGTATCCTTCAATCTTTAGCTGTCACAATTGTTGGTCGTCCCCAGTTCAATCTTTAGCTTTCACAATTGTTGCTGGTCCCGTATCCTTCTGTCTTTAGCTTTCACAATTGTTTCTTGTCTCCAGTTCCTTAAAAAATAAAGATAAACCTACCCCTTTGTTCTGATCTGGTAATCCATGGGACAGAGTTCACTTTTTTCTTTGAGCCCGGGTATATGATGGGATAGTGTGGTCACCACTAGCCCAGCCACCTTTACTTTCTCTAACATGAGTCAGACATCCATCAGAGCAGGGTGTACCCATGGATCTGAATGTGAGACTTTTGGATTAGTAGTCTTGTACTCTACCATCTGACCATGACATCTTTTATTCAGTTCCATATTGAAACATGAATGCGACACTGTAGTGTTTAGAAGAAAGGTTTTTGTGAGAGATGTATAACAGTTTTTCCTTAACCTGCTCAAGCTACGATGCAGATAGAAATCACTCACCTTGTCAGAAAAAAGGCCACAAAGCTCACTGGGCACTCATAACAGGTATTAAATTCATTCAGTCTGTACATGTTAAATTTTATGTCAGGGTTGTCTAACCTTAGGTGTGTGTTTTTTTGTATCATGGAACAAGTGTAAATAATATCTTTTTAAGTAAACTTTAAAAAAAAAACGTGAAAAATTTGTTGTACTTTCTACACTAAGTGTGGCTAAACTGTTTTTTTTATTACTGATTCCAGGATTTTTTGCTGCCTTCAAGTCTAGTGAAGTCCCTGAATGGCTGACCAGTGAGTGTGAGAGGGACGAGGAGATGTCAGCGCTGTACTTCTGGCCTGAAGGGGTAAAAGAAGACCGGTGTGAAGAGTTGACCAGTGTCCTCTCCCCTGATGACCTCTTTGTGTTTGGTCACCATGGCAAGAGCAAGTACCCTGGCGTCTGGTCATTTCAGGACCTGCTGGTCAGCAATGGGAACCTAGTGGAGGCTGGGCCTGTCAGGAACTCAGAGGACTATGTCCTACCTGCTGAGGGCTTGGAGCGTGCCTTAAAATCTCAGCTCATTCTACTGCACAAAAATATAGTTCAGTGACATGCTTAACCAATTCACATTTTCATATCATTATACCAGCTTTTTGCAAAGCACCCTATTTATTAGATTTCTATATAAGATAATTAACCTAAGTGCAATTTTTTAAAATATAGTTATGCCAGATTTCTAAAAAAAAAAACACCATATTTACATCTGCAATTTTTTATTTATGCTAGCGCTCCAAAGAAAAAAACAACTATATTTGTATCATATCATTACTTTATTACTTGCTATATAAGGACAGTCCATTAATGACATCAGTGTAATTTGTTACTCCACAACCTCACCTCCATTCACAAAGAGCTAACCCCACCTCCATTCACAAAGAGCTAACCCCACCTCCAAATTATCCTTAATGTCATAAAACTCACCCCCCCCCTCTTCCCCTTCTTGTTAAAATAACCACATTTGTTACAAGAATATTTTTTAAAAATGCATGAGAAATACAAAATGTTTCCTATGCCATATTTGAACACCCCTTTTGTCCACATCATATCACAAGTGATGTCATTAACATTAACATTAACAAGTCATTAACAAGTGATGGCATCATTGATGCCAATGTAATTTTGCTAGTCCTCTGCTTATTACTGTAGAACTCCTTTAAGCAAGTATCTTGGAGACTGCATGATACCAGATTATCAGGCAGATTTACATGCACAAGTATGAACATCCCAGTCTGTGTAGGAGGTAAAGTCATCTGATGACCACTTATTGTGGCTTGATCTAAGGCTCTTGTATAGGACAGTAGAAACATTTTGTAGGACAATGTACTGTACAGCCTGATTTAATGAGTCACCAAAGGCCTCAGTGTTATAGAAAAACATGATCTTTCTGTCTCTGATTACCATCAACCAATGCTACAGACCACAGGCACATATTCTTCTTCTTCATCACTCATTGTAGGGTCTTCTACTAGTGATATTTCTCTTTAAAACTTTCCTTGCTTCAGAACATATCAGATCTATGCAGGATTACTTTAAAAACCTACTTCCTACAGAATTTATCAGTACTATTCTGGATTATTTTAAAACTTTACTTCCTACATAATATATGAGTGCTATTCCAAATTACTTAAAATTGTACAGAACATATCAGAGGCTGTATGTATGTTGAACAACTGGTTGTTGGATTAATGGAGTTTACTGCATTCAACTATGCTTTCTGTTGCATTGCTTTTGTGTTCAAGAATTGTTAACAATTGTTGTCAATCAGTATTATGAGAATATGTATACCAAATTTTTAAAAATGTCACCTTACGATCCTTTTTTTGTAATTTATTTTGGCTTTATCTGTAATCTGACGATCTCATGTACCTGGCCACTGTTTCAACACTGGCTGTAAAATATCTTTGGGTTATCCCAGAGCATGACAAACATTTGGTCCTTGCTAAATGTCTGGTCTCATGTCACACGATTATGTTTGAATGTACCAGCAGTGCTGCTGCATACATTAAACTTGTACTTTAAAGTGTTCATTTTGTCATATTTTACACATGTGCTGTTTATATTGACAACAGCAGTTTCCAATGGCTTTAAACTATGGGGTAATTTTATTTATACATGTACTTTTTTATATTTTTACCAGCACCTTGTATTTAAAACTCTATTTAATTACAGATGCTAGAAAAGGTTTTGTAATTTAAGTTATATTTTCATGTTGAAGAAATGTACTGCATGCTTTGGCAAAATAAAAATGCTTACCACTCTTGCATTACCATTTTCTTTTACAACTATTTTTGCCTGAATCTAATATAAATCAGTGATTTCCATGATGCACACAATAATTGTGTTGAAGAAGGTGAACAAATTCTACAACTAAATATCAGGGGTTAAACATTTTAATTAATTACCAGCAATTCATTTAGCTTTGACATATTAACATATTTACAAATAGTTGAACACAAATATTTCACATTAAAAAATATTTTTTACTGACGGTTTATTGAATAAAATATTTAAATAAACCTTTGATGAATTTTCCAAGCCTATAGTTAGAAAGTCTAAGATATTAAAAAGTATAAAATGAAACAAAAGTTCGAATTCAAGAATTCTTATCAATACAACTATAACAACAATAGCTTTAATATAATAAAAAATTGTTGATTTTAACGCATATTAAAAGTCTAGTTATTAATTTGTTTTTATTGTTAATTCATTCATTTTATCCCACCAAAATTAACAACAAACAGTTAAAAATTTGCTGTTGAATAAGAGAAAACACAGTTTAAATAAACATTCCTCTAATATAGACATGAACTGCATTTACATAATTCTATATTTCAAATAAGTCTTTGACACAATTAAATTGAGCATCCACTCAAAGAAAAAAAAAAACACCAGTAATGCAAAACATAATGGTATAAAACTTCAGATAGCACACTGGAATGATAACTCACTAATTATTTACACAACTTATTTGAACATTTATGTTAAAACCGGTGACCCGTCAAAAGAGCGCACGACAAAAGAGCGCCGACATAAGAGCGCAGACAAAAGAGCGCCGACATAAGAGCGCAGACAAAAGAGCGCCGACATAAGAGCGCCAACATAAGAGCGCACTAATTTCCCGACAAAAGAGCGCCGACATAAGAGCGCAAACTAAAGATCGAAAAACCATATTTAATAAATAGGAACAAGAAAATTAACTCAGATCAGAAGGTATTGTTTGATGTTAACTCTTTATTGTTTCATTCAAAAACTAATTGTTCAGTTTCATTAACTAAAAAACTGGTATTGACGATTGATAATATCCATTGTTCCGAACATCATCGTCCTGTAAACGTGAGTCGGTCCGGAATCCCACAAGATGAAATTTTGCCCTCTTGTTGTCGTTTGAAGAAGTTCAGGAATTATCTCTGCAACGTTCTGCGGATTTGGGTATGGCAGCTGCTTGCGTTTTCTCTTTCTTTCTATTGCTTCAATTTTAGCCGGATCTGGAGCGTGATTGTGTTCCGATGATGACAGAACTACATCGTTCAGCATTTTCATCCGTGCTCGGCAGCCATCTTTCTTGCAGCATCTCCATGTCGTACTTCCATCAGCATTTGCTTTGTCCTTTCAATATCTGTAGCCTACGACCAATATAATAACCTCCCCTTTCTTTGATTTGATCTTCTCCATGTTACTTGGGTTAGAAATATTTTCAAACTGCATTCATAACATATTATACTAATATATAAATAACCACATGTCGTTTTATCGTACCGCCGATTGTTTAATTAAAACAAGTGTTAACTATGTCATATTCGTTAAGCATACAACATGTATTTTTTTAATTGACTGCGCTCTTATGTCGGCGCTCTTTTGTCTGCGCTCTTATGTCGGCGCTCTTTTGTCGTGCGCTCTTTTGACGGGGTGCCGTTAAAACCAATCATAACACCAATTTGGCCAAAAAAATGTGACCAACTTAAAGTTAGAGAATGAATAAAATCATGAAACATTAAAATAATGAGCAACCATGTTGGAGACAGCTGAAGCAAGTCATGAATAAAATGTTGATGGTGAAAGTGTCAGGTGGGACTATGAGCAGACACATGAAGCAGAGTTGTCCCAGAAACTAACACTATGAGCAGACACATGAAGCAGAGTTGTCCCAGAAACTATCACTATGAGCAGACACAAGAAGCAGAGTTGTCCCAGAAACTAGCGCTATGCGCAGACACAAGAAGCAGAGTTGTCCCAGAAACTAGCGCTATGAGCAGACACAAGAAGCAGAGTTGTCCCAGAAACTAACACTATGAGCAGACACAAGAAGCAGAGTTGTCCCAGAAACTAGCACTATGAGCAGACACATGAAGCAGAGTTGTCCCAGAAACTATCACTATGAGCAGACACAAGAAGCAGAGTTGTCCCAGAAACTAACACTATGAGCAGACACAAGAAGCAGAGTTGTCCCAGAAACTAGCACTATGAGCAGACACATGAAGCAGAGTTGGTAGAAAAGCTCCAGTGGTTGTCCCAGAAGCCAGCACACTCAAACCCTCCTGGACCTTTCAGGCCAATGTCTGGTCCTGTGATGACAAAATCTGGCAGCAAGTTGGAGAACTGTGGACAAAATTGTTGTAGCTTTAGTGGATAGTGTTGAGGTTATATAATATTCGAGTTGTTCATCCATAAAATAGTTATATAACAAATCTAATACATAAAGATGATGTTCAGATGCTCAATGTGAATGAATTTATGCCACAAACAAGCTCATGTTGCAGTTGTTCAAGTGCCAAATGACGAGAAGATAACGTCATTAAATATTTGGTAATTATTAACTGTATAATTGGCTGCAGAAAACATAGGTCTTAATGTTGAAGTTGAAGTTTGAGATTTCTGAAAGGCGAATTTTTCACTATAGTTTTACTGTGAAAAAGTTGTAGATTTTTTTGCGGAACTGATTAAAAGTAAAGTTTCCCTTCCAAAACCTGAGACTGTGGGACAAGTGAAGTAGAGTTCACCAGTTTCTGTGACGTCAGCATATGAAGGCATAGTGTGGTCAGCACTATACCCAACTGCCTTTACTTTGCCTAACATAAGTTTGGTACACATCAGAGCTGGGTGGACTCAAAGACATTCAACTGAGTTGAATTTGGATTTAAACTCAAGACTTTTCAAATTAGCAGTCTAGCTCTATACCACTGGAAATGATGATGAAAGAGCAGCTACTCCCACCTGGCTACGCCCCTGCCTTAAACCTTATGAGAATGTAAAGAGAGAGGCTTAACTTACTGGAGATCTTGCCATAGGTGGTATAGTGGGTGTGGCTAAGTTGACAACATCCTCTAGACCCTCTGGAGATGGACTCATCATGAGCAGAGCTAGCCCTTGTCCATGAGGTGCCAGTGTAAACAAGCCAGTCCTGTCAGCAGAAAACAAACACAGGCTGCCAAGTTGGACGGTCATTTTATTGGAGCCTGGAGAGAAGAAAAAAAAATGTTAAAGTTTAAAAAAAATTAGGGACCAAATTGTAAGTTACTTCCCTTGATCAATTTTAGTAAGTACATTTTCTAAATAATGAGAATATAATTGTTAACTATCTATCTTTAAAATAAGAAATAAATTTTTGTAATTATTGAAATCCTCCAGTACATACCTGAAAATAAATTATAGTGATTAGACTACAAAATTTGATATAAAACTAAACTTGCCTTGATCATAAGATATATGCAAATCTTTAAGTCGATTTAAATATTTTTCAGTCCAGGAATTTTCTTTAGGACTCCCTAAGATGATCAAATTCATGGGCTCTGAGAAATAATAATTATGTGAAACTATTTTAAATGTTTTCAGGGTTAGGATTAGGATTAAGGTTCAAGGGTAGGGTAGCAAAACAAAATTCAATACACAATCTTAATTAATTAAAGTACCTACAATTATTTTTTTACTTTAATTTATAAAAAGCTTTCAAGTCCCAGTCATCAGTACAAGAAAAAGATAAATCTATTGACAGGTAAAAGTGGAAGTACCAAGCTGAGATTCATCTAGTGTTGTATCTTCTTTGATGGTCACCACAGTATCAGATGTGAGAAGAAACTGGTTGGCGATGTAGGCTGCGTGTCTGGTCAGCAGCTGGGTTGTCAGCTGGTCACTTTGTGTCCCTGAAGTCAGAAGTCAAAAACATTTACATATGCCCACAACATTTACTCTATGGGACATTTCTATTCCCCTATGTCAGAGGTCACACGTTTACATATGCCCACAACATTTACTCTATGGGACATTTATATTCCCCTATGTCAGAGGTCACACGTTTACATATGCCCACAACATTTACTCTATGGGACATTTATATTCCCCTATGTCAGAGGTCACACGTTTACATATGCCCACAACATTTACTCTATGGGACATTTATATTCCCCTATGTCAGAGGTCAAACACATTTACATATGCTCACAACATTTACTCTATGGGACATTTCTATTCCCCTATGTCAGAGGTCAAACACATTTAAATATGTTCACAACATTTACTCTATGGGACAATTCTATTCCCCTATGTCAGAGGTCAAACCAATTTAGATATGCCCACAACATTTACTCTATGGGACATTTATATTCCCCTATGGAAGTAAATAGACTGACCAATAATAATGACAAGCTGGCGCTCTGCGATCCTTCTGGCAGGGCCCAAGTTGTGGGGACCACGGACGGAATCGTTGGAGAAAAGATCAGGTACATGCCTCCAGTGGCCTCCCTTGCTCTCTCGCACACTAAAAATATTTTAAGTTTTAGATCAATATTACTTCATGAGGTATTGAACAATTTCTGTGATAATAAAGTCATTAGAGTTTAAAACAATAATGATAGGTTTTCTTAATGGATTTCTGAACAAAAGTACAGAACAAAAAAGGTATATTAAAAGTATGTAATCTTGTTTTCAAACAACTTCCTAAATTCAGTTGCAATTATCTATTCTATCTAGACTTATTTTTAAAAAAATTGTATTGGAGATGAAAATGTTCCATTAAATGAGCAGTATACAACAATTGATATAAAAACATAAGCCAAACTTACAAACAGAAAATAAAAGGTGCATTTGTTTTCTTTAGATCTAGTACATCACCATCTATCTGAAATATAGCATTGCCTTTTGTATACAGAACTTTATAATACAAACAAGATCTATAAAAAGTTGTTTCAGTTATTCTGTTGGAAAATGAACTTGTGAGCTTTGTACAAGATTTGTAGTTACAGTGTTTTAGATTGCTGTAGCTGTTTCATATATTAACCGTTAAAGATCATTTTTCAATACAGCTTTTCACAGTCCAAAATGTGAAAACAAACATCAATGTCAAGGCCATGTAGGCTGGTCTATACATTTATTGATAGACTATTTGTTTCCAAGTAAGAATGAAAACAGTTTGAACAATTCTTACTCAGCTTAAAAAGATTTTTAAATACATTTTTTAAAAATGGTTCTTAACTACTTGTTGCAATGCTCTAAATCTTGTGATGTGTAGAAGCATGATTGTGAAATTGGTATGAGATAACTTACAACATAAACTTCAATATTCTCCAGTTGTTTGTTTCTGTTGGGGATGTCTTTAGTTATTTCAAGACACTGAACATTTTTTGTTGTAAGGCCCACACTCCCATCTTTGAGGCTGATCTGGAAGTATAGTACACATATGTAAAGATATGAAGGCTGTCTTAATCGCTACCACAGTACTTACAACCATTAATTTGTTGTACTTGATTTAGATGGAACCATCTGTTGCAGGTCCCATCCCCCCACCCCTAGACATGATGGTATCACTCACCCCCACAGTACTTGCTCTAAATGGAACCATCTGTTGCACGTCCTATCCCCCCACCCCCCAGACATGATGGTATCACTCACCCCCACAGTACTTGCTCTAAATGGAACCATCTGTTGCAGGTCCCATCCCCCCAGACATGATGGTATCACTCACCCCCACAGTACTTGCTCTAAATGGAACCATCTGTTGCAGGTCCCATCCCCCCAGACATGATGGTATCACTCACCCCCATAGTACTTGCTCTAAATGGAACCATCTGTTGCACGTCCCATCCCCCCAAATATGGTTGTATCACTCACCCCCACAGTACTTGCTCTAAATGGAACCATCTGTTGCAGGTCCCATCCCCCCAGACATGATGGTATCACTCACCCCCACAGTACTTGCTCTAAATGGAACCATCTGTTGCAGGTCCCATCCCCCCAGACATGATGGTATCACTCACCCCCACAGTACTTGCTCTAAATGGAACCATCTGTTGCAGGTCCCATCCCCCCAGACATGATGGTATCACTCACCCCCACAGTACTTGCTCTAAATGGAACCATCTGTTGCACGTCCCATCCCTCCACCCCCCCCCCATATGGTTGTATCACTCACCCCCACAGTACTTGCTCTAAATGGAACCATCTGTTGCAGGTCCCACCCCCACCCCCCAAATATGGTTGTATCACTCACCCCCACAGTACTTGCTCTAAATGGAACCATCTGTTGCACGTCCCATCCCTCCACCCCCCCCCCATATGGTTGTATCACTCACCCCCACAGTACTTGCTCTAAATGGAACCATCTGTTGCAGGTCCCACCCCCACCCCCCAAATATGGTTGTATCACTCACCCCTACAGTACTTGCTCTAAATGGAACCATCTGTTGCACGTCCCATCCCCCCACCCCCCAAATATGGTTGTATCACTCACCCCTACAGTACTTGCTCTAAATGGAACCATCTGTTGCACGTCCCATCCCCCCACCCCCCAAATATGGTTGTATCACTCACCCCTACAGTACTTGCTCTAAATGGAACCATCTGTTGCACGTCCCATCCCCCCACCCCCCAAATATGGTTGTATCACTCACCCCTACAGTACTTGCTCTAAATGGAACCATCTGTTGCAGGTCCCACCCCCACCCCCCAAATATGGTTGTATCACTCACCCCTACAGTACTTGCTCTAAATGGAACCATCTGTTGCACGTCCCATCCCCCCACCCCCCAAATATGGTTGTATCACTCACCCTTACAGTACTTGCTCTAAATGGAACCATCTGTTGCACGTCCCATCCCCCCACCCCCCAAATATGGTTGTATCACTCACCCCTACAGTACTTGCTCTAAATGGAACCATCTGTTGCACGTCCCATCCCCCCACCCCCCAAATATGGTTGTATCACTCACCCCCACAGTACTTGCTCTAAATGGAACCATCTGTTGCACGTCCCATCCCCCCACCCCCCAAATATGGTTGTATCACTCACCCCCACAGTACTTGCTCTAAATGGAACCATCTGTTGCAGCACTCTAACACCTTTAAGACCCTCACCAACAGCTGGGTTTACTGTCACAAGGGTGTACGTGTCATGGTGCTTGTACATTCCTGTATCAGAGCTGCCCCAGCACCCCTCCCCATCTTTAGAACATGACCCCTCAATGGGGGAGCTCACAGAGGAGAGAGTTGTGGAGATAAATGTCCTGACTTGCTCATCATTCACACATCCACCATCATTTGTAGCTCTGAAAGATGTTAAACATTGGTAGTGGCCATCAGAACAAAGTCTTGGTGGTATATGTAGTATCTACATTTACAATCCACTACATTGGAGCTAATTAAATTATAATACACTCACCTAGAGGTAATTTAATTACAATGCACTAAATTGGTGGTAGTTTAATTAGAATAAACTCACTTAGTGGTAATTGAATTAGAGTCCACCCACCTTGTGGTAATTTAATTAAAATCCACTCACCTGGTAATAATTTAATTAGAGTCCACTCACTTGGTATCCCACCACCAATGTTCTTGGCCAGGTAACTCTGAGTAGGTGACACTGATGTCTTGTTCTGTCAGTAGTCGCAGCATACGTCTGACATAGTACGGGTGAACTGTGCGATCTTCTGCTCCAATCCTGACCAGTACTGGAACACCCTGTAACAAGACTGGACTCAACTGACCAGTACTGGAACACCCTGTAACAAGAGACTGGACTCAACTGACCAGTACTGGAACACCCTGTAACAAGACTGGACTCAACTGACCAGTACTGGAACACACTGTAACAAGAGACTGGACTCAACTGACCAGTACTGGAACACCCTGTAACAAGACTGGACTCAACTGACCAGTACTGGAACACACTGTAACAAGAGACTGGACTCAACTGACCAGTACTGGAACACCCTGTAACAAGACTGGACTCAACTGACCAGTACTGGAACACCCTGTAACAAGAGACTGGACTCAACTGACCAGTACTGGAACACCCTGTAACAAGAGACTGGACTCAACTGACCAGTACTGCTAACCAGAGTCTTGAGTTTGGACCAAAGGTCAGTGAACAACTAACTAACCAACAGGATGTCATAAATGCTAGATGACATTTTGACATATGCCTCACCTTGAGGTTGCTGATGTGTCTGTCGGCGTCATTCTCACCTACACAAGCCTCCATGACAGCTTTCAGTGAGGGGTCAGTGTGGCTAGTGGCTACATCATGTCTAGAGACAAAATGTTGGTCAAGTCAGGGGTCAGTGTGGCTAGTGGCTACATCATGTCTAGAAACAAAATGTTGATCAAGTCAGGGGTCAGTGTGGCTAGTGGCTACATCATGTCTAGAAACAAAATGTTGATCAAGTCAGGCGTTAATGTGGTTTGTTAACTAACAAAGTGATGAGCTCAGTTTCTCTTTAAACTTAAACTATTAAACATAGACTAAAGCTCGTTAGATATCTTGAACCTACTTGAAAAACAGATTGCTATCTCCATATTCTTCCTTCTTGATCCAGCTGGCTAAAGATATCAGACCAATGGCCCTGTCTGGGTAGTGTGTGGCCAGATGCCACGCCCCATGGCCACCCATGGAGTGACCTAAAGAAAATTCAGCCATCTTTCTTATATATGAATATAAATATATTAAAAATATAAAAATTCTTTTTAAGAACTCCATTTTTATGAGTTTGTATCTAAAACTAACAAGTAGAATTTTTTTACATTATTCATTATTGAATTATTTGCATTAAACTTTGAATGTAGAACCACTATGAACACTGAGTACTAAAAATGAACAATGAGATGTGGGTAAACACCTGCAAAAAGAACGTGAGTAGGGTCAGCTGTGGTCTCAAGCCAAGTAGAAGCTTTGGTCATGTCGGACAGTGACGTCAGTGCTGACATGGCAGTCAGGGCACCAGGCCCCTCCCAGTTATGTGCCCCATGCCTGTGGGAGAAGACTTTCTTACTCGTCTGATAAACAACCAATCAAAACACTTGGTTCACTGAGGTTAGAGTTAGGTTGAGTTTAAAAGAACATTAGTCACCTTGTTGGGGCCAGGAGCCACATCTTGTGGACACCAAACTGGAACTCTCCCTTGACCATCTTCTTGTAGCTGTCCGCCTGGTTCTGGGGTGGAACTGTGGTCCCATGTAGCGTGAGAAATGTAGGGCACTGGTGGCCAGCACAAGTTCCGATTGGCTCAATGGCCGCGGCGTGCTGGATGGAACCATCGTGGTCAACAAATGTAAACAAAAAAGAGTTTTTCTTGTTGCGGCACCTCAGAGTTACTGGAATATTCTCCTGGCCTTCGGATGTCTTCATCAGGATGTCAATGGTGACATCATGACAGTGGGATGTTAGCTGGGAATCCTGGGACGGCTGACTGAGTTTCAGGTGCAGTGCTATGACTTTAGTTTGACCAGGGGCTATTTCATTCATTTTGTTCAGCAGGTTGACCTCCAGTTTTTCCCCATCCGACTGACTTTCAACCTTGACCTTGATAATCTTTAACCACCTGTTGCCCATTTGATTAGAGACTGGCACAGGTAAGAAAGCATTGCTAGGCAGGTGACCCCACTGGATGTCTGGCAGAAACATGGGGGAGTTCACTGTAAAGTTGGGGACTTTTAAAACAGAGAATCTAAATTTAGCAGTCACCTTTGACCTCAATGGAACAAATACAGAATGAACTCCCCTTGGTAAAGCAACAGGAAATTGAAAATCCTTCCTGAAATAGAGATCTCCAGCGATCAGAGTTGGACCAAGAAAACACCTGGCCACTCCCAAACACTGGTAGGAGAGTAGCATGTCCTCATTGACCAACATCTGACCAACTGCCCAGCCCTGCCACTCTGTAATCCCCAATGACCCCAGTGCACTAATGAGCTCATTCCAGTCCACTTTTGGACTGACAACGACAACATCGTTGGCTGCTTTCTGTTTCAAGCCACTCCAACTCACCCCACCCCCTTTAACAATCTCGCTATAAAAACTCCCTGCAGGCTTGGTCTGGTATCTGTATTTTGACACATTTCTGATCCCTCCATAAGCAGCCAATGGATCCCCATCAAACTCAGACTTGCCAATGGGAAATGGCCCAATAAAAGACCAGTCAGCTACAAACTGGGAGTGTCTCCCTGTCAGTTTTGTGGCCTGTCTGAAAGAAAAATCTCCTTTGGTTTTCTCTTGTCTGTTGTCATGCCAACTTCCAAGCAGAGACCAGGCCCATCCCTCGGCTGGGTTTTGTTCCAGATATTTCAGGATACAGGTTTTGGTTTCTGGTGATGCCTAGAGACAAGGCAGACGTTACTAGTGAATATTGATCCACAGTATTAACTGATATCTTAGTAAATTATATCCAACTATCAAAAATGCAACAATTTTAATTTGAAATCGGTAGCAATTATTTTGGGTAGGTCTACTTCAATGATAACTTGCAGAGCTATCCAGGCATCTTCAGCCACAGGGTAGGTTCAGAGCTGTTAGCAAAAACAGTTACCCGAAAGGTTAGGGTAGTATTGTCAGATAAACTGATTTTGATATGCCTTACTAGCTAAAAAAAAACATGTTTTTAAAAAATAATGTATTACATGACATAGTTTACTAAAATTTTCAACCAGCCAGTGAGTATTGAAAATGAAAAGTTTTCAAACTTTAGGAAAATCTAGGACAAAGATGATCAAAATAAGCACAGTCATGTAGGACCTACTTTTCTACTTTCAATATCATTAGAACTACTGTAGGTCTTCCTTTCAATAATAAGTCCTGAATATGAATACCTTTTTAATTCCTATAAATGCCAACTTAATAAAAAAAACAGTTGGCATTAAAAGAAACTAGAAATAATACCTGATCAATAAGCCATTTCCCCTGTACTTGAGCCTTTGTTAGCTTGGTCAGTGAGCAGGCTGGAACTGCTGCCTCTAGTTCTTTTACTAAAAACTCTGATACTGGTATCTGTGGACGATAAAATATTGGCCATTAGATCTAATAGCAGTGTTTCTTCCAGACTGTTTCTTTCTCCAGGGGGGGACGGGACGACCACACACTGGTAAAAGTATATGAAGAAACTCTGTCTAATAGTAAGTTGAGTGGTGTTTAGGCGTATACTTCAAAAATAACAAGAAAGCAGGTTTGCAGATAACAAAAAGAGGCCATGCTATTGAAAGCGCAGATTGCTAAATATAAAAAAATTGCGACTGAAAAAACCTCTGATTCTAGCCTTGGTTGTTGAAACAGGTAAACTCTTCTTCATCTGCCCATGTGTCTTGGGCACAAACGGAAAAAGATGATGAACATTTGCAATTTACAATGGAGGCTGCCGAGTTAGACAAGACAAATTCTATAATTATTGTTGACCTGAATAAAAAAAAACCTTTTTTTTATTTTTCCATCATAGAGGTCGAAAAAATATTTAAAAAAAACTTAAGCCTGAAAAAAGCCTGCTACTTTACTATTTATTTTCATCTTGCCTAAAATATAACTTGAAGGTTCAATTTTCATAAGACAGACATTTATTGGCTGTACAGTACAGGAACTCTGTTATCGAACTTCTAAAAACCCCACTTTGAAGTAATAAGTAATCAAAATTTAGCAGATGAAATTTTAAAATAAAATTTATAAATTTTAAACCACATGATTAATTATGGCATTTTTAATGACTAAATGAAAACAACCAAATTGTTTTCGGCTTTTTAAAATTTTTATTTATCTAAAGAAAATATTAACAACATCCAATGTATCCAATCTTTAAAAGTGTCAACCGCATCCTCGAACAAAAAAGAATTTAATTTATATAGAAAACATACTTTTACCAGTGTCCGCCCCCTCCCCTAGAAAATGTATATAACGGAAAAGTAATGTACATAGTAAGCCTTAGTATCAGGACTAAGGTTAGGGTTATTAGGTATTTTATTTCAAGTGAAATTTTCAAATCCAGTTAAAATGCAGATTCTTGATAAAAATCTGTTTTCAATTACATTTTTTGTTTCCAGCTAGATCTAGATCTAAATTTGAAGTTGGGGTTGTGATTTTGATTGATATATTCCTAACCTACACACTCCTAACTCAAGTATTACCATAGGGCGCTTAATATTTATTTGAAATTTCTGTCCATGAAATTGACCTGATATGGATTACATTTGTAGTAGGCCTACTAATAATAAAAATCATTAAATAATAATAATAGGCCTAATAATAATATAAAATAACAATATTTATATGCTAAATCCTAGTTTGGAATTATTTTTTATCGGCATTGTTGGCATTGTGTGATCGTCTAGTTACTAGAAATTAGAATCTAATCTAGTAATAAATAGTAAAATTACTTATTACTTAATACTTATACTTAAATAAAAAATACGCCGATGCTAGCCGGAGAGAAACTACGACTTGCCATCGCGGCAATGTTTTGGATGGTACTGCGCATGCGTGTGTTTACAACTGCAGAACCCTAACACCAACCCTAATCCTATCCCTAATCCTAACCCTAGCCAAGGTCACTGCGCATGCGCAGAGCTATCTTTTGCCGACTAAGTGGAGACGTTGGGGAGAAAAATCTTCTTCCGAGTAGTCACACTTCGTAAAAAATATACTTAACTTAAAAGTTAACAACTTAAAAAGTTAGTGTCTCACTCTGTAGGTCTGTAAGTAGTCTGAATGTCTGTGTTAGACAGTAGAGAGTGTTTGACTGCATTGTCTGTTAGTTTAAAAGTTAGTAGAGAGTAGTAGATCAATCTAGATCTAGTACTAAGTAGTACTAGATCTAGTAGTAAGTAGTTTTTAGATCTAGATCTAGAAATCTAGATGTAGAATCTAGATCTAGTAGAGTAGAGACTAGGACTAGGCCACTAGAATGATGACTAGAGTAGAGTTAGAGCTAGAACTGCTGCGTTTTTTTTTTTTTAGACGGTCGTCTTACCTCTGATTTTTTACTGTAAGATACTTTTAAAAAGTAAAAAACACAAAATATGAGTTTGAATGTTTGCATGTTATTTAGGGAGCTAATAATACCTATAGAATTATTACAAACTTAACGGTACACGGTGCAGTAACTAACTCAAGTCTTTACACTACACTACTCAACCTAGCCTAAACATTTGTGAATTAACTGATAACGAAAGTAGAATTATTTTTAGTGACCTCCCTTGTATTATAGATTTGAGTCACTTAACAAATATATATTTTGTTCTGCAATTTAAATAACGCAATGAAAGTAATCCCAACATTAATTTAGTACACTTGCCAAAAACAAATTGTTAATTTTTGAGAATTAAATTGTAGACCTACAATTGAGCTTAATTGTTTAAAAATAGCCTATAAGGATCGTTTAATCTGTAGAGACTGTAGGTAGAAGAGTTATTGACTATCACTATTGTTTTATCATTTTGTTTGATTAAACTGAGTTAAGTAATATAGATTAGGGATTAGAATAATGATAAAACTTTAAAAATCTTATTTTTGCTAATTTCTCTATTTTTGTATGAGTGTTTTGAAAGCATGAGTCAGCAGCTTGCTTCAAGAGATGGGAGAGGGAGAGGGTGAGAGGGGGGGGGGGGGAGTTCTAAAAGTGTGGGGACGAACCATTACAACGGACAAAAACTACAACATTGATGACATGTTAATATTCAAATTTCGTCAACATAAAAGAAGTCACTCATGTTATCGTGTTTACAGACACACAGACACATGTACAAAGTTGCAAATCCAAGTTTATCCGACTCGGGAACACGTTAAACGTCGAGTTTTGGATTGATCTTGATCAGTGTTACTTTAGGATTTTTTTTCTCCGGGGTGGGGTAGGGGGGGGGGGGGGATTTTCGGGGGAGGGCGGACTAAATTTTTCGGGGGGGGGGGGTGGTTGGGCGGACATTATTAAAAGTAGGCCTACATATTTTCTATGAAAATTATGTTTCGTTCAGGAATCTGACAACTGTTTGTCAGTAAACAAAATGATCTGACACACATCATGCACACTATCATGTAGGCCTACAGAAACCACATTTTGCACCTTTAAAAGTATCTGCAATATATACAAATTCAGCAACATTTTATTCCTCAGAAATGGAAATCGTTTGTGAAAATTTTTTATGTGGTTTAATTAATAGGTTGCATAATGTCTGCCATATGTTAGCGGTAACCCATTAATGTTTCTTTTACTTCGCTATTGATTTGTTAATCTTTGTGTTTCAAGAAATCTATGTAATCTCAGCTCAAAATAATTGAGTTGCCTGCCTTAGTCTAGACCTATTCGATATATTCGACAGATATGGATTCGCATATTTTGTTGATGTTTACAAGTTTAAAAAGTCCACGTCAAACAAAAACACAATCAAATATGTTAATCTAGCGGCTGACGTGGAATATGATGCCCGGCGCTTTAGAATGATGTGCTTCTGTAAACAGTTTTTAATTAATACTCTTCCGGCATGCTTAAACGATCCCTGTAAAATAAAAGTCATTTTTCGCTTCGGCTAACATTATTCTACTTCTCGCTCGGAATAAAATTCCGCGCGAAATAAATGGTCACCAGACGTTGAATTATTTGTTCGGTGGCTTCCCCCCACGCCTCCCCCACCCCCTCGCGCGAAGGCGGCATTTATTTATCGCGTCCTCCCATACACCCGGCCGGAGCAGCGCCCTCTTGGCGGCCATCTATTCAGCGCCATTGTTTGCCGATTGTTTTCTATGACAACGGAAGATCGGTGGGTGCAAAACGGTGGCGCCACCCAGTGTTTCGTTAGCTAATATTGAAGCATGCCAGTCTTCCACCTTCGCGTTTACTTCTTAACGTGATACAAATATTTGCCAGCGATGCTTTTTTTTTCAAGACGGGAATTTAATGGTGAGATTGTAAGAGATGAGACAGAAAGAGTACAAGTGGCGCCCCCACCTTCTATCCATCTAGCCACCCCACGATACCCGCCCTCCCCTACTAAACATACACTCGCCGCTAACACGAAACCCTAACTTTTCTCATTCGAAATTAAAATCACACCGCTATTCCTTGTCTATTGACGAGGGGAAAAAATAAATAAAAATAGTAAGCCAAAATGAACAAAAGTGGCGTCGAAGCTCACGATTCGTAGTCTGTTTACTAGACAGCTTGGGTTACCCGGCCCGTGCGGGGACGGGGGCTTGAATGGCGGTGGTGGTAACTCGAGCCCCGGGTTTTTTGGTGACATGTGCCACTCAGCTACCGCCAGCCATTGTGTGGGGGGACATTGTCACTCGTCTTCGACCAAATCCCAGAGTTATGTCCCCTCGTTCTGGGAATCATGTCCCCTCAATCTGAGAGTTATGCCCCGTGTAACACAGCAAGTCTCCACCTAACCCATTTGGGCCGTCATCCACTGGGCCACCGACCCGGCACAGGTCGTTATTTCCGCCTCCCCCACCATCCTTCACTGCCACATCCTCCCCTGTCAGGCATTCAGTGAATGATGGGAAATCTCAAACAATCGGAGAAAAAAACCGCAGAGAAACAATGGAATCAGACCGGTAAACAACAAAGCCGGTCATCGATAGCAATACATCATAACAACACGGATTATATTTCCCCACCTCACCAATACGCTTGGACATGATTAAATATTATGTGTATATGTGTATATATATATATATATATATATATATATATATATATATATATATATATATATATATATATATATATATATAAGGCCACCTTTCCTTTCTACAGCTAGCACATCCCGGTATTATGCACATTTAGTCATTACCCCCCCCCCCCCACCCAAACTCCACCTGTGCACATTTAATCCCACTCCAATATTTAATCTCACCCGCAACAAATTTATCCCCACAAATCCCTCACACAAATCCCCCTCCCCCCACACGTGCATGGTTTCCCACCACCTTTTTAAATAGCAAACTTTAAACAAATTTCAACCAACTTATCCCACACTCACAAAGGCAAATCATTCAGATTTAAAAACAACATTTTAATCTTCTAATGTTATATATTTACAACAGATTATCCATTTACAAACAAGTGTCCCACACATAACGGACGTACAATGAATGGAAACTAACCACCCCCTCCCACCTACACATAACATTTTACCATGAAGCCAACCACTCACACACATAAAGCACGTACCATGAAGCCAACCACTCACACACCTAACGCACGTACCATGAAGCCAACCACCCACACCTAACGCACGTACCATGAAGCCAACCACCCACACCTAACGCACGTACCATGAAGCCAACCACCCACACATAACGCACGTACCATGAAGCCAACCACCCACACATAACGCACGTACCATGAACCCAACCACCCACACATAACGCACGTACCATGAAGCCAACCACCCACACATAACGCACGTACCATAAACCCAACCACCCACACATAACGCACGTACCATAAACCCAACCACCCACACATAACGCACGTACCATGAACCCAACCACCCACACATAACGCACGTACCATGAAGCCAACCACCCACACATAACGCACGTACCATAAACCCAACCACCCACACATAACGGACGTACTATAAACCCAACCTCCCACACACCTAATGCACGTACCATGAAGCCAACCACCCACACCTAATGCACGTACCATGAACCCAACCACCCACACATAACGGACGTACTATAAACCCAACCTCCCACACACCTAATGCACGTACCATGAAGCCAACCACCCACACCTAACGCACGTACCATGAAGCCAACCACCCACACATAACGCACGTACCATGAAGCCAACCACCCACACATAACGCACGTACCATGAAGCCAACCACCCACACACCTAATGCACGTACCATGAACCCAACCTCCCACACACCTAATGCACGTACCATGAACCCAACCACCCACACACATAACGCACGTACCATGAACCCAACCCCCACGCATAACGCACGTACCATGAACACCCCCCACACACCCCACACATCCAACCCGCACATGACGTGTCGGTGTGTCATAGCCGACTGACATCCATCCCCCAGCAGATGTTTAATTTCGGCGTGGTTTCAAAGCCCGACCGGCCCGAAGAAATTACTGCGCCAGTTCCCGACACAAGACGGGGTAAGGGAATACTTTAAATGCCAGACTTTGGTATTTCTCCCCGGCCACGCCAACATGTAATGGCTTTAAAAGTATGTTGACACTAAACGTTTCCATCGTTACCACAAACTTGATACTGCTAGAGTTATCTGCTCATGTCATCTTGGTACATACGTCTTTAGGTACTCAACAGTACTCATTTAGGTGTTCGCGTGACTAGCTAGTCACTAAATGTTCGTATGTTCAGTTAGGTCATACAATTTTGTTACGCGTAGCACATTGCATTTTACATGTAATCAGTTTGTCAAAATGTGGCTAGGCGTCCAGTTAAAATGTCCATGTAAACATTGAGTCAGGTAAAATGTCCATGTGTCCAGCTAGCCTATTATGTGCATACCTGACCAGTTTGTCGATAAGTCGCACATCTGCACAGTCTCACTCCCTCCCCCCCCCCCTCTCAGTTAGCGGAACAATATTTCCACAAAAGGTTGACTGGGGTATGCTGGGTACACCAAGTCCTGACATTGTTTTTGCTCGCTACAAATTACAGTGTAATCTAACACTGGGCACGTGGCGAATATAATCAGGGGATATTTTATGCGAGACCCTGATTAACAGGCCCAAAGGTGAGATTTCAAGGCCATGTCAACTTGTTTTATCGACAAATTATAGTTAGTCTAGTAGGTCTACGTCGTTAATAAAATGTTCTTATTTCACCATATCGCTTGGTCGTCACTTTGTGCTCAAATCTTGTCATCTCAATATGGATGAAGTCATTTCTTTTAAACTAAATCTTGTCATCTCACTCAATATGGATGAAGTCATTTCTTTTAAACTAAATCTTGTCATCTCACTCAATATGGATGAAGTCATTTCTTTTAAACTAAATCTTGTCATCTCACTCAATATGGATGAAGTCATTTCTTTTAAACTAAA